GCCGCTAGCCCAAAGGGCGCGCTTCGCTTCCGCCGCGATAGCTCGACGGTAACGTGACATCACTCGTCCTCGCGCGCTTACGTGCGGCCACAGCGCCGTGATGTCTTTTATCAGCCGGCGTCGTCCTCGCGCTCCCGAAATATTCCTCAGCCGCGCGCGCATTCTCTCGCTCTCTCTCTCTCTCTCTCTCTTATTTATGCCTCCTCTCTAATCTCGTCTCGACGCGCTCGCTAACCTTCGGCCAGCCGCGAGCCTTCTTCGTTCTATTCGGACCGCCGCGCCTACCACTGGCAGCCGAGTGTCGTCGCAGCAACTGCCAAGGCCGGCTCTGCTCGTCCGGCGCCGTCGGGCGCTCCTTCCTTTCCGCGTTGATTCTCTCCTCGCTGCGAGATTCGTCGATGCCGACTACATCGATTTGCGCTTACGACCGAGCGACGCTGTCCCTCTTCCATTCCAGTCACCTCGCCCGCCCTCGATGCTCTTACGCGCTCTTGTACTTGGACCCTACACTCTACACGCGCGAGCCGCGCCGGCAACTTTCCCCCAAACTCGCCTCGACTTTTATCGAGCTTGCACGAGGCTCGCTCCCAACGACGACGCTGCAGACCGGAGCCGCCTTCCTGCCGCGAATGGAATCTCGAGATCGACCCCAGCTTTGCCCGGACGAGGACCCGACGACAGCTGCAGCTTCGCGCGCGAACGCGGAGCCGAGGCTGGAGCGCGTCGCCGCCGACGCGCGAGCGAGATTTCCCGCGAGAGCGAGGCAGCCGTTATCGGACGCTGGCGCCGCAGTCGGTTCGCTGGAATTGCGAAAAGGGAAAAAGCGCGAGGAGCGACGAGCGAAGCGGAGCTGGCGCTGGCGTTGGCGTTGAATTACGCTGGCGGGGGCCGTCCTCCCCCCGCTGTTGTTGGCCGCGCGCAGCGGGAGCGAAGATCGATCCGCCGCTCGCGGGAGCGCAACGCCGCGCGGAGGCGAACCGCCATGGGAGAGAGTTCGGCTGCCGCCACGATCGCGCGGACGAGCGCGTGCTCGGGGTGCCCCACGGCCGTCGAGGAGGAACGCGAGCGAGCGCGTGCGCGCGCGCGCGGCAGCAACGGCACCGCGATGCCGCGCAGCCTTGCGCGCTCGTCGCTTGTAATTGCCGTCGCCTTTCGAGCTTCGACCACACAGGCGGCTTAGCGCGCGCTACATGTCACGCTCGGCTATTGGCTCGCTCTCGCTGCAGCCTTGGGCCTCCTTCTGCCTCTTTTCATTTATTTCCATCAATCAATTGACCGCGCGCGCTCGCGGAACAGGCGCTTTTCAAATATTTATCGTCTCGGCGATTTTCCTTGAAAACAGCGCTCGTCTCCCCCCTTGCGCGGCGACGCCGGCCCCCTCCCGCCCCGCCGCCCCCCACCGTACGGTAGCGCGATCGCCACGTGAAATGAACGACACGTGCGGGGTGAAGGACGAGTAACGAAAAACGAGCTGCTCCCATACGTGAAACTGTGAATTGCGCGACATTTTGCCGCTGCTGTAATAAGCTGCCTTAATAACGCTCGCTCTTTGGAGTAGTCTTGCGCCTTGACCGAGTTGCCGTATATCGGATCTCCATCTTGACTTTGACTGGATTATCGGCGCGCACACGAGCGCGAGGCGACGCTACGAACGCGCGGCGTCCGCGAGCCAGTCGAGGCTACGTCCCTTCGCTTGCCCTCCTCGCGGCTGTGCGTATATAGCCGAGCGAAGCTGGCCAAACGAGAGGCAAGCGAGAGCGAGGTTTCCTCGCCGCGCTGCCACTCGATTCGAGGTGCGGAGCGGAGCAGCAGCCTCGCGGGCGCGCTTGTATCGAGCGGCGCTGCCAGTCCCGTGACCTGACCTCGGCTGAACTCGAGGCAATCAGCTCGCCGAGCGGCTGACTCGCTGCCGCTATTGTTGCGCGGCGCCCGCCCCGCGCTTCGCCGGCTATCTTGGCAATCGAGCGGCCTTATCTAATCGCAGCTGCGACGGCTCCTCCTCGCTCGGCGACGCCGGCGCTCGCAAGCGGTCGAGAGCGAGGAAGGCGCTCGGCGAAAGAGCAGCCGCGTCAGCGGCTGCTCGGCAAACGGAAGGAACGGGGCAAGGAAGAAAGCCGCCTGCTGCTGGCGCTGGAGCCGACGAAGGTTTTCAGAGCGCTACGGCCCAGTTTCGGCATGGCTGTACTCGATTCGAGGCGCCGCACGCTCGCGGCAAATCCGTACCTGCTGCAGGCCGAGCCGCCAGCTTTACCCGCCTCGCCGGATTCGTACTGGAATCGTTACGCAGCGAGCTGCCGCGTCGTCCTCGGCCAGGAGAGCGCAAATAAACGTGATTTATCTGCGAGGCGCAAATATGCGCGTCGAGCCGTAACAATGAGCCTCGTTATCTCTGTTCGACGGTGACGACGACGACGCCGACGCCGACGCCGTCGACGGATAGGCACACGCGTAGAGAGCGGAGCTGACGTAACGCGCAGGCGAAGCTATCGAGCGCCGGAAGAGACGAGAAAGTTGGAGGCGACCTGTTTCCCCGCGTTACGCCGCGCAGAAAAAGTCCGGGCGGGAAAACGGGCGAAAGTTTCCGTGCGCCAATTAGGAGTGATTTACGTATTATGTGCCCAGGACTCTGCGTTTCCCTGCATTTACCGAGCGCGCCGTTTCCGCGCTAATGATCTGCGCGAGAGACGTTCGAAAGCGAAGCTGCATTTTTGCAGCCGCCGCTTTGAACTTTCTTCGATCTCACTTTTACTCGAGCGCCGGAGCGCCACGATTGTCTTCGAGTGAGGAGGACTCGCTGCGCCAGCCGGCCACGTCGAAGCCTCCCGACGCTCCGCTCCGACGTAGGGTATAGCGCATTATGGGGTCTTTCGCCGCATCCCTCTCCCCTTCCGATTAGACGGGTATTATGATCCGCCGGGCAGGCGCTGCCACAATAGCTCTGACCGGGCGCTCGCTGGCTCCCGTGTCTGTGCGGCCCTGCCTGTCTAACTGTCTCCTAGTTCTCCTTTTTCAACTTCGTCCTACAGTCCCCATCCACGGCTGCACTGCGCTCGCCCTTCCTGGTGCGGGCGCTGCAGCATAAACCGAGACAGAGAGAAAGAGAGAGAGAGAGAGAGCGAGAGAGAGCGAGAGCGAGGGCAGGCTTTTCAAACTCGCTGCTCTTGCGAAAGCAAATGAGAGAGCGATCCGGCTGCGTGATTCCGGTGTATAGGTGTAATAATGTACACGCGCGCTCCGCGGCGTCACGGTTCCATTAATATACGACCCCAAAAACGCGTTCCGAAAAAGCGCTTCTTTGTTCTCTCGCTCTCTCTCTCTGGCAGCTCCGGCTCTTACGCTATGTCTCGGCGTGCAACAGAATCGAAGAAACTCGCGCTCGCTCGCGATTCGGAGGTGAAAGTGGCTCCGCGAGTATAGTCCAGTATGTCTAATGGCACGTGTGTGCGCGTGTATGTGCGCGCGCGTGTGTGCAGCGTGCAGTTGACGGTGCAGTTGCAAGCAAGCGAGAACGCGCAAGCCGTGAGCGAGCAACGATTTCAGGCCGAGTAGCTTTGCTTTGGGAGCAGTGGTGGCAACGGCGGCGGCGGCGGCGGCGGCGGCGGCGACGGCGGTGGCGGTGGCGGTGGCGGCTCCCGCCGTAACGTGGTGGTGGGGGCAGCCAGCGGAGCAGTCGGCAGATCGAGAGCGAGCCAGTCAGTCGAGCCAGCAGCTGCGCCGAGGACGGACGCTGGCACGAGCGCGAGCGCTTAGCTTTTTCGCTTTTTTCGGGCCTTCTTCCCCTTTTTTCTCTTTCTCTCTCTCTCTCTCTCTCTTCCTCTTCCGCCGCTCCCTCCCCATCACTCACTCGCTCTCTCTCTCTCTCTCTTTCTCCCAGTCATTCACTCGCTCCTCATCTTTGTACCCCCTCGCTGCAGTCATCCGTCTGTTGTGTTCCGTTGATCATCAAGCTATTCGCCTAGTTTCGTGCAGTGCAGTTGCAGTTGTGCTGTGAGAAAAGGGAAAGGCGCGTGTTGTCGGCCTAAACCTCGTTGACGTAGCTGGCTGGCACAGCGGCCCAGCAGCCAAAGTGCCTTCGAGCAGCAGTACCCTTCGATAGTTGGGCGTGTTTCAGCAGTGAAAGTACTGCGTGTGCTTGTATGTGTGCGTGTGTCGTACGAAAATAGTGCGACGAGGGAGACTGCGAGAGTCAGGCTGTCGGTGTTGCCGAGAGATGATTATGTGACAGGAGCTCGAACTGCTCCCGGCTCCGCTCGTCTTCAGCTGCCAGACCGTCAGCCAACAAGCGTGCGCATGTGTTCGGTCGGTTATATCACCATTAGCGGCAAGTCCTCCCACATCGCAAATCTGGATACACTTTCAACGGCTCCCCTTGGATTGCTCCATGACAGGATGGCGCAGGCAAGGTTAGTACTCGCCTCAGCGACGACGATGACAACGACACGACGACCGTGGCAGAAGCGTCGCGGTGAGGGTCAGCCGGTTCTGTTGGGCCGGGGAGGCCGAAGTGAGTGGCTAGGTGGGTGGGTAGGTGGTTGTGTGAGGGAGGAGAGGGGGCTGCTGCGTATGTGTAGTGTGAGCACTGGCGCGTGGCGCTCTCGCTGCACACTCGAGTGTGCGCGAGTACGCCTTTTATTGTGTAAGTGTATATGCATAATGCAAGCAACGTGCACGCGCGAGCGAGCGAGCGAGGACGCGCTATAATCGCACACGCGCTCCGAGAGCGAGGTTATAACGTGACGCCAACGCGCCGTCGCAGCTCGTGCTTGGACGTAACGTGAGCAGCAGCAGCAGCAGCAGCAGCAGCAGCAGCAGCAGCAGCAGCAGCAGCAGCAGCAGCAGCAGCAGTAGCAGTAGCAGTAGCAGCAACAGCAGCAACAGCAGCAACAGCAGCAACGCTATGCAGCGACAGCCTCGAGATGGCTCCGCGACTCGTCAACACGCGCAGACACCTATATTCTTGCGTGAGGCGCAGTAGTCGCAGCCGTCCAGTCGTGGGCATGATTACTCTTTTGTTTGCGCCTGCTTCCGTGCAATACTCAATTGGCCAATCTCTGATAAGATAAGCAAGCGTTACACAGGTTTCTCCTCGGGGGCCTGTCGTCGCCCTAAGTCGAGCGGTGAATCACTGTACAGACCACGGCTGCAGCTGCTGCAACTCGATATGCGAAACTCGAACTGCCATCAGCCGACTTGCGGAGCGTTCTGCTTGCGAGGTCTTGTTTCTTATCGGCCTCGAATACCGAAAGAGGCGCTCTTTGTTTGGCCGTTCCCCGAGGAAACCTCAGTTTCCTACGTGCGACCGCTTCAGTCGTCCTTACCGGGCTTATCTCAGGCCATTTGCTGACCGCAGAGGCTGCAGCCGGAGCCGTCTCGCGAGTATTCGAGCTGTTCTCGCAAGACTGCAGCTCGGAAGCGGAAGCGGCCTAGCCGATGGAGTCGCCTTTCCATTGACATTGGCGGTGGGTACGTGGCAGGCGGAGCAGAAAAGGCGATTGGCACGCAGTTCACAGACGGCAATCGGCGATCGATAGCTGGCGCTGGGAGGGACGGCGGCGTCCAGGGCGAGCAATTAGATTGATATCGTATGGAAGGGCCTTGGCTGCGCCGCGGCTAATGCTTGCACGCGAGGTGCGTGACTCGACCCGACGTATCGGATACACGTATAAGGAGAGCTGATCGATGCCTATAGGCGCCCGTAATAAGTCGCTCTCCCACTGAATCGCTCACAAAGGAGGGAAGGAAGGTCGGCCGCCACTGCAACCTTCGCTTCAAGGGCTACTCTCCCCTGTCTCTCCGTCCTTCCTCTCTCTCTCTCTCTCTCTCTCTCTCTTTCTTTCTTTCATTGCCGCTTTCCTGCACCTCGGCTTCTCCCCCCGATCGCTCCCTCGCACACGCACTCGGCACTTCTCCTCTGCCGCTGCCTTATCATCGCCGCCTGCCACTTTCCGTTTCTCTCTCTGGCCGTCGCTTCTGCACACACCTTATCGTCGATCAATAACTGTATTTGGAGCGACCGCTTTAATCGGATGACCTTTAGCTCCGCAACTGGCAGCGATCGTTCGTCGACGAACTGCCCTCGCGCCGCCGCCTCTGCGCCCGTGGTAGTCCTTTTGTGCGGGCGGCCGCGGGGCAGGGGGCTGGCGGGCTCGCTTCTGCCCGGCGGGGCCAGTGCCCTCGGCGCGGACACCGGGCAACCTTGAGGCTCAGGGCCGCAGCGTCTCGGCCTCGACGCGCGAGCGCCCGATCGCTCGGTCCGCCCGGCCCGCTACTTAGTCTGCCGGTACCGTTACGCGCGCGCCTGCCTCCTCGACGCTCCTCCGGCGTCGACAAAGACGTCCTCGACGTGGGCGACTCGCCGGAGGTCGTCTAGTCGGCTCTCTCTTTTTTCCTCTCGCCTTGCTCGTCGTTGGTTCTAGTCGCCGAGCAGAGGTCGCGCCGGGCCGGCTGACCTCGGCGCCGGACAAAAGGAGACGCGCGCGCGAAACGGTTTTTTTCGATTGACGTCAGCGCTCTGAACGGGCGATCGGGCGCGCGCGAGCGAGGCGGATGCCGAGCGTCGCGCTGCCAGATAGCGGACGAGGCGGCTGGCGCTGACGGTTATTGAAATCGACCCCCTTCCGCGAAGGGGGGCGCGGTTCGCGCGCGCCGGGGCCTCCCCCCTGGCGCGCGGCTCGGCTGCCCTCCGCACTGATCGGGCGCGCGCCTCGCCGATCCGGCGCGACACAAAGATGAGGCGCGCCAGCGCGGAGACGATAACGCTCGCGCGTCGGGATGCGGCCTCGCGCGCCAACAGCTGCGCGGACGGGTGAGGGCTCGACGCCAGCGGCGATCATTGGAAAGCGACGCGTGCGTGCGTGCGTCATTCGCCAAGACCGAGGCGAGGCGGCAAAAAATACACGGACTCGGCATTGAACTTGAACGGAGGCGCGCGTGCGATCGATCGCCGCGGATTTCCCTCGCGAGTTTTCGCGCGCTGCCACGAAAGAGAAAAGCCGAGCCGAGAGCCGATCAGCAGCCGCGGGCCTCTCGTCGCTGCGCGTCGCTGGTTATCTGCGCGCTCGCTCTTCCATCCGCGGTCGCGATTCCCCTCGCCGACAGCGGCCGGCTCCTTCGCCACGCAGTGGCGGCAACGAGGCCGCATCTGGCCGGTCAAGGATTTACCGCCAGAGCTTAGCGTCGTTATCAGCTGCGCGCTTCGAGTTGGTTGGTTGGCTGGTTGAGCGAGCGAGCGAGCAGCCACTAGCCTTGACTCCGCGTGTCCCCGCCTCTCTACTGCCTTTCCTGCAAAACTTGGTCCGCGAGCACGTTACGTGTATGTGTGCGCGCGTATGTGTATTTATTTGTGTGTGTATGTATGCGTGTGCGCGCGCGCGCTCGCCCATAGTGGTCTCTTCCTCGCTCACCGATCATCAAACTAATGTTTTTGTCCACCTCGATGCTTTGTTATTTTTCCTTATTTCTGGTCGCTCGTCACCCTGCGGAAAATGATCGCACGCGAGGATGGACGATCGATACGGCGGAAGATCGGAGGGGGAGGTGGGCTGGTTGTCTCGTTGACTACATCGAGGTCGACGGGAGCGTTGAAAACACGACAGCTGCACGGGCTAGCTCGCGCTGGCCATCGATTTCCGTCGGCTGGTGCAGGCGAGGAGGCGGACAGTCCACGCGTTGGCGACGGCTCGAGCCGCCGGCTCGTCTTGGTAAGCGAAGCCCCGACGAGGGTGAATGTGGGTTAGGACTGTGGCAAGCGTCGAGAAGGGCTCGAGCGCCTGCGCCCGCTACAGCGTGTTCGAAGCTCAACGTCGAGCCTCCGCTCGTGGCTCGCGCCTCCGCCTCGGGCGCTACCGCTGGGTGAGCTTTCAATCGAGGCGCCAGTCGAAGGACCGCCGACTCTCTCTCTCTCTTTCTCTCTCTGTTCAGCCCGAGCAGCGGGGCTCGCTCTCGCTATTTTCAGCCCGCGAGGCTGCGGCCGCGCAAGCGATGCCGAGCTCGTGGAAATGACCGAGCTGGCCCGGAGTGGACGTCTGACTAACGAGGGTTCGTCTTTGTTGTTGCAGGCTTCAGGTGAGCGACTGTGCGCCACAGACGTCGCGGGTGAGCTCGAACCTGCACAGCAGCAGTAGCATGGCGGTGAGCCGCGTCCCGAGCCCCCCGCCGCCCGAAGTCAACACCCCCGTCGCCGAGAACTGGTGTTACACGCAGGTAAGTCAACAGTCGCACCCGCCTCGTCTCGCCACAGTGCCCTGTGGTGCGATCAGCCCGAGGCAAGCAGCCGCCAGCGCGAGCCCGAGAACCGGAAGCTCGGAGCTCCCGTACGCACGCGGCCGCTCGCGGATGACTCAAGGTCGTCCAGAGTTGAATGACTCGCGGCGGGCGTCGACCGCTCTCTGCGACTGTTCTCTCTCTCTCTCTCTCTCTCTCTCTCTCTCTCTCTCTCTCTCTCTCTCTCTCTCTCTCTCTCTCTCTCTCTCTCTCTCTCTCTCTCTCTCTCTCTCTCTCTCTCTCTCTCTCTCTCGCTCAGTCGCGCGCGCGCGCGCGCGTCGGCGATGGCCCCGAACGCCACCTGTGCTCCAACTCCTATTCCTCCGAATCACGGCTGCACTTCCGGATGCCTCGGTACTCTCGATGCGAGCAGCGGCGGCAGCGCTGATTACGAGCTGCGAACTCTCGTACGTTGAACTCGCGCCGCCATCTCTCTCTCTCTCTCTCTCTCACTCTCTGTGCATGTATATTTGCTTCTCCTTCTCTTTCGTGCACTTACTCGCGTTGAATATCGAGCTAGCCTCGATAGCCAGCCCCTGCGCGCTCGGAAAGCTCGTCGTTCCTGCGCGCTCTCCAGCGGCCGACCCACGTTCATTGACCTCGGTCGCGCTCTGTCCTCTCTCTCCCCTCCCCGTCCCATCCTCGCTATAGTCGAATAGCCCAAAGCTCGCAAGCTCTAGCCACTCATTCCTCTCTCTGATTAATTTGCTCGCTCGACACAGGTGAAAGTGGTCAAGTTCAGCTACATGTGGACCATCAACAACTTCAGCTTTTGTCGCGAAGAGATGGGCGAAGTGCTCAAGTCATCAACCTTTTCCGCCGGAGCCAATGACAAACTTAAATGGTCGGTACAGCGCCATAAAATCAATCCGTGTGGCGAATCGACTGACCACGCTGATTCTCTGTGCTTGCTTGCAGGTGCCTACGAGTAAATCCCAAAGGCTTGGACGAGGAAAGCAAAGATTACCTGTCGCTCTACCTACTGCTCGTCTCCTGCAACAAATCCGAAGTCAGGGCCAAATTCAAATTTTCAATTCTTAATGCCAAAAGAGAAGAGACCAAAGCCATGGGTGAGTGTAAAATTGCGTCGAACCCGGCATCGCGACCATGACTCAAGCTAACTCGTCTTGTCTTGGGCTTTTGCAGAGAGCCAGCGGGCCTACAGGTTTGTTCAGGGAAAGGACTGGGGCTTCAAGAAATTCATAAGGAGAGATTTCCTGCTGGACGAGGCCAACGGTTTACTGCCCGATGACAAACTCACGATATTCTGTGAGGTATATACCTTTGTATGTTGTGCTATTATTTTTCATTTTTCCCGATCGCCCACCAGTCCTCTATTCCCATATACCTGCGCCGCAAGCAAGCTCGCTCTCCTCGACGCCGCCTCATAGATTTGCATTGATCGTTGGCGCAGGTAAGCGTCGTCGCCGATAGCGTCAACATCTCCGGCCAGAGCAACACCATACAGTTCAAGGTGCCCGAGTGCCGGCTACCCGACGACCTAGGTCTTCTCTTTGAGAACCAGAAGTTCAGCGACGTCACGCTCACCGTTTGCGGCAAGGAATTTCAGGCGCACAAGGCGATACTGGCAGGTAATAGCCGCGGATTGACGAGCTCGACACTGAAAGTCATGGATCGAGTCAAACGTCGCTGATCGCTCGTTCGTTGCAGCGCGGAGTCCAGTCTTCTCGGCCATGTTCGAGCACGAGATGGAGGAGAGGAAGCAGAACCGGGTGGACATCACCGACGTTGAGCAGGACGTTTTCCGGGAGATGCTGCGCTTCATCTATACGGGTAAGGCGGCCAATCTGGAGAAGATGGCCGACGACCTACTGGCCGCCGCGGACAAGTACGCGCTCGAGAGGCTGAAGGTCATGTGCGAGGAGGCTCTGTGCACGAGCCTGGCTATCGACAACGCTGCCGACATCCTCATTCTCGCCGACCTCCACAGCGCGGACCAACTCAAGGCCCAAGCCATCGACTTCATCAACACGTGAGTGACCTTCGCTCTAGCCGCCCTCGGTCGCTTACGTACCCCTATATATCACTCAGCTCGTCAATTCTTCAATCTTCTTCTCCCTTTTCCGCTGCTCTCTTCGGCTCTCAGGCACGCGACCGACGTGATGGAGACGGCGGGCTTCAAGTCGATGGTCACCTCCCACCCAAGCTTGATTGCGGAGGCTTTTCGGGCGCTCGCCACACAACAAATACCGCCGATCGGACCGCCAAGGAAACGAGTTAAACAGAGCTGAAAGCAGTCGCCTCTGACTTCGGCAACAACAGCAACATCACCCCTGCCTCTGTTACATCCTTCTTGACTTTTGTGTACAGTGAAAGCGGAGTAGTGTTTAATCGATGTTTCCTAGTGTGGCAGCTTCTGGCCCACTCGCAAATCGGATATAAAGAGAGGCTACGATGCAGTGAAAATGTGGATGTGCGCAAATGGAATGTACAGAGAAAGAAAGAGAGAGAAAGAGAAAGAGAGAGAGGAAGAGAGAAAGAAAGAAAGCGAGAGAGAGAGGGAGAGAGAGAGAGAGAGAGAGAGAGAGAGAGAGAGAGAGAGAGAGAGAGAGAGAAAGAAAGGAAGAAAGAAAGAAAGAGAGAGATAAAAGGCCAGTTGGTTGACTTTGCTGCGTGGTCAGCGAGGAAACAGAGTGTCGCTGGCGCTTTTGAGACTACTTTGCCAAGTCAGTTTTATTGCATGCTTTCGTCCTCGTCCCCTAGCTGGCCATCCTCGATCGGCAACAGAGTGATGCACGTTATTGTCATTATCGTTATCATCACTATTGTTTCCTTGCTTTGCCCCTGGCCCATCGATAGCGATCAAAAAAGCTCATTGCTTTTATGTGTGTTTGCTCGAAAAATGCCAACGCCACCACCGTTAGTGGACCACCACTCTGCCTTTCTACTTCCATTCTAGAGGATGTCGCCAGCTAGTACGCCGACTGTCAGCAGCCAACAAAGGACCAACACGATACAACAAGCTCGTACCAACTGTTGCCATCAAACAACATGGACAACACGGTGTGTGATAGGCGTCAAACATTTTGTTCCTTTGTCAGCGGATCGAGCGATACCTCCCGTTCAAACAAATAATAAACAATACTGTGCAGCCTTCGCTCTCTGGCTAGGGCCTTTAAAGCGCGCCCTCGTACGGAGGCTTAGACACTTTGTTTAATACCGGATAGTAATTTTTAATTGTAAATCATCAAACTCTTCCAGAATGGAGTAAATGATTCTAGTTAGCGTTTTATATGATCTCTTTCTCTCAATATGTACGATTATTATTATTATTATTATTATTATTATTATTATTATTATTATTATTATATTATTATTATTATTATTATATTACTATCAATCCTAAGCGCAACTTGTGCCCTGTATTTTTGTATGTTTTGTCTACAAATATTCCTAACGATATTTTCACCTTTTAATTTTTCAATTCCGCTTTATCAGTTTTTTTTTATCGATTATAACTCAGGCACTTATTCATTTATTTCCTTTAAAAAATTCAATTCGCCTACGAATTCAACGTTTTTTAATTTACGTTTTTATAGTAAATTATAGGGTTGTCCATAATCTCACGAAAACTTGCAATGGCATTAAAATGGTCGGAAGAAAGAAGATTATATGAGTACGTTGAGCTTATCGATATTTTGCTAAATTCAAAACAGAAGGATCATTGCTGGCGTTTATTAGATGTAAAACGGCAAATGTGGCAAAATTGCTAAACAAAGTATATAGTAAACGTTAGTCAATTATATTAAGAGATATTAAACGTTTCGTGTAATTGATTGTTACAAATTACAACAAAACAAGACAAGAATATTAAGTTAAATTATGGGCAACCAGAGACAACAATAATCGTTTAAAACTACTGGCTTCCTGATCCTCCAACTAAGTTTAATTGAAGGTCTTAAATTTATACCGTTACACTAATGACGACGATAATGAATATTAATGCCATACATGTTCTGTGATAAGTCCATTGTAACAATTGCAACTGTATCTTTACTCCTGCTCTTGAAACTTAACGCCACATTCTGATTAGTCGATTCTGGCAGCCAGTGAAAATATTCATTAGGTATTGGCATCTGTCGGACGGCCCCTCGCAAGAAAAGTTGCTAAAGTTTCTAATGTATATAACATGTAACTACCTATATTTTGTAAAAAGAGAAAGCAAAAAGACAAAATCAAATTCAGCTTCAGCACAACGTGCAACTGATCTACGAATCATTTTGTTGCGCGCCTACTAAACTTTGTTTTATTTTTGGTAGATCATCATCTTTTAGTTTGCGCAATGTGATAATTAAATTTAAGGATTAGTAATCGCTGTACATGTGATTGAAAAATCTTTAATCATTCACTGACAATTGTAAAGCCCCTTTCATATTGAAATACTTATTTCAAAGCTGAAGCTCATTAGAAGTAAGAAACAGGAGCATATAAAAGCATTACTGTTTAATTTGTATATTGTATATTTTGGGACTGTCCGACAACTAATTAAAACAATTTGTAATCAATGATTTTCTTAAACGATAATATTGTTCGAATGAAAGATATTGTTTAAACACCGAACTGCAGCAAGAATATATGAGCGTATGACTGGATAATTTGATAAACTAAGTACAAGTAAGACAAATGTTACCTCATCATGAAATCAGTACTTTGCTGCTATGGATTGCTAATGTTTCTTTATCCAACGCACTTCCATTTTTCGTTGCATTTACAAAAGTTTCTGTTATTAACGTTACAATGGCAGTCCTAGGTACAGAGTGCTGTTCATCAATACCAGCTCATACATTCATTTTTCCATTATTTTAAGTCATTGCACCACATCAAATAAATTACATTTTCATTATAAAGCTATGAATAATTATTTATACCAAGTTTCCCAATAGTTTTTTCTGTAGGAAAAACAAGGTAATGAAGATATAGTCAAATACTAGATCAGTACATGAAGAAGAGTCAACAATTCTTTATTTCTTTTTGGAAGATTTTCTTATAATAAATAAGTAAAAACGCGATACTGTGCTTTTCATTATTAAAATCAACTGGTTAAGGTAATCAGTGCTTCCACAACATTTCCTCTATGTTCTCTCAATGTTTGTTCAGCCAAAGTTCTACTGATTTCCATTTCTTTCATCTGTTGCATTAAAAACGTGAATATTTCATTTAAAAAAATATTATGTGTACCTGAATTCATTATTTACTCACAATAAGATCGACATCTTCTTTATTTATTGACACCTTAAGAAGCTCTTTCTCTTTAGCCTTTTTTTCTGCTGCTTCTTTATTTCGACGATCACCAATAATACTCATAGCCTATGTTAAAGTATCAAAAATTACAAATTTTAAAGTTTTCCAAATTATGTAAAACCAAACTTCATATTTTAATAATAAAAAGTATATATGTTTTTATAGGTTAAAGCCATACTTTATGACTAAAAAGTATTTATCAATCTTTACAAAACATTCCAAACTTTAAGAACGCTCCAGATCTTATTTTATATAATTTATTATTTTTATTTAACAAATTTTAAATATTTTATTTTACTTACACTCGAGAAACCTTCCGAGGATGAAATTTCCTTCTCTTCGGCATAATCAGTAACTTTTTCTAAATCTGCAGCTCCACTATCGTATTTTGCAGTTTTTTTTTGAGCTTTTTCTTGTTGAACTTCGTCTGAATCACCATTTATATCTTCATCTGCCATGGCTTATACAAAAATTAAAAATATAACAATTTTGACAATACAACTGTGTATTTGTATAGAAAACCCCGAACCCAACCCCAAAACCAAACCACGCGAAAATTGTGCAGATGTCGCTATAATCGATGCCTATATGTTTGCAATTGCAATGCAACACATAATATATCTTGAGTCGCAATCCGCGAAATTCAAATTGACGTTAATTTTTGTTTGTTGAGCATCACTAGCACGACGATTGAAGCTTTTTTCTATTTTGTGAGTTGTATAATTCCATGAAAACCTCAATTTAACTTATCCCGTTTCGCTTACTCAATGACAATATTGATTGAAATTTTGAACTGAGTGAGTCGTATTCCGATACGTAAATTACATATGTTTTAACATACATTTAATCAAGCACTGTTGCAGTCAATAAATAAGTGATTTTAAAATTATGTGTATCGTTGCAATGAGAAATATTTTTTGTTTAACAGATGATTATATACCGATGTCTTGATTGGATGAAAAAATTACACTGATTTTTGCTAAAAGTTCAATACATTCATTTCCATCAAAATTACTGTAAAAAGCTGCGCAGATACAATTTCTGCTGTTCAATTTTTTAATATTTGTTAAATCGAAAGTAAATTACGTGGAAATATCAATAAGTTTTGTTATTCTTACTAATCATACTTAGTTTTTTTATAATTTTCTTGGATCGTTTTTTGTCAATTTCCCGCTAAGTTTATCTTCATCTGATTACAACACAAAATATACTACTGATTGTTTGGATAATATGTAGATATTGTAGATATACTCATATTACTTGTTATTCTTATCAGTAATGAATGTTATGATATATGATGATGTCGGATCACGATACATGACTCTCAAACAAATGAAGCAATATTTCATGCAATCTTGTACTTCAGTAGTGGTACAAGTATAAGCATTGTACATATATAATTAAGTATCCGCGCACATTTACTAAGAAAATTGCTTTATTTGAGTTTAATACATGTAGGGTGGCAACGGTGAACGGACCTAAAGAGAGTGCGCGACTATTCGGTTATTTTCTCGAGCTTGAGACCGATTCAACAGTCCAACTCTTGCTAGTTCAGTGTTCAAATCAAACGCGAAAGCGCGTGGTGCTCTACCTAACTTATACCTATATAGCAGTAAGTAAGTGTAAGTGTGAGTGTCCCCACACAAGTATGGATTTGGGAACACGGGATCTATTACCTGTTTATTGGTCCCGATTGTTCCCGTTTCAAGCCATTTATGAATGGCTTAATTACGGTCAAGGTACACATTTGAACAATGAATTTGGGCAGCGTTATGTACACGCATCCATACACATACACACAACAACATACATACATATATAATAAAATTGCTTTTTAAATTGTAGAAGAATTGTTTTCAAAACGAGAATTCGTTTTTAATTTTGGCAAGACTGGAGATCGCTTTTTAAGAAATTTATCATTTAAAGATTATGCAGAATTAAAAGCATACGTAAAGGTAACAATCCCAAATAAAATTGACATTGGTGCTGTGTATTCAGAGCCGTAAGTATGCAAATTTTTCTTTGTATTATCTATTTTCAGTTAATTATCACTGAAAAAAGCTTTATTATAATTGTAGCCCACAAATAGGCAAAACTTCTAGAAATCCTATTCAAAAAGAATTAAATATTGACATTGATATCAATAATTATGACGATGTAAGAATATGTTGCTCAGGAGCAAATATATGTCCAAAATGCTGGAAATATGTAGTTGTAGCAATAAAAATTTTGGACACTGCTATCAAAGGTGTACTTATTAATTTTCCATTTTTTATTAAATTGAGACTATTTCTATCTATTTCAACTTTTCAGAGGACTTTGGGTTTGAACATATATTGTGGGTATATTCTGGCAGACGAGGAGTACATGCCTGGATTTGTGATAAAAGAGCCAGATCATTACGACTGGAAGCAAGACTAATGATCTGCAATTATCTCCAGCTAGTGAAAGGTGGAGATCATATTTCTAAAAAAGTTTATTTGCGAGAAAAGCTACATCCTTCTGAGAAGTAAGCATAATTGCATTGCAATTTATTGTTGAGAGCTAAGAATAATGTTAGAAGACTCATTGAATTTGTCATTTTTCACAGGCGAGCTATAGATATTATTGATAAAGTATTTGTTGAATTGTCTGTAATAGAACAAAATATGCTAGGAACAGATCGTAATTTAGAAAAGTTTTTGACCTTATTCAATAAAGAACTACGTAGCCCTATAAAAGAATACCTTATAAAATATCCAACAAGTTTATTACGATGGAATGCTTTTGTAAATATTTTTAATAAAAATAAGAAAGTCAAGGTATGTTCAACAATCAAATTATTGCTTTCTTGCAGCATTTATTTTAAAGTATTGATTTGACTACTTTTATACCCCAGATTATACAAGAGTGGATAAATAGACCTTACTTAATTGAAGAAATTAAAATACAGTATGTCTATCCAAGAATAGATTTACAAGTTACCCATAGTTTGAGCCATTTATTAAAAAGTCCTTTTTCAATACATCCCAAAACTGGAATCATTGGAGTACCCATTGATTACACTAAAATTGATGAATTTGATCCATTTTCTTTACCAACAGTTGCACAGCTAATGGATCAAATTGATTCATATTGTCAAACTGCAAAAGAAATGAAAGTTGATCTTGAATTCTATAAGTATACTCATGATTTGGAAAAGACTGTTTTAGAAGATAGTTATACAGTATTTTACAGATTTATACGTCGTTTAATACGTGATAGTAATTAAGTGCCATTTTTCTAGTTGATGAAAAAGAAAATATTTGATAAGAACGTTTTTGAAAAAACTTATTTTTTTTAGTAATAAAATAAATTTATAAAAAGAAAATGAAAATATTATGAAAGAGAAGACTAACACAAGTCGCCATTTAATTGTCTGTGTAATGTTTGTATTTTCTACCAATCCAGTTATAAGATTTGTGATAAGAACTGTCACTAGATTGCGTTTATCAGAGCTGTTAATGATTAATTATATATTTTTATATGAAAAAATTTTTATATAAAATAAATGTATTGTGAACACAAAAGATTTTCTCTTTTTCATTAATATACATTTGAATACATTAAATAAATACTGTTTATTCCAAAATTTTCAACTGCCTTATAAAATATGATGTTTTATGAATCAATGATTTAATTCAAGATTGATTTTATTTTTATTAACTGTAAGTTTTACTCAAGTGAAAAAATGGAAGTAAAAATATAATTACAAAGTAGTTGTGAATACAATATTGTTTGAGAATTATGGATAAAAAAATAATTAAGCTTCATCATCGCTGTTGGTTTTTCCTCCTGGGAGTTTTGGGCCACCAGCTCGTTTGGCCATGATGATTTGATCAATCTTAAGAACTGTGCATGCAGCATTGACAGCATATTTTAAAGCCCAAAATTTGGTTAAATATAAATCGAAAATTCTATTTTTTTCTGCATCAATAATAGCAGCTGCTCCAGAGCTCTATAAACATAAAAATTTGATGTACTTAACAAATATTGTAATAGCCCTTGAGAATGTCTGCAGAGAGGTGCAAATACTTTCAATTAATTGGATAAACTTGAGAAAATTCTTTTTTACAATCAGAAACCAACCTGAATAAGTTTGTTCATTGAATTTTTGTTAAGAAATTGTTGTTAATCAACAAAGCAAATTATACTACAATAAATTTTGCTCAAACATTTATAAAATCCATACATTCAAGTATTCATATAAACAAGGCTATACAGAAATTGTTATAATTTTTTGAAGTTTATCTAATTAACCACTAAGCCATGAGGCATAAACAATGAAAAATCGACATTTGAACTTACCTCAATATCAAATCCATAGTTAATATTTCCTTCTTTGTGAGATGCATACAACTTTGATAATAATTCAGATGCCTGAGTTCCACTATTTTCTGCCAATGTTTTTGGAAAAACTTCTAGGGCTGAAGAAAATTTACGTACAGCATACTGTTCCAATCCAGGAATGGTATCTGCAAACGAAGCAATTCTAGAAGCTAATTCAATTTCTGTTGCACCAGCACCAGGCAGAAAACGTCCATCTCGGGTAATAGCTTTGAAAGTATTAACCCCATCATCAATAGCTCTTTCGATATCATCCATGTAGTTGTCAGTAGATCCTCTAATAATGATAGTACTGATACGACTATCTTGTTGGTGAAGTTGAAAAACAACTACATTTGTATCACCCACTTCATCAACATGAACAGTATCAGTACTTCCTAATTCTTCTTTTGTTGGGGGAATCTTAAAATGTTACATCATTATTACTCTTTTATGTATTTTCAAATGTAATTATTCAATAAGATTTTGAACAAAACGTGACTGATTTATATAATATTTGTTCTATATTACAATAATGTTGCAAATGATTTCTTACCAGCTTGGACAAAGCTACTGCACCAACAGCTTTACACAGGCGTCTCAAGTCAAACTTACTGGGAACTCTTACAGCCATCAAATTATATTTATTAAGATAGTAGAGAGCCATATCTCCAAATTTACCTCCCGAAACAATGACAGTTGCACCACTTTCAGCAATAGATTTAATTTGTGACTCTAACATAACTTCTTCACCACGAGAAAAGTTCATTAATTCATCAGCACTCTTAATAAGAACTGTTCCTTTCGTTTCTGTCTGTGTAATGTCAACAGCGCATGTATAAACAGCAATTTTAGCATTAACTGTTTTAGTTATGTCCCCTTCAACGTGTCTTTTGAAAACCATTCCTTGAATAACCTTTAATTCAATTTAATTTCAAAATTTTCTTCTCAATTCAATCAAATAGTGTAAAAGTACTAATTATGTTAAGCAAATTTATGTACCTGAGAAGAATGCAGCCCAGATCCTAAAATTTTGCAAATCCTCACATTGTCAACATTGAAAGTAGTATTACTAGCAGGACTATTTGTAGATAAAATTGAAATACAAGCTTGACAAACAAGATTTGCAATAAAATCTTCTTTTCCATATTGTTTACTCATTATTGCTGTTGTTATACCAGCTTTAATTTGTTCAATATTATTACAATCCTTTGCCTCATAAATGACTAATTTTGGTAGTTCTTCTAGAGTTTTTTCTAAAGCTACTTCATAACCCTCCACAATTTCTGAAGTTGTAATACCCTTCAATTACAAATAAGTAAATCAATTACATAAAAGACAAATTATCAATTGTTCATTATATTTTACTAATATTTCATACCAAACGTAGTAATTCTTCTGCAGCATCTAGTAAAGCACCAGCAAATATAATGACAAAGTTGGTTCCATCACCTACTTCAGCCTCTTGCATTTCTGAAGCAAGGACTAACAATTTTGCTGCAGGATGTTCAACATCTAATTCTTTTATAATGGTTGCTGCATCGCTCGTCACAAATAATTTTTCTAAGTGATTAATCACCATTTTATTCATACCATTTGGCCCATACGCAGTGCGTACTGATTGGGCAAATAATTTACAAGCTGAGATATTGCGAAAAACGGCTTCTTCTAATCCGGAAAAATACTACAACAAAGAAATATTCATATACGAGATATTCAATTTATGTACAGCATATTAGGGAACAAATGAGTATCAAGTAGACAAGAAGTCTTGATCAAGAATTTCAAAATGATTTAAGACAACACCATAAATGGTAGCAACACCCATGAATACGCTCGAGACTTCGGAGCACATGTTTAAGCACTTATTGAAAAATGAACTTTAATTTTTAATAATACACTTACGCGAACACCGTCTTTCAGCATTTGAGTCACGCCTGGTGCTTTCGGCACGTGTAAAGCCATTTTTTTAATACTATTTGTATTTTAGAATTAAAAAATTTTTGAATCACTAAGATTGTGTACTGACTGATAACTGCAGCAGCAACGATATATATGTGTATAGGTTAGGTGAGAGCTGCGGTCTTCAAGAGAGAGAAAGAGAGTAACCGCAATGAGTAATTGAGATTAAGACGCAGTGTATGCGCAGTAACTATATGCGCAGATACCGTAACCGGCTCAGCTCATGACTCATAACGTAATCATAATCCGCGAGTAGATGGTGTTTATCCTTTTTTATAGCAATTTCATTGGTTAGTGACAAAACTTATTGGACAAAATGTATATGTGTGCATTTGACCAATAATAAAAGTTGTAATATAACATATGTACATATTAGAGGTAATCTTAATTCATCGTGTAAATAATTGTAATATGACTTACAAATGCTTCGAAAGTTTTGTTTATCAAGACAACTTATCTAAGTCCGCATAAATTGTTCATAAAAAATCGATCCTTATTTTTAATATGACACTTATTTTTTATTTGTTATTAAATTTGTTACATTTTATAAACAATTTGTATTGTTTCATCAAACAATATTGCGTTAAAATATGTTTGCTTATGAAGCATCACGTTTATGCAAATAAAGGATTTGAAAATTACTGGTTGGAAAATTCAAGTGATAATTTAGTCTCAAAACTTCCAAATCATATTGCAATTATTATTGGATTGGAAGAAATATCCATTATTGACATAACAAAATTGATCGACTGGTGTATGACAATTGAAATATCTTACATCAGCTTCTATGATCACAAAGGTAATGTTTCAGCTACTTTTTAGTAATATTACCTTTGTATTTAATACAATTTTATAATTATCATAACTTCTTTCATCACATTAGGTCTCTTGCAAAAAAATTATCCTCTTATAGAAAAAAATCTCAAACAGCAAACACCTTCAAATTTACATAATACAGAATGTGTAAAAGAATTTAGTAAAATGGACAATGGTACAAAACTAATCAAAATGTTAGGCTACAATTATAAATGCAATATTGATTCTGATTCATTAAATAAAGCCAAAAACAAAAGTATTAAAATACAATTTTTGTCATATCTCGATGGTAAAAATAAAATTGTTTCTTTAACCAAACAATTATCAACTTTTCTTGAATGGAATGATAACAATGAAAAAGATATAACATCTAAATTGATTAGTGAAAATTTGAATTGGAATGTTCAAATCCCAGAGCCAGACCTGGCCATAGTGTTTGGTAAAACACTGTGTTCATATGGATTTTTACCATGGCACACAAGGATAACTGAGTTTTTGTAAGTATTTTATTAAAACAAGCCAAGGCAATATTTTATTTTTAAAATCCACAGTTTATAACACTGTTTTGTTATGTTGAATAGTGTTGTGCCAACTCACTGTGGTCTCACATATGATGACTTTACAAGGATACTAATAAAGTACAATATATGTCAACAACATTACGGAAAGTAACGAAACTGGTTATCTAATTTTATAAGTTGCAAGATATATTTAGATTCATATATGTATAAAAATAAAATAATACTTTTATTCCACACTGTACTATCTACTTGATTTTGATACTAGTATGATATTTATGTTATACAAATTAAATTAAAAGTAAGTTAAAATAAAAGTAAGCAATATATAAAAATCACTTATGAATTAGGTATCTGTAATAAGTGTAATTGATTATAAATTAATTTTAATTTCAGTGATTGAATAAGTATGAAATTACAAATGTTCTATGTAAATTTTTGAAGGAAATAGGTAATACGGTTAGTTGAAATTCAAAATTTACTTTTTGATACTCTTTTTTCAATAAATGTTTAAGAATATTATCTGAATTAATTGAATAACAAAATTTATTTTAGATTTCTTGTGATTATTTCAATTGGATAATAGACCATTTGCTTATCATTTTTAACAATTGTTTAAATTAAATTAGATTGAAGAAGATAAAGTAATTACAAATATAAACAATGTTGATTGAGATGATCTTCATGAACCACTTTATTGATAAAAAATAAAAAAAAAGAAAATATTTCATGAACATCGCTTTAACCTAAAGTTTGATGATTGGTAAAGGAAATTGAAGGAACTGAATATTTATTTATTTATTTTATTAATGGAGCTAGTGGATTATATTTTCAAGTAGTACATCAATAATACTCAATCATACAATTTTCCGATAGCGCATGTAGTCAACGGAATAGAACACAGAACAATTTAGAAAGGCAAATTTCGCAGATAATACACAAGCTGTATGTACAAATTTGAAATAAAAATAGTAATGGCTAGAGTAGATGAATGTGCAAAATAGTGAAAGCTCTGTATAGATCGATGCGTCGATCAGTCGACGTGATGGCGCGTTGACTTTTTATTATTGCGATCTCGTTCGTAACGGTAGCGTTGACGATGCGAGCTTTTTGATTTTCGAGTGTTGGATCTGGAACGTCTTGCCCGTTCTGTCGAACGCGAACGGCTACTCCTTCTTCTTGCCCCTTCGGATTTTGATCCGGAGATGGTGGTGCTTTTACAACTGTACGAAGATTTGGATCTCTTGCGATTTCGGGATTTAGATCTTGAACGCGTTCTAGATCGAGATCGAGACTGCGATTGAGAGCGAGAATGAGGCCTGGAGCGCGAGTGTAAGTTACTACGGTGTCGATGTTGCTTACGAAAACTGGAGTATGACCGCGAGCGTGAACGCCTTTGCCTGGATCTCACGGTAGAATTAGATCTATCCCGCGATCGCGATTTCGACCTCGATCTCGATCTCGATCTGGACCTGGATTCAGAGCGGAAATGTGTGTCAGATTGGGAGGTCGATCTTGACCTAGGATTACCATACTGAGAACTTTTCAGACTTTTACACTTTTTGTTAAAATCACGGCTACTTTTGTAGTTTTCACTTCTGGATTCATCTTTTTTCACAGTCTTGTCAGTATTTATAGGGTTAGCCTGCAGTTTAGATGAAGATGATTCGCACGAGTTCTCCCGGGATGATGAATCATTTTTACTTCTAGATCTACTTCTGCTCGACGAATATCTTTTGGCACGTTCGTTTAATCGCAGCCGAGCTTTACGGGCTGATGAGCATGTGTTGCTTTTACCATTGTTCGAGCTATGACTGGTCTTTCGTTTAGCCACATAGCTCTGGTTGGCGCTATCCGAGCTCGAAGACTCTTCACCCTGGTTGAAACGATCCGGTGTGCCTCTCGATAATGATTTATTATCCGAAGATGACTTTTCATCCTCGTTGTATAATGAGGTTTTTCTGCTACCAGCTGTAACAAAAGTGCCACTTTTCAATTCGACAACTTACATCAATGTCCACGCAGCAACTGTATGTATCTCAACATATGATATACTAAAAATATGTATTTTTATGGCTAATTCACCTGACTTGACAGACTTCCGATGCAAAATAACACATTCAGATTTACAATATGTATGTTCACACGATTCAAGTAGTTTATTGTTGATGAAAACATCGTTAATTTTTACGGATAAATGACACGTAGCGTGCTTTATACCGAAGCAACATGCATATTATGCAATTTTTTCAACACTTCAGCGTCTTTACTCTCGCACATCTTAAAATTCATCGACGATATTTTGTTATACTTTATATAGATGTTTGAATATTACCTGCCAAGCTGTCATTGCGATTACTACTGTCTTTCCAGATTTTGTTTAACTCTTGCGTTGCGTGTCCTATTTTTTGTTTATTTTTATCTTTCGCGTTTTTCTCGTTACTTATCATTTTATCTTTTCGATCAGAAAGAATTTCTGACTTTCTATTTTTTGATAATTGGTCTTCATCCTTCGTGTTTTCCTCTTCTTCTGCTAGATTAGCTTCTATTTCTGCTTCAGTTTTTTTAAAAGCTTGTTGCCGAAAACGCAACGTTTCCTAAAAATAAGACATTTAAGTTAAAACTAGTTTGCGAATTATCTAAAGATTTTTATGCAATGAATAAATATTTTATTTTAATTTAAAAAAATTCAAGTATAACTTTTTATGTTCATAACTATACGCTACCATATGTATTACAATTGAAATATTAATCATCTTTAATAGTTTAATTACTAAAGCGAATTGTACTTTATAAAAGCTCTTTTGATTTGTTGAGTAGTTTTTGATGTTATTTAATTTACGGTACTATTGATAATTTATATAGTAAACTTGTAATGGCATAGTTAGTTATTTATGAGTTTAAACTTCAAAAATATTTTTCAATTATGCTGTTTTCATTCATCATTTTCAATAAAAATTTTAAGCTAACATCTCAAATTCTCGCTGTACTTTTTATACGGAAGTTGAGGTTTGTCTTATTTATTCAGGCATCGGAGTTTAATGCAACATTTTTTCAATTTGAATCAATTTTTCATTACGTTCTTTGTTAATTATAGAATAAACAATAATTATTGAATTGAATATATTCTTTATGTAAACAAAAATACATCGAGAATTTTAAATCTTTTTCATTTAGTATTCACTACAATTTATGAAATACTATGTTATTTTACTAACCTTTAATTCTTCATCACTATCATTTCTACTGGGTATTGATTTTTCTGGTTGATTCTGTATTAAATGTTCATCACTAGATTCGCTATCGCTATCACTGTAGATTCCTAATCCTAGAAAAATGTGGATAAATTTAAGACATTTTTTTTTAATTTGAAGAGAACTTGACTTCAAAATATGATATATAAAGTATTAATAAAGATCGTATGAGTTTTATTTTTTATACAGAAATATTTCTCAAGAATTTATCAAAATTGAACTTGATTTATATGAATTGAATCTACAAATGTGACACTCTTCTTTTTATTGCATATAAACGAACCATTCATAAATGTAATGTACAGATATAGTGAGAGTACATTTATAAAAAATATACTTATAACAACTTTTATTAAAATTTTATTAAGATAGTGATGTTTGAGGTTTTCTTTAGCTTTATTATGTACAACTTTCGAATTATACTTTATAAGAATATAATTAGTAACCTTCGAATCGAATTAATATTTATGACTATGGTATATTTATGGGCTTTCTACTACTTTTTCATTATGGTACACGTCTGATAGTCGATTTACGACCTCTCTTTACGTAGGAAGCCCCTTTAGTGCTCATTTCAATATCCAACAAAGAATCAAAAATTAAAATAATATCTGACAAAACAATTAAACTTGTTTTTTAATATTTTTCTCTTTCAATTACTTTAGGTATACTAACCAAGACGGCGGGTAATCTGCGCGACTGGAGCTGTATTGCCAGGTGTAGCTATTAGCATTTTTCCTATAAAAAAATACAGTATGTATTATATTTTTTGTAAGGTATGTACTCAAAAAATATATTTTAAAATCAGTAAAAAACTACTATATAAGTTGAATTTATATTTTTAGAGAAATAAATTAAGTTAAATTTATTAATAATCACCTTTATTATGAAAATTTTTCCAAACTTCCTCACATATAGAATTTATTTCATCATTTGTTACCTCTAATAAAATTTCTGTTAACGATCTTCGGACTTTCAGCATCTAACATAGAATGAAATTCGAATTAGTTATCTATTTATGAAACTTTACTAGGTTGAATGAATGAATACCCATAAATAATTTAATTAAAAATCCAAAACTTCAGAAATAACATACAAAATGTCTCAATAGCCATTACATTTTCACAGTTAACGAATTATTTATAGAATTATGGCTTAAGTATATTTCATTGAGAATCACAGAAAGAATATATACATTACCAAATTCTGTAAGAGTTCTTCTTTATTCATTAATACATTGGAACCAATTGCAGCACTAGAATTGTTGCTAATGATATCTGGATTCTGCAGTTTCACTACATTAGATGACTTTTCAGGCGAAGATGCATCATGAAATCGACTTTTTCTCGGTCTCGAAACTTCTGGGCTATTTTGGTCGTAGTTTCCTTTTTGTAGTTTATTGACATCATCTTGATTGTCTTCTTTAACATCACGCATTTCATATTCAGGTAATTCTTTTTCAGAATCTGAATCCTAAATCAAATACATGTTTAACTATTTATAAAAGCTTTCATTATAATGAATTTTCGGGATAAAAGTGTACAAAGTGGAAATTCATTCATTGTTCCATTATAGATATAACAATATATTTTTATGTTATGGATAAGAGAGGACATCGCATTGATATCAGAAAGAATTGAGATATTTTTTAATTACTTTTGTTAAATCTAACATCGAGATTCATTTCGACAAATGAATGTAATAATTATCCATATTCAATTTAACGGTTCAAGTATCTTTTCTATTTTTCTTTCTATACATGAATGATATGCTAAGACAAGCTTCTACTTACAAATTTACTCTTATCAGGACTCAAAACAGCTCGAGCTTGGTCTTTAATTTTTTTACACGCTTCCATCTCTTGTTTGTGAAGAATGGCTTGTCGTTCCCGTTCAATAGCTTTTTGTTTCTCTCTTTCCATTTTTTCTAAACCTTCTCGAATCCAAGCTGGTAGTTGTTTACGTTTAATTGTGTCTGAGAATTTATATAACGTTTTTTTAATCAGATAAATATTGATATGTATTGGGCCATACATAACTTACCTATAGTATTCAATGAATCATTTTCCGGCGTTTTCTCCTTCACTTCTCGACTTCGTCGCGTCATGTCCATCATAGGTAAAGTACTCAGTGCTGCAGAGCTTGGAGAAATTCTAGTGATACTTTGCCTAACATCCTTTACAAAGGGCGAAGTACTGGTCCCCGGAACATGTGGATGCTGTTCATTATTCCAAAAACCACTGCCAGTAACCTGAATTTATAATATTATGTCATAAATATCTAGTATGATTATTTTGTTCAATAAAATAGATGTCAGACTTGATTGTTGAAATGTGATCGAGGAAGAGTCATTGTATTGTATCCTAATGAAGGAGATAATGAAGAAGATTCCAAGGGTACAGTTGAACTTAATGCATTATGATCAACAAATGCTGGAGTAGTAGATATTACAGGAGCTGGTGGTGGTATCATCAAATTATTTGGAATTCTAGTTAATGTTTCATTGACCTCTGGAGATACATTGTTCCAATCCCAATTGGAGTTTGCTATTCCTATTGAAGCTTGATTCCAATTACTTTCCCACTGATTCCATCGATTCCAATTATCTATAAAATAAATATTATTTAATTAAAACACAAAAAATGTATCTATAAATAAGTAAGTAATATCAAGTACACAATATTTTTAATAAAAATTACTTGAACGAAAGATTCTACAAAATTATTAATGCAGATAAAATACCTGCTCCGCTAATGTTCGGTGCTGGAGGTGCTGGTGGAATCCCATCATCTTTGAATTCCATATCCATAGGTGCTTCGCCACCAGCAAATGATGAACTTGGTGGATTTTGTGTTATTGATGGTGGTGTTGGTACCGATGGAATATTGGTTTCTTTCATTTTTATCCATTCTTGAGCCAAAGCTGCCCAATCAACTAGAAATAATTTTAAATTATTGTAGCTCAAATCAAAATTACTGTAGTAGATAAAATGTTATTATAATTTACTTGTCATCAATGTATTCTTATAAATACTATATAATACTTATTACGTAAATGCTAATTCATTTAGCTATACATATTCAAGTAGTAACTAAATTTTTCATAGAGAAATAGTATGTGTTCTTGATGAAAATATTTTTAAATTTGTCTATGATTTTGTTATTAACATATATATTACCTTGATCATTATCCATGGTTCGATAACTTGAGGGATTCAAAGCCCACTTGGTTGGATAATCTTTATTATCAAACATTTTACCACTCATCATTGATGAAAAACATTTTGAACATTATGAATACAGTGTTTATTGCATTTGAAAAGAAACTATCTTTTATTAATTTTAATTTTTGAAGTGAAACTGAATAATTATAGCTCTAAAATCAGACTCAAGCATGGGTTATAATATGAAATATTCTGAATTTTAAATTAGTTATGTAAATGTTATAAATATACACGCATATAATACATTTTTTAATTTAAATACACATTAATAATTGATGGCGCTATAAATCTTAGTAAAAAATGCTTAGATATTCTATCAACTTAACCAAATTGTCTACAGGAATTTTTAAACAATGACTACTTTGCGATTTTTAATTGCTTATCTGCTGATTCGAGTGAATTTTTTGTTTTAATTTCTATTGCAATAAGTTTCTATTACATTGATATATATTAAAATATAAATCTATGGTAAGAAATAACACTGTAAGAAGTCAAAAATTTTGCATACAGCTCGAAATGTTTTAAACGTTTTTGTAATCTGTGCCACTCTACATTTTCCACTCAAAAAGTAGCACTAACGCAAGTATGCACTGTTCTATGTATATATATTCAAAAATAAATACATAATTATTTATCATTAACTTTTATACTTGGTGCAAAACTAATGCTATGTATGCATTGCCAGCATAAGCATTGCCTCTCAGTTCAGATTTCGGAAACTGTGAGAGTAGGTTGCAGACTTGCAGCACTTGCGTATATATCAGTTGCATTTATAGGTTAAGTATAGGAAACTGTTAAACCGTATATAAACCATATTAGAGATAGGCTGTATAGTTGTAGTACAGTAACAACAGCGTTAACAACAATGCGGTAATGACAAAAGCAGTTGTAGCTATATTGATATATTAGTAACTTGGTTACATTAAATTATCTTAATAATTTTATATGTTTTATGATTAGCGCTATGAAGTCTGAGGATTTACGGTCATCTATAAAAACCTATTCAGCACTACACTGCTATAAAAGTAATCAACGTGTATCTCATCATTACAATATCGAGACAATAGAAAAAAATTAAACGATGATTTTTTGAAAATCTTTTTATTCGCCATGATGCCGACCCTGTAATGTCGTTATTTAGTAAGATCGACAAGAAATTTTTATAAACTTTTTTGTAGAATAAAATTAATAGGTATGCCAAAAAAAGTTGAAAAATCTGCAGACAAAGTAAGAAGTCGTAAGAAATTTTCTATGAGCATAAAAAATGGTCGACGTTGGACTTCTCTTAAAAATCATTTAGGAATCCTAACTGATGATGAACTCATTGAATATTTGCTTGCTCTTGCTGATTCTGTGATTGATCAGTAAGATAATTTTGCTTTGTAAAATATACATACTATAACTTTCCAACAACATTGTATCAACATTTTTATTATTTTTCAGAGAAAGCAAAAACTCTCATGGAAATGTAGAGTTACATAAAGAACAATGTATCCAAGAAAATAATGTGCAATCAAATTTTATTCAAAGTCTTGACTCAAGAGTTTTAAATAACAATTTACAAAGGCGCAGTCCAAGGAAATTTAATATAGATGATTTTTCTAAAAGTGCATGTTGTGAAAAATCAAAAAATGTGTCTTGTTCTTTACATAGCGTTGGAAAACTAAATCAGCAAGAACAGAAAGGTTCTTCCAAATTTCATTTGGGAATAACTAGGACAAAAAGACATACAAATAAATCAAAATGCCACAGAGATAAGTTTAAAAAAAAATATCAAAAAATTGAAGATACAAATAGTTTAGCTACTACTGGAAATAAAATAATACACAGAGTGACTTTGAAGCTTGACTTAGAGAATAGCTCTATGAATAAATCTTCAGATCTACTTGCTAAAAGTGAGACTGAAAATATTGGTAATCAATACTCTAAAGATTCAAATAAAAATAGCTCAGTTAAATTGCCATCAAGTGAAAATCTTGAGATTGATTTACAATACAGTTCGACACCAAACATAACGAAGAATGGCTGTAACAACATAGAATCACTCAATAATTTCCAACCATCAGAATTGACTCAGCCTCTTACAGTAAGTGTTAAAAATTTGACTAAAAATTTAATAGAAAATGAAGATATTCCAAACAGTAATGGATTGAATAACTCTTATGAAAATAAGAAGGAATCCAATAAACAAGCTTTGTCAGAAGAATCTGACAAAGCTTATCTAACAGATCAAATATCATCCACCTGTGACAGTGATGATGAAAAGTATCAGGAAACTACTAATATTACAAAAAGATTTGACGTTTCAAAGACCTCACAAAATGATGTAATAACATATACTCATACAGAGATGACTCCACCACTAGTTGACTCTAAATCTGAAGATAATAGTTATGTTATTAAGGTGGACACTGGGGCATCGACCCTAGTAAATAAAGTTTGTAAAATTTGTAATTCCATGCATTCACAAGATGCATGTACTGTGATGAAACCAGAATACATAATTGAAGATTCCATATCACTTCTAAATTGGATAAATAAATACAAAAATAATTCTGAAGTGGTAAACATAATTGATTCAAATGAGCCAATGTCAAAAGGATATTGTAATGGAGAGAATTATATTTTTGAACCCAGTGAAGAGAGAGTCAAACAGTATGATGCAAAATGTGATATACAGTATGAAGAAAAACAAGAGAACATCTACCCAGAACGGCCTCTTTACTCAAGAGAATCTCTTCCTTACTGCTTAGAATTAAAAATGTCAAATATGGATCATGGTCTTGGAGTATTTACTAAAAATTCCTTACCAGTTCATACTCAATTTGGTCCTCTTATTGGACAATTTATCCAAGAAATGGATATACCTGATGATTACTCTATGAAACACATTTGGCCGGTATGTTATTTATCTTTTTAATGTAATATATTTTTTCTTATTAAAATTAAAAAATGGGAGTTCATGTAATAATAAAAACATTTTATGTAATTACTTATTAAAAAGTGATTGAATCTTAGTATTTATAAAGTTTCATATTTAAATAAAAATTTGCAAATCAATTAACAATTCTAAAGATGTTTATAAAAAACTTAATCTTTTTTAATGAAATAAGAAAACTGAACAGAATTAATTATTATGTAATTTTATAAGTATTTAGTTCGAAAATTTTTTACCGATACTTTGCACAATAGAAAATAATGCACAGATTAAAATTAGTATTAGTATTTTCAGAAAAAAATTAAAAAGTGACGAAATTAAAAAAAAAATTTAGATTGAACTATTTAATTTAGCATACCGAAAGATATAATAATTATGAGAAAGATATGCTGACTTTTTTCGAAAAATTGTTTCAATTGGAAGGATTTGATAGGTATCATTTTGAGGATTTTATTTAATAATATTATAAAAATTAATTATTCATTAATTTAAAAATAATCTACAAAGCATTTTGTTGACTTTATTCATTTATATAATATCAAACCTACGAAATTTTCTACACTGTGATTTCAATAACTTGGTAAAAATTTTAGGTTTCGACGAATAATAAAACCCAGTATATAAGCACTACAAATCCTTTAAAAAGTAATTGGATACGTTATATAAGACCATCTGAAACTGAAGATTCAAAAAATGTAAATATTGTGAAAAAAAATGATCAGTTATTCATTATTACTTGTAAGATGTTAAAGGCCGGTACTGAATTGATTTACTGGCTGGATTCATATTCGGATTCTTGGACAAGAAAAAATAAAATGGATAAAATGAGTAAGTGATAAGAATAAGCTATAAGACACTTTCTACATTAGAGAAATCAGACATCGAACGTCGGACGAGTACAAAGATAAAAAAATGTGAAGAAATACTATGTTTGGTTATTTAAATGATATTTACATAATCTGTGATTACAATTTCAACTAATATTACCATTTATACATTTTAGTTAATTTATGTCTTATTGATTGTTTTATTTATTTTTTTATCTCGGTACATATCCGATGTCCGACGTCCAATGGCTCGTATGAAAGTCTCGTATGAAAGTTATTTTATAACAAAAATTCATGTCTTGAAATCATCGCAATAATTCTTTGTTTTTCTTACATATTAAAACCGTTGCTCCCATCAGATCAACAATATGATTATTCTTTAATCTAATTTTCAACACTTACTATTGAAGTTAATATTCAGCTGATTTGAGAATGTCAATATGTAAAATAACCATTTCGAAATTTACATTCATCTAAATGAGATAAAATAATTTGGTTCATCTTTTTGAAATCAATCACAAAAATTTTTTAAGTTTAATATTGATTTTATAATTTCTTTTGTTATTATTATTTTTCCTTATCGATTTGAAAATAAAGAATTAAAGAAATTATTTTACAATAGATAAATTAAATTTTTCATAACAACATAAATTGTTTCAAAAAAAAGCTTATTTCAATATTATTTACAATTACTCGTAAAGCTATGCTTTAATGAAATTAATAATGAAACGAGACCATTTCGGAGGCATATATTTAAACATTAGTCTACCCTAAAGATCAGGGGTGGACCACGTAATCTGTGTCCACCCCAACTAAAATCGGTTAATAAAATGAACTGTAATCAATCGAAAAACAATTGCTTAAAAATGAGTTTTTGTGGTTGCAGATTGCGGAGGCTGTAATCTAAAGTTTTCTCATCCAATTTACTATCGCTTACACTGCTGTATTTTTCATGATACCAATTATAGCCTCACGATCAGGAAATACCATTGTAAGGTAAGATTTGGTGTCCTATTAATAGGTTTTATTGAAGGTCTTATGAAACGTGCTGTAATTATTGTTGTACTTTAATAGGTTTGCGGTGCTGCAGTTTTGGGAAAAGATAACATTATGAAACATGCTGCTCAATTTCATGCAGGTCGTGGTGCATATCAATGCCAATATTGTAAAAAATTTTTTTTAAGGCTCAATTATCTCGAAATGCACAGAACATATGGTTGTTCGAAAAATCCTCAAAGGTCCAGGCCATTATGTGATTTTTGTGGTCGTAAGTTTTGTCAGCCTCAAAAACTTAAAGTTCATATAAAAAGGATGCACAGTGGTACTTACTTTTTTCTCATAATATTCATTTGATCGTTTTCGATACAATTAATTGCTCATTTAGTTCATGATTTATAGATGCGTCTGAAGTTCTTGAAGAATTTCAGTGTAAGCTATGTTCTAAATTGCTCGGTTCTCGTGCAGCACTTCAACGGCACATGAAAGAAGTTCACCACAAAGACGTGGTTGGTGCTGCGGCTTGCGATCGTTGCGGCAAAACATTCCAAAACAAAAGCAATTTGAAAATTCATATGTTGACCCATAGTGGAGTGAAGCCTTTTAAGTAGGTACTCTCTCTCTCTTTCCACACACACACACACACACCACAATCAAACTGTAATTCTACGTTCAATGCTTTCTCCGAAGTGCATAACTAAACTATATTTTTACGTAGATGCAAAGAAAATGAGTGCAAAGCTGCTTTTACAACAAAACAGTGTTTGCAGTTTCACTACAAAAAAGTTCATGGGCTAAGCGACGAAAAGATGCCAAAAATTGAACGGTCAATTGCTTATACCTTTGACGCTTACAGCGGGGGCTTGGTAGAAGATCTCGGTCGAGGCAGAATACCGAAATTCAATTCTAATGAAAAAGAGGTAAATGAAAATTTCGCTTGTCAGCACTACGCCCGTTATCATTCAAATAATTGAACGATATTTTTAACAGGAATACAATAACAGTTTCGAGCTTGAGGACGATGACACTGATAAAAGCCAAGATGCAGTCATGTCATCATCGCGAAAACTTAGAAAAAGAAATAAGAAAGTGGCCAAAGAGCCTAGTTCGACTGAATTAAATAGACTAGAAACAGTCGAATCCTCGGCTGAGAGCGCTGAAACCAATTCGGATATTCATGATCGGGAATGTACAACAGAAGAGATTGATAAAGTTGATAAACAATGGACCAACAAATTAGATACTGAATCTACGGCAGTTTTGAGTCCGGAAACATTCAATATCGATACCATTCAAAGTAATGTACAAGAGAACGGCGAAGCTCCATCGGCTTATCCAATTGTAACAAACGAGGAAAAACTTGAGACGCCTTCGTGCAAACGGCAAGAGAGTTATAACGCGAGTTTGTTAGTTGAGGCAGCACTCGATGCCGCTGAAAGAGACATTGGAGTTGTTTCAATTCCATCTTTAGAGGATAACGATCAAGCAAATGCTGATTTATACTCTGTTCCAAATGAACTTGGCTTTAAATCGACTGATTATCAAGTGGCGCATGAGCCAAATAGTTCAAACGTAGACTCTTTTGTGAACGATGAGCTCGTAATGGCTCCAGCGGTTATTCCGCATGCCAGACAGGCTTTGACCATGAATGCCCAATACCGATCGTCCGGGTATGTTAGTATGCCTAGTAGATTACATGGCATCGAACAATACCTAGAACAAGAAATTTTAACGTCTCCTCGATATGACGAAGTCAATAGTTTCCATTCAAATGCCAATTTTCAAATACCACCTCAACCACACCGGTTAACAGTTGATCCGATATCTAGCAATGACAGTGATTCTGCAGTTCAAAATTTGAGTTTATCGGTTAAAGATAAAAATATTCAACAGATAGAGACGTCTAAATTTGATTATAAACCTGATTACAATTTAGTAAGTAAAGCAAGAGTGAAGTTCGAGCCTTTGGTCGTGCAAAGTGCAAGAGAACAAGGGTTAGATATGTCAGCCAGAGGATATCAAAGGACGTCTGAGTCTCAAATGCAAAACAGTAATCATCTTCACCATTATCATCATCACCATCACAACCCATACAAGACTGACGAAAATGAACGGCATGGTGTTGATTTAAGCATATCAGCTCCCTGCGTATCTCCTTCTTACACTTCGATTTATCCTTCTTATCCTCACGTCGACGTATCGAGAGTTGTTAATTTAGAGCCTACGTCAAGATCTCATCAGCTACATACAGCTGTCTCTCGCATAATAGCCAGTCCTTTACCAGAAACATTGCTAACATCGTTTTCATCCGACACTACAGAAGTCCGCGTTCTACCTTCTTCGCCATCTCCGATATCCACATACAATACATCAAGTTATTCTATAGGTACCGGTTATCACACTACTCGATCCGGATATCATTATTGCAACTACTATTAACGTAAACAGTATTCATTTGCATAATATTATTTTTCAAGAAGAATTATCTTCTTTATTCTAAGGCATGTATACTTACGATGTTTGCATTTTTTCAAGGCAGATGTCATGCACATCACTACTGACTTGAGCGGTCTCAACTTGAAAACGGGTACAACTATTTGTCTTCTATTTTTAATTATTTATACAGTTTTCTTATACTTTTTGCTTTATTGTAGAATTTAATTTACTTCTTTACTTTAAGCAAGCCAATCAACTTAGCTAGAATTAACTTTATATTTTATTACTTTATCTTCTGACTGTGATTATATGTTAGAATATTTTTTTACGTGAATTTTATTTATTTCTAGTCATTTTTTGCTAGTCACCGTTAACATTTCAATTTTATTAAACGCTGTTGAAATAATGAATCGACATTAAATTATATATTTTTATAATTTTTGATAAATTCAAAAATTAGAAGTATATTAAAAGGATTTTTTTATACTGAAATATTTAATTGAAAGGAAAATTATCATAAAAGCAGTTTCAAATAAATTTGTAATGGAAAAATCAATGAAAATGTAGAATGTTGTGAATCTGCGCGTGACCGGTGACGTCACGTATACTTATGCGATCATTTTATTACACCTGTGAAATTATCCGCACTTTTGAGGCTCTATGTCTCTGCGTTAATTTCCGTTGGAATAAAAATAAAAAACAAAAAAAGATGTATTTAATTTTTTTCAGTGATTCTTTATTTCTTTGTAATTTCAATAGAAAAATGTTTACTGCAAATTCCTACTGAGGGCGCTCTAGTCTGGGATCAAAGATTCGAGAAAAGATGGTGGCGCCCCTCAACTTGGAGTAAATTACTATTAATTCGTAATTCGTACGGGCAACATTTAGTTCCGTAGCAACCACGAGAATAAATGAAGTATATTGCCATAAGACCCCATGTAAAATCGACGGCAGCGCCAGTCTTCCCCCCTCCAGCCATACGATCGATCCCTACAGCGTGCGCGTGTAATTCTTAAATTTTATCCATCATAGCATCATGATGTCAGTGCCCAACAGACTCAGTGACGATGATGTTGAATTGCTACGAGCGTCACCAAACGTGGTTTTGATACAAGTCAACACACACTAAGAAAACACACGTGTCTTATTTTAATATCTGATGTAAAAATGTCAACTAACGCCAAATTACGGACAATAAGGCTTTACATAAAATGCACATAAGAGTGAAATAAACGCGTGCTGATTATGTTTATTTAAGTGATCGATTCAGTAAAGATTGCAAAAAAATGGCTCAATTAAATTCGTATTATACGCTGTGCCCACTTATTGACCAACAAAATTTGCTGGGTGTTGAAGCAGATTCAGATTCAGGTTGTGCAATTGTTACATTAGGCAAGAATATTGTTATAAGATATAAGGTAATACTTTATTGATTTATGATTTACTAATGCGTTCACTAATGCGTGATAATTTAAAAATTAATATTTTCTCAGCTTCAAGACTTAAAGCAAGTTAGTAGCTGGTCAAGTAAAGATCGTTTGACTGCACAAGTTGTTTACGATGAAATATCAAGGAATTATGTTGCAATATTTAATGCAAAAATAATTAGAAAATGGACAGAGAAAGAAACCAATTTGGATAGCGTAAAAAAATGCAAATTTTCAATGCCAATATATAATATTTTGAAACTAAAGGAGGTTCCACCAATTTTAGTAATGCCAAATGGAACTACACTTTCATTGGAATCAGCATTAAAAATAAAAAAAGATTGGAAGACTGATGGAATTTTAGGTTCTAATGAAAAAATTCTGCAATGTCAGTTGATTTCTGTAAATGACAATATATATTTCTGTGCTTTGATCAATTCAGGAAACTTTCATTCTTATGTTTTTGTACTTCTACAAAAAGATAATTATGAAATGGACTTGGACAAATTAATCAAGATAGATTTGAAAAGGTCATCTGAAACACTTGTTGGTCATGTAATTATGCATGATAAAAAAAATGTATATCTATTAACACTCTGTAAGTGACAATTTTTAATTATTCATATTTTTTTATTTACAATATACGTCATTCAAAATTTGTATTTCAGGGTCACATGGTCGTTTATACAGTTATCCATTAATGTCTTGTATAAATGAATCAGTGCCTGGATCACTTGTTAGTGTAATTACAACAATAAATACTAAACATCCAGTTGCAATGATTGCACTTAATGACAATACAATTGCAGCTTATGGTGCAGATGCTCACGAAGAAGGAGCTATTTTATTTATTTACAATGTACATTTTAAACTTGTACAAGCTGTTCAAAAACTAAAACTCTACACTTCTGACGCTAAGCTGTGGAAAATTGAAAATAAAATATTATTAGCAGCTAACAGGCACTTGGCAGTAGTTCCTTTTCGATTGGCACCTGAAAAAATCGAAGCAATTATTGGTTCCACCAATTTAAAAAATCATGATTGTACTGATGATAATGAAATTATAGTTATACAAGAATTAAAAAAAGCTGATTGGGGAATCACTTCTACAAATCAATTCAGTTTACCTCTGACAAATCTTAATGAAAGTGTAGCTAATGAAATTTCAACTTTATTAAATGAAGGGTTGAGCAATGCTGCAATTCACCAGAGATTAATACCATCTTTGATTAAAACAAGAGATTTAACTTCAATACTTTGGTGTTTGGATTATTTAAAAGACTTGCCAGCAGAATTGTTAATTCAAATCTTAAAATTGTGTTTAGACAATACCATCTTGAATTCAATAGAAGATGACTTAAATTCAGATTCCAATTCAGAAAATAAACTATTGAATAAAATCTTGACAATTTGTTTCACAGATGTTTCTCTTATACATTATCTTCGAGTAGGGTTGAACTTTAGTGAAATTTTAAAGTTACTGAACTATTTTCTTATCAAATTCAGTGAAAATCATGATAAATGTGATAATTTGTTTGAATCAAAAGTTAAACCAGATAATCAATTGTATGAGTGGATTGCAGTTTTACTTGATTCACATTATCAACATTACTTACTTTCTCAAGACCCACAAGTTTTGATCACTTTTAATAAATTGAATGAAATATTGGAAATGCATGTAAGTATTATCTTAATGGTAAAAAGTCCAACTCTTTGATATTTATAAATTCCTGTTCTTGTTTGCAGCTACAATTTGTAAGAGATTTGGAAAATATAAGACCAATAGTTAAGAGGCTAATGGATGGAAAACTTTTCAAGTTAGCACCTTCAGATTACTGCAGATTTTATTCTATTGAGGAAATCAAATTGTATTGAGTGACATGATTTAATAAAAAAATTTAATTTTTTATAATGGATTTTTATTTTTAAAGAAGTTTGAAGCATTCATATAACTTTTCCAATCTTGTTCTAAGTATTTAACAACTCTTAGCTGTATTTTCTTCAAGAATAAATATATATAATAGTGGCTGTATTATTTTTACAAATAAATTTTGAAAAATGACAGCTTTTCCATATATTGAATATGTACGTTTTTATAGTTGATCTACGTAAGGAACAGTTGATAGATCACCTATAGCACTCATTGATAATTTTCCTTTTGCTACTTTACTGGCCACCTGCAAAATAAATTTAGATGTAAACATCTAAATATTCATTGTCAAAAAAAGCTCTGTCTTACACTTTTTATATCTGCTACAGATATTTTATCAATTTCAGCAGCAATAGTATCTGCGCTTATAATACTGCCTGAGAAAAGAGCTTGAAGTCCAATATTTTCATGTGTCAAACACTGACTGTCTCCAGCAGATAAAACTAAAGTTTTTAAATCGGCTTTGCCACGTGCAACATCACAATCGGAAAATTGCGGCGATTTCAACCACTTCACGCCGGCTTGGGTCAACTAGTATGAAGAAAAGAAATGGTTTGGTGAATCATTTCAAAGCAATATTACATTAATAAATAACAAGAAAGAATTCCAATCAAAAGTAAAAACTTACAGATCCTGCATATTGACCTGGTGCAGATAGAATAAATCCAAAAAGTCCACTATCTGTGTGACTAGCATTAAAAGCTGACACAGCGAAAGGTTCTTGTCCTGCAGATGCAACGGCCTTATGTAGAGGGGCATTACAATTTCCCCATTTTACCTTTGGCCCATCACCTGCAACTTTTTGTAACACAGCAAATGCAATAGCTTCTTTAAAATTCTTAAGACTGGCTCCTTCTACTGCTACAGCTACACTAGCTAGTTGAGAATTGCGTTCTTTCCTCATTTCACCACCATGGTAATGAGATTGAGTATTCTCGCAATGTTGAGTGGAAACTTTTAATAATGAGGCAAATGTTTCCAACTCAGCAATAGGAATACCACTTGCTGTAACAGCACATCTAAATCCAGTATGAAAGTTTGAAACAAAGTGTCTCAACTAAAAATATAATGAAATATTTTAGTTTTAAATTCAAATGTTAGGCATGGATAAATGTTTTTCTATTATAACATACAGTTTCTGAACCTAATTTTCCAATTTGTCTTTTGGGACAATAGAGAGAATAACCAAGTCCATCTCGATATGCTGCTTTGTAGAGCAGTTCAATGACTCGTACGAAATCAGGTACTGTAGATACTTCGTATTTCAATCTTGGAATTTCATCTAATATTTCCCAAGGTCTAAACAACTGACCTGTAGCAACATCCTCCAAAAATTTGAGAGCATGACTTCTACAAATAAAATTTTGTTCAATAAGCATTTATCCATTATATTTTGCCTTGTAAAATTATTAACTGTAATTTATAAACTGTTTTATGAACTTACAGATTGTTTCTAGTTACTTTCAAAGTATAAGAAATATGTTCACGATCAGATACAGCTGTCAAATCACCTCCTACTTGCTGTATATTTCTTGTGATTCCAAAACTGCTAGAACCATTGCTTGTTAAACCTGTGCAAATTCTTAGCATATGTGATATACCCTGTGTATCATATGTTTCATTGCGAGATCCAGCTCTGAAATTTGATACAAAAATACAACATAAATTTAAGATGTTTCAAAAATATATAAAATAACATCATTGTAATAGATGATATGAAAAGAATTTTACTTGAATATAACAGAAATTTGAGTCACAGGATTATTGTTTTCAATACTAGCAATAGTGATCTTGTTGTCAAGGATTTTGAGGCTGGTGTTAGAAGATGGACATTGTTGAGCTGCTGATGCTGCTGCTGCAACAGCATAATTACGAACCTAAAATGATAAAAAGAGATCAATAAAACATTATTATGAGTTTTAAGCGCTTAATTTGCTTATTTGACAAAGCTTCATGTGATAATAATGTGCTTTACATAACACTCATTCGCTTTTAATAGTATTATTAACAGTTGAAACTAGATGGCTACAAGAATTTTACTGCATGAATTTTTACCATGGGAGTTTTCCATAGAGGATGTCGTATAATAGAGCAAGCCATCTTTTAATACAATGGCAATTTTTTTACGAATGATAGAACTGAAAATATTGTTACTTAAAACAGCTTTACGGAAATATAAAATATTTTTATGATCAGTAGCACAATCGCAAATTACACTCTAGCTCTACTGCTAGCAGTAGACAGGGAGACTTAATTAGACCGATGAGTATGTAAATACTTTGAGAATGTTGTCACAGGTTAAAAAGCTCAACGGGAAATTAATGAAAATTGTTCTAGAAAAATGACAGAAAAACTGTGTGTTGTTAACAAAGATAGTAAAATTAATTAATGGCTATGCGTAATTTTATTTTCATTATTAAAATAATTATAAATTTGATAACCACGCTATTATTCCATTATTTTTTTTACATTTTTATATTTGGTTACGTTTCTACGCAAACAAATGTATGTATTCATTAGCAAAATAAATATATGTGCATATATATATATATATATATAACTTTTCATAGCGTAATTAAAAGAGAAAAAAGAGACAAAACAGACTGTTAATATAACGATCTGGTCGGTAAGGCAGAACTCACGAGAAAAATATATCATATAGCTATATAGACACATTCTAAATCTTTGATGAAAAACTATTATTCAAAATTTATTTAAGCACCTGATCATGATTCGAATAGTACATAAAAACTATACGTGATTTTTGCTAACGATTACAGACATACAGATTATTTCTGTAAAAACGACGTTTATAATAACAATCAACGGATCGGGATTACTAAATTTTGATATATTTTTATTAATGAAAATCAAATTATGCGAAGTTAATATCAATCGGTTTTACTATATTTGCTAACGACGCGAAATTTTTCTAACATTTTTCCGAAATGATTTTTATTAATTTTTCATTGAATTAATTGAGTTCCCTTATTTGTCATCGAATAAAAGAATTCTAATAATTATTTACTCTATTTGGATGATACATTTTTTAAGTCAGTGCTGGATGTAGCATCAAATTTTACATGGAGATATGGTTTTGCATTAGTCGTCTTATGAAGATCATAAAACAATATTATTTTAATACTTACAAATATTTAATTAATGTTGTTTCAACAGAAGGCGAATCTAATATCAGAATAAAATTGTATATTAGTCATTATTTGATGATAACATTTAGTTAAAAAAACACTAGAATCTAGTTTTATACATTTAAATAATAATAAAAATATATTTTTTATTAATGTGGTTAACAAAAATACCATAATAGTTTACATAGTTGCATTTAAAAAATGTAACAAATGATTCATTAATATTTATACAAGTAAATAAATAAATAAATAAATAAATAAATATAAGTAGCAAAGAAATAATATACAGTTATCGTATTTCTTAATATATGTACACAAACAAATTCATCTGAATTAATTAGTTTTCAAAAACCTATTTTGAAAAATCAAATCATCTATTTTATACTATACATTGTTGTTTAAAATTCACTTTAGTATCATGAAGCTTTTTCTGAATTTTATAATTTAATCCTACAAGTGTATTATTAGTAATATTCGTTTTTTCTGACTGTTAGACAAAGACGTTATGACATAATCATATTTTTACATACAAATTATTTGTCACGAATTTCTACAAGAAGAAAAAAGTTTTAATGACACATCTTGAAAATTATTTGTTATTTTGTCTACTTTTGTAAATATTTTTCCTTTTCACGCCTTTTTTATTAACGCGATTAGAATATTTTCTTCCTAATATTTCAGATAGTTCATAGTCGTAATCTGACCTTGTAGGTGCAGCTTGTTCTTTCTTCAATTTGATTTTATTAGTTTTTACTTTATCTTTATGGTAATCGTTTTTTTCCGTACTTATTTCGTCCTCTAATAGCGTGCTCATAACTTCAACATCTGCATCTTCATCTTCATCACTTTCTTCATAGCTCTGATCATAATCGATATCTGATGCACCTGTATTTTCTGTATTAACAGTTTTATCATTTTCATTTGTCGCTTCAGTTTGTTTTATATCACTGTTATTTTCATCGCTAGCTTGATCATGATTATCATCGTCATCGTTTTCATCGTCATATATAGATTCAGAACTATTATCTATCTCAGTGCTATCAGCAGCAATTACTTGCTGCGTAGTTCCAAGCTTGTTAACTTTAGTAATACTATGAAGTTTCGTACCAACGTTTTTTTTATCTGTCTGTTTTATTTCCGTAGAGTTTAGTTTGGACTTCTTGTCATGTGGACCATTTATTACTTTTTTTCTGTCTAAAGATACGTCATTTTTTTCAGTGGTTCCCATACCAGTACTTTGACTTTCATCTTCCTGCGAAATTTTCATGGCATCTGCATTGATACTTTCATCATTCAAAACAGTTGCATCGGTGGTCATTTCAACGGTCTTTTCAGTAGATATTTTTTGACTATTGTATTCTAAAATTGACGAAGTCGTCGAATGCGGGCGCGAAGCTAATACATCCGCAGGTGTTCCTTTATTTAAAATAGAAGGAGTAGTCGTTACAAGAGGTGCACTCGAAGTAGTTGTAAATGCCAGAATGGGAATGGTAAAAGATGCTGGTAAAGAAGTTGACGATGTTGGTTTTGGTTTTTTATTGGTAGTAGCATCGTCGTCACCGGCGAAAATGTCAAGAAGAGCACTTAATCCAAGAAGATCGTCATCATCATCTTCTTCGTCTACTCCTTGATCCTGATTCTGCTGTTCAGCAGTCGAAGAGCTACTGGAAGTTTGAGATACTTTTTCAGGATCGTTATTTTCAGCTTCTTCGTCATCATCATCATCGTCTTCGTCGTCATCATCTAAGCTAAAAATATCGTCGTAATCATCATCGGTATTGCTAGACGGTATAGAAAACGTTGGCGGAAGTGGTTCAGCTGGTCGAAGTTTCAGCCCATCTGGACCGAAACTAATAACAACGAATAAATTTATTGAGTAACTGACACGTTGACAAAAGGTTTCGTGTTGAAATAAAATTAAAGGGTAAAAAGTCTTTACCGAAAACAGCTGACTCTCAAACTAGCTTCCAATTCAGATGCAGATCTCAATTCGAGACCAAGGCAAGCTTTGAAATGTTTGTCAGCTTCTTTCTTAATCGAGTAAATTTTACCGCAAAATTTCGAAAATCCGCCTGGTAGATTGACGCACACCGGCTTAGGATTGTTACCTGAAAATAGCCGTTCGTAATGACTAATGTCTTTTTAGAATTTGATAGAGTTTAATAGAAATAATGATACCATTGATAACGTTACTCGATAGAATATTATCTCCGATGCTTAACTGCATTGCTAATTTATTGTCTTGGAGGTACTGAAGCGATGCACAACCTAGGATGCGAAAGCGATGAAAAATATATTGTCGAACGCATCAGAATTGTAAAAGTCATCTTACCTGGTCCTGATAATTGTACAAGGGGAATATGAAAATCTCGGCAGCAGTTGCAAATATTTTCGTTGCAAACGCAGTATTTATTGACATTTTCAGCTGCTTGTTTCAAAGAAATAGGCGTCGAGACATGGCTTGTGCTCAATTTTCTCAAAGCAACTTGACTGCTTGAATCTTAAAAATGGAAAGAAAAATTGTAAATTTGGGTTTTTCACAGGAAAAAGAAGAGATACAGACTCACCAATGACTCGAGCGTAGGCAGCGAATGCTATGAGTAAAAAAATTAAAAGTAATTCGAGTATTATCGACAAACGCATCCTGATGAGAATACAATGCAATGAAGTGTGCAATTAATAAAACTTATATTTAAAAGTACGCAAAGATTGGCTTATATATGCTGTTTGAGGAGCAGAGACCAACTGACTCGCGTATGGTCGCAGTGCTTATTAGTAACTGGTCTCCTTTTTGAGCATAGTCTATTCAGCGCTTGAACCGGCTTGGTCAACTCTCTTTCTCCTTTTCTCTGCCTCTTTCTCTCTCCCTCTATTTCTCAGTCGAGCAAGCACGCAGCTTCGTGAAGTCCATGGAGAAAGTTGCGGTCGAGTAGCGGGCCTAGCATCGGATTAACGGGACCACTGGAAAGCGCCGCTCACAAAGCCATTGAGATCTGGGTCAGTCGGTCAGTAGGATTGTTCTTCACTGGCTCTGTTCTCGAATAACGTGGCACTCCAAGTGCAGACTCCACACCGTCGACTTGGGAAGCTTAATGGCGTGCCACCAAGTGATGGGCTTGTTTTTGCTGCTATTAGCAAAATTATTCGTCTCGATTGCTATTGCCGAATCCAAGTGCATTTGCCAAACCTCCAGTTGTCTATGTTGCGTTGAGCTTAATTTGACATCGTCGATTGATCTTGGAGGACCCACTTGCATCAATGTGCGCCAAATCGAACGCAATGTTTCTCTCAATCTTAGTTACGGTGACAATCCTGTACACAATGCCACCATTGCCCTGGGTAAGACATTCAATTTCTCTTCCTTTAAGCTTCAAACTTGTTCTTTCGTTTTGCGACCATTGCAGTTTAACCAAATACAAATATTTCATAACTCCAAGATCCATATTCGCTATCCTATGCAACAGTACAATTCCCTTTGCATTATATTATAGTACAATACAAAAAATAATAAGTAATAGTCACACGTATTGGTGGACGTGGAACGACTCGAGATTTTTATTTGTAAATTTAACAAAATGAAATATTAGAAAGAATTGTGACGCGACAATGTGCGTATCGTGATAATCGTTTGAAACAGTGATGAATATTGTGAATGGTATAACGACTATGTTTCGCTTACTTCAACGGCGATAGTTGCTAGTTAAATAATATTTTTCTTCATCAGGCGTTGTATTTGACTAATTTCATTGTCATATCCAGATAAAAAGTTGACTATATCCATGACGCAACCGATAACGTTTTTATGTACCTCGTGAAAATAATATTTGTCGTCACTTCCATTTGCACTGTTTTGCTTGCGCAGATTTAGCAGAAAACAAGCCGACGTGCATGAATTTACTTTCGGATTTGGCCCAAATATGCGCCAAGTTCGTTTCGATGAAGGCTCCTAGCTTAGAAGAGCGCGCTTACAAGGGGTGTCTTGTCGTTCAGCCGGCTCTGCTGGGCACACCGCAAGCAACATACGCTGTCGGCTGCTTTCTTTTTGAACAAGGTCAAGTGCGACAAGCTGAATCCACGGAATTGTAAGTTACTACGTAGTTCGTTCATCCTTACTTTTATTTTTATTGCCAAAGCATTTAAATAGTCGAGGCGAGGCGTTGCACTGCAAGACATTTTTTCGGAAGAAAATCCGTTTTTCGGCGACGAGATTTTGTACACGAGTCGTGCCCGCGACACAAAAATTATTCTCATTGCAGAAACAGACAAAAAATCCATCAATAAAGTTAGATGGACATGCTATCAGAATACAACATAAAAGAAACGAGTTGAATTAGTCGTATATCATAGTATTTATCAAACAACTTCAGATAAAATGCCAAAAGACCTTTTTCGCATACACACACCCACGCAAACAAAATTCTACAATAACAATTTTTTCATTGTAACAATTGCATGGAACGTGCAATAGAATGAAACAGAAATTTAGCAAATTAAATTATATAATTTCTTGCCTCCAAATAAAACGTATAAATCAACTGATATAGAGCGAAATATCAGCAAGATTTTATGCCAAAATTTATATCGATTATATTTATATATCGACTTCCAGATGAGTTTAAAAATGTGTTTATGTATAAAAAGTTAAATGGAAAAAGTCACGAAGGCCAACATTGAATCTGTCATTAGCATTCGTCTTGAAATTCTGCGGTGGTTAAAATGATTACATTCAATTTCAATCATTCGAAGATTACGAAGATTTATTTGGATAAAGATATTCCTTTTTTTTCAGAAATCTGGAAAATCCATCGAGCTTGACGCAACAAGACCAAGATGACGATGAAGAAGAACATGGTTTAAATGCAGAAGACTTATTAGCAGTTGTTTCTGCTAGTGCGGAGCAAAGTATAGCACTTTTTTCTCAATGGTTGGGATTCAATCTTACACCAAAAGTCAACACTACGAATGTCAATACCGGCGAAAGCGAAGCAAATACAAATCAACGCTCTTCTGCAAATTCCAATATTAGTGCAAATAGGCATAGTCGAACTATACCATTATTTTTGGAAAGCGAGGTAAGATAAATTACATTAAAAGAAATTATTTTTACGTTCAATCGCCAAATTTTGTAAAATTCTACCGGCCCCCACAAAACAATCTATGAAATAAATCGAGGACACAAGTATAATGGCAATATATTTTGACTCGCTGAACACAATTTTATAGAAAATTTTTATTTCGAATACTTGCACTTGCAATATATTTCCAAAAAATTCTAGACGTCTTTACTGACAATTAAGCCAATATAAATAATATTATTTTATGAATTTCACTATAGGACAAAAGTGATGAACAATTCAAGCTTATTCTTAGTGCTCAAGACAACATACTGAAAGAGTCAGCTACTATTGGCGGATCATCGACTGGTACTCCGACCGCTTTTCTATATTCACAACCAAATAGCGATGAAGGTAATTTACCAGCCCAAACCTCGGCTGTCACCATTTCACCAGAAAATCTTGTTATTGTGCCTCTTGAGTCTCGAAGAGGAGGCCGCGCTTACAATATTCACCAACACGTAAATGAAGTTTGAGAATTAAAAGCAACCAATTCATGTGTAGCGATTATAAACAAATTATTATAGCCCTGTACTAGATCATCGCGTGTACAGGTACTTCTCGAAGTCTATTTTTGTATGTACATAAATAGTAACTGCATCGTCTATTAACAGATAAAATAAAATAATGAAATATGTGAGATATACATTTTATAAATGGTCACATACAAAATTTTCGCAAGTCCGTTTATTGATCCTTTACTTCACGTATAGAAAAAGGACAATTTGACAGAACACGGAATATCATTGCACCCCCTCCCCCGCCCCATTTAAAAGTATTAAATTTGAGTTTGATGTCAAAGCAACAACGTCATTTAACTTCGATTAATTTTAATTATATTTATTATATTTATTCATATTAATTCATTTTTATTCATATTTATTATATTTATATTTATTCAAAATATTTATTGATGATCATGAATTTTTTGCAACGACAAAAATCTTTCTAATTTCAATAATTTCAAAAATTCATATGACGTACTGTGTGTGTGCAGGCTCAGAGCTAAATATAATAATACGATTGGCAATCGGGAAAACATGGCTGCCCAGATACAGATCGATGTATTGCAATGCTAACGTATTTTTTGACTGCAGATCCTAATTCGAGATCATTATACATTTGTGTTGTTTTTTGGATTTAAAAAAAATTAGTTTTACCTACAATTTTCGTCTACATATTTTCCACTGAGTTTCATTATTATCAAATTATCCGTTGAAAGCTCTAGAGGGCTCTTGAGTCGATGGTTTGCGCCCTCTTTAGGAGTAAAGAGTGTATTATCTTATCTTATTTCGACAATCGACATGATGCAGACACGAGACGTCCCTGGAATTCCACCATACGCTACACGCACACCGCCGGTCAGTCTACAATATTTATATTCAGTGGTTATAATGACGTATTGAAGTCATATCTGATTGTTAGAAACTTAATTCAGAACCGCTATTTAAACTTATTTTAATCTATAATTACTAAGTAAGTTTCCGCTACAAATATTCGCTAAGAAATATCGCAAATATATTCACACGCACAACTTATACACGCTATCATCTCTTCAAAGTTTCAGTGTTTTATTGGATGAAAATATTGCAATCATGTTAGGATTCGAGAACTTCATCCTTAATATGCGCTACTTAACTAGTTATTTTCAAGTTTTTAAACGTAATGGCATAATTAGAAACATTGTACTAATGTATTTTTTAAATGACTCAAGCTTATAAATTATTTACGTAGAATTACTTATAACTTTCGTACATGGGAGGACTGAATCATCTAAACTCATAAATAATACTATTGTACAGTTTATTATATGTTAGGAGTAACAATAGTCATATGAATTGGAGTAATCTAGTATGGTTTTTTAAATGAGGTTAGTGTGTAGTGTATAAATAATTTTATTAATATAATCTAATATTTTATTGTAGTTTTATGAAATTTGTGATTTATATATGCAATCAAATACTGTTCTTGTAGATGGCATTTCTTTGTAATTATTGTGATTTGAACTGGTGATTTAGAATAAAAAAAAATGACAATTGCAAGTAATATTGTCGTAGAATGGCTTCATTCTCTGCACCTTGGAGAATATGCTGAATCTTTTATCGACAATGGTTACGATGATCTTGAAATTTGTAAACAAATTAGTGAGCCTGATCTTGATGCAATTGGTGTTTTTAAACAAAGTCATCGTCTCCGATTACTGCAATCTGTGAAAAGATTACGCGAAGAAGGTGCTGCTAGTGTTTACTTTACTCTTGAAGAGAGTACTGCTTGTTTGTTTGAAGATTTTTCTGCTGATGAGAAAGAAGTTATTTCCTCAGCAGCTTTTATAGAAAATCAACATGATCTTGGTTCAGCTCCACATCAAACTGTAAAATTTTTAGATGAATATGAAGAAGGCAAAGCTGAGCTTGTCCGCATACCTAAGATTCAGTTACGAATTTTATTACAAGAGAAACTTCGAAACGATGGAATTGATCTTTCATCTCAACCTTATACTACTGCGGTAAATTTTAATTAATATTCAGATACATTGAAAAAATTATTTTTGTTATAAAACTATTTTCCTTTAAAACATTTTTATGGTATAATTCAGAAGCACAATGAATATTGATTGTTTAAAATTTTGCCACAAAAATATTATAACAAATTTAAGTATATTTTAGATTAGTAAACTTAAAATGTAACCATTACAAAAATCTTAACAGATTTAAAACTTTTTTTAAGGTTTTTTTTTTATTTAGAGTTTTATAATTCTAATACCATTATTATTATTAAATTACTAAAATTGAAACTAACAAGGTTATATCTTTACAGGATGGAGAACAAGGATTCTTGGATGGACTTGCATCTCGCTATGCTGATCTTCTGAAAACTCATTACAACGATGTTTTAGAACCATTAGAAGAATTGCGCCGTCGTGAAATTAATGGATCACCAAGATTTGTTAATACCCAAGTAACCTCCAGTAATTCTCAGCCGCTTTATGTTCCAGGGAAATATTCGGTAATAAACTAAGTTTAACGGTAATTGCATATCAGATTCAATGCATTAAAATATAAACAAAAATCTAACATTATATTGCAGCCATCCAGTTGTTTAAGTGATAAAGAAGAAGATGAAATTTATGGTTTTGGATATGGAGTTTTCGGCCGCCAAATGTTGCAACAACGACAACATAAACTCTCTTTAACGACTCAAAATTCCATTGCTTCTAAGAAAAGTATTCAACAACCTATTTATCAAAGGTAAAATTTTGTGTAACATGTTTTATGGTATTGCTCTTAAAGTCTACTGATGATTGTGTGTTGGTTCAGTGCATAATTTTATTATATAATATTTACAAATCTGGGATTATATGTAAAATAGCGACAGTTCTATAGTTAATTAATGTTTTCAACAATATCACTTTTTGAACTTACATTCTCGACGTTAGCATTTCGGTCAATATTATAATAATTAATAATAGTAATATTCTTTAGGAAATCTATTTTATGAATTTTAATTTAAAAAATGGGTTTTTTCAGTTGTTTAAGTCCAAGATCAGCATTTTTTTATGAGTTTCCTCCTAATGGTAAGTATATAAAATTACTAATATTTACACTTATAAAGTTATTCAAAAGAAGTCAAATAGCTTATCATGTTAATAAATAATTATGAAAATTATTGGTTTTTAAAATAAATCCAATAAAATGATAGCGGTAATTTTCTTTTAAACTAAATACTAGAAATTTATTGAAATACGTTTTATTATGATATTACTATATAAGGATAATACATGTCACGGAAAAGATTAATTAAGTTAAAATTGTGAAGATTGACTTTATACGAAATAAAAGCAAGGCGGAGAAAAGTACTATATTCTTACCTGTATTTTTTTACTATATAGGTAAGAGAAATAAATTCCTCCGCAACAAAATCATAGTATATTTTATAAGTTCCATGGTAGATAGTTAATTTCGCCATTTATAAGAACTACGGATTGTTGTAACTCATACAATTTAAAACTTATGCTGCTAAAATGATTTTTGATCACATTACTTAGATTTAAAAGTTAAAGAAATATTTTGATTTTTTTCTATTATATATATCGTAAAACATATAAATGCTTTAACTGTTAAGTTTTGTAATTAAAAATATTTTCCAAATTTGGGATGAATTCCGTCATTTTAGCATTGTATATGCAATCTTCTTGTTATTATCAGATTTTTTATTAATGATGTAACATATAATGTTGCATATTTTGTTTTGTAATAGAACAAGGTCAGAACACAAGTAAGAAAAAGATGACTTTATCAAGAATATTGAAAGGTTTAAAAACGCATAAAAAAGAAAAACACAGTCAAATACATAATTCACCACAGCACGGTTTATCCAGAACTGCTTTACCTCAAAGGGTAAGTAATAATCATATAAAAATTTAGAATTAATTTAACGTAGTTTTTTGTTAGTGCGCCTGCATGTCCCTTGTTATCATGTAATTTTTTTCCTCAGTTCATAAAAATGTTGATATAGATGCTGGGTCCCCCGCATAAAATTAATATGCAGATTTAAGATGATCCAAGATTTCAATTTTGATACTCCCTTTTATATCAGTAGCTATTAATATAGTTTAACACACTGAGGACGATAGGTCCTATGCCAGAGATTAAAAGGCTTCTCCTAATCTCTGTATGAATAGCATTTTTCATTTATTTATTTTTCTATTCCATAAAAAATTTAATACTAATCGCAGAAAACTGTTTCAGTAATATATTTGTATTCTAAATATTTAAAGAACATTTTGTCTGTGGAATTTCTTCCATACATCAAATATTTGCCAAATAGTATTTAAAAATATCGTGAATTTTCAAAAAATATACTAGTTAAATTAAATTAAAGTTGAACTTTCACATATTTTCATTGATATTTATTGCATGCGCTTTTGAAAAAACATTCTTTTTTTCTAGAAATTGATCAATCATAAAATTATATAACTAACTTAAGAATATTCAAAAACTTTTGCTTGTTATTTTTAATATCCGACAATAAAATACAAACGAAATACGCTCAAAAAACATTGAATGTTTAAAATAAATATCAATGAAAATATTACTTTTTCAGTTTTGAAAACAAAATACTTATCTTATGTTTTTCTTTAGATTAAGTATAACATAAAGTTGATTACTTTGAATAAATAATATACCAATATTAGCATAGTGAATCTTACCTAATCTTCTAGTTGATTTTCTTATAGATTGAGTATACAGCAATTTATCTTAATGTCTGATTAATAAATAGTCAATTAAGAGCCAAAGGATGATTGTTTTCAATAGTTTAAAATTGAGCTTTATAAATTAAATATTTGATAACTTTTGCCTTAATAATTGCCATAAATGATTGGCTTAATTATCGCTATACGTATAAGCAAATCTAAAAACGTTTACATTTGTATATCAAATTTATTTCGAGATCTCTTTTCCGATACTTGGTTTTAGTTTTGAAAATATCAATTTTATCTAAATCATTTCACTTTTAATATGAACTAATAAAATAGACTGATTCTAACAGTTATTAGAAATATATTATATATATACAAATATCGGTAAATACAAAATCTGGATAGTCACTGTTCTCTTGATATCAGTCACAATGCTATTTTAATTTTCTATATATAAGAATCACAACAATATTGTACCAACTTAGAATATATGGAAAATGATAACAGTAGAAGTAAGAAATTTCTATAGATTTGCTAATATAGAACTAAGCGAGTTGTTTTAAAGGGGTAGGGTACCCAAAAACAGTTGCAAAACTTTTCTGTGAAAGATTAATGTTACATAATGGAAATTATCACTGGAATGTCACGCTTGGTAATTGAAATGCAAGCTTTGCTTTGATGCTTTGGACTTAATTTTTTCATGTTTAGGTTCGTTACAAGGCTTGCGCGCAGCATCCTTTATGCTATTTTGTCTACGGTAAACTGATGTATTTGATATATTATGTGCAAATATTATCAAATAATTTTTATTGACGAAAAAGTGAATACGATTCAAAATTTACATTTAAAGAACTTTTTTGTCTTAAATAAGGGAAATGCAATATTAAAATTGAAGCAGTTATTCAAATAGCATCGTTATTTTCTGCAATTAAGAATACTAAAGAATGAGTTGAAAGAAATTATTTTTTAAGAAGGATTTTCACTAAACTATATTAAAAATTGATAAATTATATGTTTTTTTTATTCTAGATTAATTGATTTTCAAGTTATTAAAAAAAACAGTTTGAAAAATTGTCGATTTATGATACAAGAGGTACCCTACCCCGTTAAGGTTACATAAAATTCAAACCAGATTCTGGTTTTTTTAGAATGAGACTAATAAAAATGCACTCACTTTGCATTTCATAAAAGTCAAATGTGCATGAATCTTTAAGAGTTTTCCTCCAGCGTTTCTGAGCGGAAAAGCACAAGATTATTTTTATTTTTAGTGTAGCATAATAATCTTTTCCCACTTTTTAATCGATAGTCAAATTAATTTAATCACTGATTTCTTTATCATTTTTTATTTAAGCGACCCGTTAATGTAGAATTGTAAGCTACACGATTTTGGCATTAATATAGCATAAGAGTATCACTGCTTAAAAATCACTAATTGCAATTGGCAGTTATTTAATGCAATCGATTCAAGTTTAATTTACTTAGTCAAACTTCAATATTTAAAATAGTAATTTTTATTGTACAGTTTAGCTATGCATTTATTTCTTAAGACAAAGAAAGAGATCAGTATTACAATAAATTAATCCAACACAAGTGATGTCACATAAGAAAGCAGCCTTATTTTTTAAACATTCGTTCGTGTATAAATTAAAGAAACGATAAATTTAATGCTAATGTACACTATTGCATATGCACATCTCATTTTGTAAAATAAGACATACAAATTAACTTTTAGCGCCGTAACTTTTCCTAGTGAATATCTACTTTTTAATTACAAATTCAAACAATTACAGTATTATGACCTTTACGAAAAAGATAATTGAGTATTAAGCTTAATAAAGACTGACTCGTTATTTCATAAGATGAAATATTGATAACCTGTGAAATATAAAAATGTACTATTTAATTATTCATTTTTATTATTTAAAAGGTAGACGGAAAAATGTACTAGTTGAGTCAAATTAATGAAGACTTCTCGTGACTCGACTTTATTAATTATTTGCACGAACAAAGAGCAAACGAAAGCACGCGAACATGAATAAAGATGAAATGCGGACAGGTGAAGGAGAGACGAAATAACATTAAACGCCATATTTAATGTTGCGAACCAATAAGTGCGCACGAATGAACGTATTTAAAAAATACGTATCCAGTCATACACTCTGGCATAATATTTAGGCAGCTTAAGGTGATTTTACCGTGAGAGCTCTACATAAAAGAATTAACGCAAATAATGTTTACATCGTTACTGTTTTTTCTTGATAATTAAAAAAATTTTAACAATTGATTTCATCATCATTTTAATGGCTCATGTACGAAAGCGTTTCAAATAATGATTATAAGTAAAATCTATTTATTCTTTCAAACTCAACAACTGTTTTAATATTTTTCATCTATAATGGTGGCAATTATAATAAGAAACTGTCCACGTTTAATTTTGTGAATCAACATCTTTAACTTACCTGACAAATCAATATCATCACTTTAAATTTGTAATTATTTATTCGGAGTAATTTTACTTGCAATACTGCAAATATAGACGAATATTACAAATTTGTTTCATAGAAAATATCAACCATAACATTTAATTTTCATGATAAATAAAATACAGGTTTTCTATTGGAATAAACTTAATTATAAGTTTAATTCATACATGTGATAAATTTCCTTAGATAAATTCCTTTGACAGGTTGATACCCCAGATAGTGTTTTGCAGAGCGGCCTAGGATTAACTTCGGATTCAGGGTACATAGTTCTCCGATCAATGGTTGACTCTTGTGATTATGATCGATTGAAGTATCTGCAAACATCTGGAAAACAAATGAACAGCTTTGAAGAAACTATAAAAACGGTATTAAATTTATTTATCAATGACTGTACTACAATAGGTTTGAAAGACTTATAAATTATAATATTATATTTTTTCTAAAAATTCTATCTTTTCCTTTTGATAAGGAACTATAATTGGAAAAATTTAATCGTCTTAATATAAATATAAAATGTTGATTTGTCGTCATCATAATCTTGTATTTATTCTGCCATTTAATAATATAGATGGCAATTCAAATAATGAGTTCATTTCATAAACCATGGCTTTAACAATCTATTTTATAGAATGGTTTTAAGTTTTAACTGAACTCATAATGTAAATTAACATCTATTAAAAAGCAAAGTATTACTACAGAAAAGATCCATCAGTTTTGATATAGAATTTAAAAATAATTGAAGGTTGAAAGTATCGTACGTGTAATATACTAGACAAAAATATATTATCATTCAAGTTATTTTGAAAAAAGTAATAATTTTTCCGCGTACGATAGAACTTGTCTAATATTATGCATTTTCATTTATTTATAGAGAATTCCAATGCGCCTCTACGTTGTATAAGATATTTAATAGGCGTAATTATAAAATAACGTGAAATAAAACAAGGAAACAAATTCGTATGAGTCCTGGAATTAATAAAATTAATAAAAAGTATACACTTAAAAAATAAGTAATACAAAATAATTTAATTAAAAGAAGTGCTTTTAACTGTACAACTTGAAACTGTCCGTCAAAATATTCGAATCCGGCTTGCAAATGGTAATTCCTAAGTTATATAGTAATCACGCTTTTTAAAACCTTCACGAAGAGTACTCTTGCGTCGATTGCGATTCATTCTCTTGTTTGCAGAATTTTAGCACGAGAAATGGTTTCGGAAAAAAATGGCATTCTTTAACGCCAATGTTCGTGTGTATGCATGTGCACTTAAAACCAAGTCCAGCGGTAGTATTTTATTTTCAAACCTTTCAACCAACAACTTATCTTATCAATAACTGCTTACGGATTATTTTCTTATGATCTATTAAAAAAGTAAACCGATAATTCGTACTAATAATGTTATGCTTGAGCTGAGGCAGAGTAAGATTAACTATTTTAATTATTGTTATTAATTTAACGACATAAGTCGTACGATCCCAAAGCTAATGTATTAAAGAGATAAAAATAGAATTTGTAAAAAGTAACGAGGAAAAATATAAGTAATTTAAGCTCACAGAGGACGCGCATGTGTGTGCATATGTGTACGTATATATTAGTCCAATACTTAAATGTTTATTAAAAGTAACTTAAAAAAGTTAAATTAAAAAATCAATTGAAAATTAAAAAATTAGATTCCTTAATTTTTATGATCTCATTAGACTTAGTAAACGCGGATAGAAATGTATAAAGTTTTTTTAACGACATACTATAAAACGTAGTACAGCACAGCAATAGACCTTCTATCTCTATGTGAATTTTAAACCGTTTTAATATAAGTATCACATAGGAGCAATAGGTAGGTTTTTCGTGTGTCGATGCAATCACGAGCATAATTTTATTATTGCTTTTTAAAAATTGCTCACAGTTGATTTTTCCATTTAATTGTTTTTTGGACTAGCTATAAAAAGATGATTTTGTTAACGAACATTTTATTTCAGTTGAAAATTCAGGAAGCTTTAAAGAAGAAGGAAAAATTCAATAAAGAACACGAAGAGGTATGTTACACTAATTTAGAAAAACTCTTTATTCATTGTACAAGTAAATTTTACACAGAGATTATGTATTTCCACAGTAAGATTTATGAATAATGAACTGTGAAATACGGTCTTCGGATTTAGAAATTTACAAATTTAATGGCTATTTATTTTATCTATTTGTTTCAGATTTTGAAAGATATCAAACATGGTTTAATGCAGCTTGGTCAAAATAGTCAGAAACAATGCCCTATGGGTATGTTTAAGTCTATATTTTTTTCAAATATATAAGTTCTTTTTAATATCCAAGTCCTATTCGAAAATACGTGGGCCTCTTCAAATTGAACAAATAGCACAGTACTCTATTTGTAAACCTACCTTTCAAATTTGCCATGTACTTAAAATTGTAAATACAAACTTACTCTGCAATGGTCCTAAAGAGGCCATAACCATCATTTGGCAATATTATAATTATGAAGAAGTCAGACGTGATATAGTATATGCATCATTTTGCATTTCTTCTTTGTGTTTCTAATTCGAAATTGGATAATTATCAAATATTAGAATAATTATTTTTCCTTTAAGATGACACGTATATGTATGACGAAGATGCAAAATTTGGTATTTTGGAAGCGTCGGAATCAACCAGAAGTGGAATTCAGCATTGGTATGATGAACCTCCTTATGAATCCGATCCTGAAGATTTTTTGATGAGTTGCAGCAATGTCAAAACGAGTTCCCGCTCTCTAGGAAATAACGAGCGGTAATTAACATTTATTTTTCTAAGAAGCCTTCTATGTAATGGCATCAAGTTAGATTTATAATTTAACTTCTAATTTTTTTTTAAATTTCATTTTCATTTATCTCTTTAATCATATTTATAGCATGTACAACAACCACGGTAAGTGTTTAAAAGTAAAAAAATGAATCCGAATAATTATAGGACTTGCGAGACATTGAATGATGATAGTAAGATGATGATGAAAGGTTTAGCTTCGTCCCAGTTGTACAGCGATGTAAAAACAAAAGAAAAATCACGGAAAGCTTACGCTACAATGAGAGGATTAATTGTTTCTCAAGGGCAAAATAATCCTCCTACAATAATACCACTAACTCATTCGAGATCATCTCGAGAAAGTGGTGAATACGCAAGTAGCGACGTGCAGGTAAATCTACCGAGTGCTTGATATTCGAATAATATGTCCACAATTAAAATTGTATTTTGATACACGTCAGAGTCGGAGTAGCGGGGAAGAAGACAATGAGGAGTCAGCGCGGAGCCAGAGCACCGATTATGAAGACACCGACGGTAATGAATTAGAAGCAGCCAAGTGGTACAATAAGCCGCACCCTGGCGTGGTTAACAAAGTTAGTATCATCTTTGGCGACATATGCTGAATATGGAGTTGGATAATATTAATAACTGCATCGAATTTTCAGCCAGGAAATCCGCAATCGGGAAAAAATAGTGAAAAGATTAAGACAGCAGGTGTTGAAGATTGTACACGCGCGAGCATGGGTAGCATTGCTAAACGAGCGAGAACACTTAGACGAGATGTTCGGCATAAAATTTCTCAACTCGAGCGCCATCAGCGAGGCTCAATGAATGAAATGTCCTTCCCGTGTAGCGCGAGCAGTGTCGAAAGTTTACCAAGTGGCAGCGCGTGCAGCAGTACGCAAGCTCTTGTACGCATTGGTAGTAATCACAGCTCTATCTCATATGAAGAACGGGAAGCAATTAGTCCTCAAAGAGCTCAACTGCAACCGACAGCTTTTAATTTGCACTCAGCTGGTTTGGAATCGATGAATATACTCTGCCGTGCCCGAGCTCTTGTCGATTGCATGCCAAGTCCATACGACAAAGATGCTCTGATTTATAAGGTCCATAATTTTACTATTTTTATTATTTTCAAGAGCTATTGACTCCGTCAATTGTTATAACATCTTACAATTGTTTATTCGCATTTGCGAAACAGATATCGTGTTCATGTCTGTTTAATATCGACATACGAATTATTGCTATTCATTTTACCATCCTACATTTTTTCGTCTATATATCTTCTATATTTGCGATTATTGATATATTTCAATAAATTAAACGCATAGGTAAGCATCTCGATAAAGCCGAGTTTAACATCGGATACTTATGTTTTTGTTGTATTTCGGTATAATTATTGATGTCGATTACTCTTTGAAATCAAATACCTATATCATCAGTTCTATTGAAGCGTTACTTACTTTTTTTATGATCTTTTAGAAAGGTGACATCATAGATGTTTTACAAATGAATAACAGTGGTCTTTGGAAAGGTATAGCTCATAATCGCGTAGGATACTTTAAATTTATTAATGTCGAATTGGTCAATGAGCGTCCAATGCGACGTGGCAAATGGGGACAAAAATACAGACAAAAGCCCGGATCAGTTCCTGAGCTTCTGCAACGAATGAATCTTCAGGTACCGTACTGTAAAAAATTATGATAGAATGACTTGTTAGCATGTTTATGGTGTAAAGGTTCTATTAATATCGGCTTTCTAATACGTTTGAGTTTTTTTTTATTGCTAGCGTTCTATTGTATTAATATTAATCAGATTTTCAAAAATTTTAAAACGCAAATTTAAATGGAGCATTGATCTCTTCTGCGGACAAGTAAATAGAATGATTTTAATGTTGACGTTTTAATAGGTGAACCCAAAAAATAACATTGATAAATTGACAACATTGACAAACAATACATCAAAAATAAAAGTTTAACATTGTTTTCATTTCTAGGAATACATTTCCGTATTTTTGCTGAATGGCTATGAAGACCTTGAATTATTCCGTGAACTAGAACCAGCTGACTTAGACTACCTTCGTATACAACATCCAGAACATCGCGCTAAAATACTGACAGCAGTACAATTACTTCATGATTTGCAATGTAAGCAATACATATATATATTAGTAAACTACACATATATATAATTTTAATGTTGTTTATGGCAACTTTTTTTATTAACAAACCTTACTTCTTCAACTTCAGCCGGTAGCGAAGGTGATGAAATAAATGATTCGAGCTCAGAAATCGATGAGTTGGGTAATCTCAGTAACAGCGTGTCAAGACTGAAAATCAGTAAAAAGATACTGCATCAACCTGAAAATAATCTCGATTCTCAATCTACTGACCATCGTCGTTCTGAATTTCAAGCCAACGTTCCAAGTCGTCTTCCTGAAATCAGCAACGATGTTCACTTTTCTTCCAGAAATTAACGATTCAATCATGATCTAAACGCAAGATCCGTCTCTTTTCAAAATATTTTACTGTCCATTCCGCCGTCCAGATAATTGTACATTTTTTCTTTCAAACAATCAATTTCATGTTTACCGACTGAAACTCATCTCCGTTTTATAAATTTTTAATTGAACTGACATTTTTTAGATGAGTTGTAAATAAGTGTACAGAGTGTTATTTGATCTTCACATTTTTAAAATAAGCAACGCCGATTTTACAGGCCTTCGCCACTTGCCATAGGCTGTATAGATTTATAAAACATAAAAAAAACCCCGTGATGAAGAATGTCAACCCTGAATTCCAATATTTCAGTAGCCGGTACAATCGAGTAATTTAGCTGGTATTGAGACATTGTGAATAGTTAAGCGTACTTAAATCACGAATGTTATTAGTAGAGTAACCGTCTTGGTAAACGTGGATTGTCAAGCAATGGCAAAATTTGTATTAAGACTTAATGGCTTGTATTTATAAGACTTGCTAACGTTCTCCAACGAAAACGAGTGCGAAAATCAATAATCAGTATTATTAATCAAAGGCTGATTTTGTAACTAGTAAAATGCAATAAATCTCAAAAATAAAAGGTATGAAAGTAAATGTTATGACTCGAGCAGATTCTTAATTTGATAGCAATAAATATTTGACGAGCGTACAAAAAAAAGCAAAACAAAACAATTCTCAAAATATTTTATAGCCGATAGTTGGATGGAAAAAATCAGATGTGTATATATATATATGCTGTTGGCGACTGATATCTTCGTAAAATACTGTTCAATTCCAAATATCATAGCGACTAAGTATAAACGTTGGCGGGCTAGTCCACTGCCGCAAAAAAGTAATGATTGTAAATACCGCCTACGTTATACTTGAGCTAATTTTTACAATTAGTCACTCCATTTTCAGATACATTGATTATTATTGTTGATTAATTTATTGACTGTGGAACAAATAAAAAAATAATACAGAAATCATTACGTTTTGTTATTCATCTTTTGTGGTTATTTAGTACAGTGAGTTTTAAAGTTATTTATTTAGTATTTGTTGTTAAAATAGTTTATCGTCGTTCAACTTTTATTAACTCTCATTTAAAATTGAACGTTAACAAAGGTAGATGAATGAGATCCTTCCAAAAACAATTCCCACTCACATAAATGGCGCGAGTAGATGTATAAGAGCCATGCGCACTAAATGTATGCAATAAATTGATAATTAAATGCTTTTTGTGAGCGCGCTATTCCTATGAATGGGGACTATAACGAACTTACATGATAAAAGGATACTTCCCTTTTTATCTTATAAATTCTTATTTTTTATTACTTCATTATTTGATTTACTTATATTAAAAAAAGAGAAAAGCAAACAGAATATCTAAAAAATTAAAACAAAATTATAGTCTCTTTTAGTAATGTGGAAAGAAATCAAATTATACATTGAGCGATTGATCCTGTACAATGAGAAAAAATTTAGTTCAGATAAGAGTAGTCATTGAGTTGTTTTTGTATTTAACCTTTTTATTTTTTTAATTAACACGACATAGCATTTGGGTATCGTATCAATATCTACCTTAACAAACATCAAAGGCTTATACATATGTCACTTTCAAGAATGTAATTAAATTCGCTGATTGAAGAATTATTTTATTTATTACTTACTACATAATAACAGAATTCTTGCAGTAAAATAAAAATTAAATAAAAGTTAAATGCTGGATTTGATACTTGGAATTGTTCGATACTAAGTATAATATACGATATTCACACAAAAACTGGTAGTCTTTCATACTTATATACGTAACATTATTGCCATTAAAAAAAAAGTGTTCTGAAAAATAGAATGAGACTACGTCTCTATTCTTTCATTTCACTCACTCAAATACATGACTTAAAATTCTACACAAAAAATTAGGTATAGTTTTTAAACGCACACGCACATGACTGATGGTTTCTCCCTGCTTATATGTGACATTAGTGATGGACAGTTGATTTTTCAATAGAACAATGCCATTTTGAGTTGAAACTGAAAGTTTCAAAAATCATTCCTTATTTGGTTTTCTTCTTCGTGGTCCCTCGGTACTCGAAGATGTTTCCTTCAAAATGTGAAATTAAAAAAAATGTTGTTAAGAAGCAACCTTACATATTTACACATCAAATTAGTATATGTTTTTGTGGTCACAATAAATCTAGATAAATGTACATGTGGTACTTGATTCTTTTTTTGGCAGAAAAATTTATTACCTTATTTGATTCAATAATTTTGGAATTTTCTAGTTCTTCTTTGCCACTGGATTTTTTTGTTGTCTCTTCATCTATAGGTTCTTTTGTTTCTTCAGGCTCTTCTTCATCCACATCATCTACATTTTCTTTATTGCTGTCAATCAAATCATCAGTATCTGCTTCGTACTGATTTTTGCTTGGTTCTTTCATCTCCTGTTGAGTTAATTTAAACAATTCAAGTTTCATATGGATATTATTACACATAAATATTGAACTAGCATTAAACTATAACCATGCACAAATATACTAATCATACCTGACTCGTAAAGCAGCAACAATAAATAATCAGCATAACAGGTAAACCTAGCAGTATAATATAAATAGCCCATATCCATGGATTTTCAGCAGTAAAGTCAACTATTCCTTGCCAAAAGCCAGTCTACAAAGGTATTATTAATAGTTTAACTACAAAATCTTTATTCAAAAAAACAAATAATTAGGTTTTTCATATCCTAGCATATATAGTTTGCCTATGGTTAAATTTTACTAGCATTTATTGAGCCAAGGGTGGAATCTGACAAAAATCTAACGGACACATGTTACAATAATTTTATGTTTTCATTGGGTACCTTTCGCGCTTGTGATATCAAAAAACAAATATAAATAGAAATTGGAATAGAACAATATACAAAATAGGCAGCCCACCATCCAGGTTTATAATTCATCATTTTCATCATTTTACCCCACCAAGTTTCCTGATTGAAAGCATCAATAATCGATTGAAAGCATATAATTTAAAATTAAAAATAAATGCTTGTTGATTAAATTTTTGCAAAGGAACAATTTTTACTACTCACAGCATCTTTGGCAATTTTTCGTTTACGAACTTCAAACGTTTGTTCAGCCCACTTTTCAGCTACATATTCATCATCTGCAACTATAATATTGTCAAACAATATATCAGGAGACATGGACCATAACTCAAATCCAAGAGCATACTGAAAATTAAAGAAATTTTTAATAATATAATACTAATCCCTGGAAAATGATGATCTTACAATTGGTGTCATTTTAAAAGGATTTTCATCGTTGAAATAGTCAGGGTTATGAATCAATCTTGGTTTCCATTTTCCTTGATAATTGGGATTATTTATCAAAGGTGGAAGCCACTTTCCTTTGTATTTAGGATTACTTATCAGTCTTTTTTTGTAAGGACCACAACCAGGTGCTGTCACACATTTTGGATTTTGTACTTCAGGAGGTTCCCACTCTCCGTCCATTTCCTCATCCCAGTCTTCTGGTTTCACGGACTCTGGATTGGGTATTGTTGCAGGCTCATTTTCCAACCAGCCATCAGGTATCACATCACTTTCATCAATGATTTGTGCTGGCGCATCTTCGTCCCAGTCATCTGGTTTAACAGCAGTAGGATCTGGTATTTTTTCCCTTTCATCCCAATCTTCTGGCTGTTTGTCATTGGGATCTTCAATTTCTAGTGGTGGATTGACTGGAGGTGTAAAATCATCAAGGAGAGAACCTTCATTTACTATAGTTCCATCAACTTTGATCACAAAAGTATTATCTGGCCGTACAATTAGAGTATACAAATGTGGTTGTTTGTCTTTGAAAAAATCTTCCAGTCTTTCATTTGGTTTTTTAGCATGCTTTTCTTCAACTGAACCATTCAATGGGTTTTTATGCCTAAAAATGAAATGCAACTGCAAAAAAAACATTAACCATTACTGACAAATTACAATTTTAAGCAAGTATCATTGGATAAGAATCTGTACCTTATGATCGCCACCACATTTGTCAGGTCCAAACATTATTGTATAAGGAGTTTTATCATGAAAATTGTTTAAATCTTTGTGTTTGAAATCAAGAGATAGTAATTTTAAGTAAGCTCCACCACACTCCTGTCCTTCTTGAAAAATAACTTCATATTGAACAACTAGAGGTTTGTCTTCAAATTTAAATGGTTTCTCAAGTACTGTTGATATGGCTGCATGTCTCGCTTTACTTTTTAGTACCAAACCTAAGTTAGCCCCTTCAACATTTCTCTTTGGCTCTTCAATAAGCCAAACTCCTATAAATATAATAATACGTTTAAATTTAAATCTAAAGAGATAGCTTTTAATCTCAAATTAACTTGATATTAATCTTGATACATTCTTCTCAAGGTATATACATAAAATAAAACCTTCATAACAATAAAAAAAATGGAATGCTGCAAGTCTCTTATTTTAATTATTCTTTCATAACAATAAAGTTTTCAAGATATCGCTAAATATCGTTAAAAAGTTTCAAGAGGCATATTCGACATATACATGTAAGATTACATTTTTTAAAAGTCAAGTCATTTTTTATGTCAAGTAGAAAAATTGTTTAATGTGAGTATTTGTTTTTCCCTAGTCTACTGATTTAATATTATTTTATCAAGAATACAGCTAATTGAATACTTTAGATTTTTTCATGTACAAATAAATGAGAGGAATGATTTTTTCAGATAAAAGTTAAAGGCAACTGAATGGGATAACAGGACTTGTAAAATGTGTTGAAAAAATTACCATCATATTTTGCAATATCTTCATCAATGTCTTCTTTCTTTGCTTGTGATTTAACCCAGGTCTTTTCAAATTGATCTTTGTCGTCGAAATTTTCAGCAAGTAGAACCGGAGCTATGGGCCGAGGACTCTCATAGGTAGCAACTGGAGGCTCGTCCGGTTCATTTTCAATGACGACCTCGGCGTCGATGTCAGCCTCGGTGGCCTGTGTAGAATGCACGTGTCCGAGCAAACTCGCGCTGACCAAGAACAGCAGACAAATAGTTAGCTTCTCCATTGATGCTAAACCTCTCGCAAATAATTGAGGTCAGGATGGATCGTAGAACTAGGCTGAGCTGGATCAAGCCGCTGCCGACGCCAATGAAGCGCTTGACCGACTGATGCAATGATGTCGATAAACAGCTCACTTGGAGAATCCTTAAAAGTGAACAAATGAACGCGTACACTATAACGCAAACGGCTGAGCAACGGGCACCCTCGCCCGACAGTTGGCACGCAGCACGAGGCACGTACATACAAACATACGTGTCAGCCCCTGAATGAGCCGCCTTACGGATCGACGCTTGGCCAACGCACGCACGACACACGCGCACCAATTGCCTGCAGCAGTTGCAGTTCGCCGTACTCTCTCTCTCTCTCTCTCTCTCGCTCGCTCTCTCGCTCTCTCTCTCTCGCTCTCTCTATCTTTCTCTCTCTTTCTCTCTGTTTCTTTCTAACTCACTTACCTTATCTTTTCTACCTATAATAAAATAAATTGCCGAGTCGATGTCCGGACTGAGATACGGTGCCTAAGATCCATAGGATCCCAAAGTAAATTTCGGCTGCTACAGCAAAAACAGCTGATATAGTCAACCGGCCGTCTCGCGTCTATCTACTGTCTATTGTCTGCTCAAAAATGCCGCAACCGCTCCTTTCTTCGACTACATGCCCAGCAATTTCACTTCAATTTTCGACAACTTCTTCAATTAATCTGGGCGCCATTTAGTTTACTCAAATCTCTACATGAGATCTGCAAAATGAAAAAAAAAAGAAATTATACATCAAAGAAATATAGCTCGTGATAAGCAAGTAGGCCACTTTTTATGCAGGAAATAAATCAATAAAAAAGATCATTGTTAATGTTGTACGGCTATAAGTTGGTGGTTATCGATATCAGATGTTTTATATATTTACATTTTAATGATAGCCATATGCTTTTTCTTTTGTTATTATTGCGGTTAATAATTAGATTTAAACTTAGTTAGGTTAAACATTTTTGTTGCACGCTACAGTCTTAACGTTAACTTCTCTGATGTTAATCTGCTCTATACATATTTTAATTAACTTATGAACATACAAATAAGTAATTAATTTGAGTTAAAAATCGAAATTGTACACATGTAATTGGATTATCTTTGTATGATTGTGCGCAATTTTGATGCGCAGCTATATGGGTGTTAACCAAAATTAAACTAGTGGCGCTGTAATTGAAACATGTAAAACTTTCTATTATTTTATTTATAATTTAGCACCAGTTTACCAACTACAACTGGATAATTATCGATTAGATAACAATAAAAAACTGTTAAGTTTGGATGGTAAAGTAATAAAAGTTTGCATTGGATGCCCAAATATCTTAATACTGGGAATCCATGAGAATAGAGAAAAGAGGAAAACCTATAGCTTTGAGAATGTTAGATGTTTAATCTTAAATGATTTAATTTGTCTCCGCGCTATATATGACACAGAACAATAGGTTTTCGAAAAATTTTGTTCGAACGACGCGCCGTTTTTGCTCAAATCGGTTTATAGGTTATAGATCATTATCAAAATCCGAAAATGAGGCCCCGGTTCCATAGGTACACGTACGGATGCGGACGGATACGGACGCGAATCGCAACTCTAGTAACATCACTAAAAATATCTAGTTCGATTATTTAGTACCAACACTACCGGTAGTGAGTGAAATTGACTGTTGTTTAAAACTGTAGCGCCGAACGTACCACATTTAATGTTCAAATGTCAGGTCTACAATTTACTTTTCAAATTTTCATGAATATTGCTTATTGATGAGTATGCTAATGAAAAAAAAGTTTTTGGGATGATTAATACATATCATTTATATTTATTTTCTTCTTCTTCTCATATATTCAAGTACTTTCATAAAATTAAGGTCTAATTCCACTAATTGTAGTTGAAAGTCTATGAATTCTCTATCATTTGCCATCTTATAGACTGCAATAATGTAAAGGTTAGATAGGCGATCATTAAATGTGGTACGTTCGGCGCTACAGTTCTAAACAACAGTCACTTTTGCTCACTACCGTTAGTGTTGGTACTAAATAATCGAACTAGATATTTTTAGTGATGTTACTAGAATTGCGATTCGCGTCCGTATCCGTCCGCATCTGTACGTACATACCTATGGGACCGGGGCCTGAAAATTTTAGGCTTAGAGATTATATTAGGCAGAGGTCAAAACAGTACAGCTTTCCAGAGTTAAATCTAACTCAAAAATTACATATTTATTTCATTAAAATATTTTATTCTGTCATGTCGAGTCAACTAGACGACCAATTATTTAACTACATGGTTTATCAATTTAATAGTACCTATGTGTGCAGTGTACAATATGAAATAAAGTCTTAAATTGGTTTTCAATTAATTTTCTTAAATGATCTCTATGATTCTTAAAATAAGCAATTTTTACGTGGATTATTTGAGACAATTTTTCTGCCATTTAAAAAATTATTTAAAAAGTGCAAATAAAATGTGCTTGGAAAAACAAATTGCTTCCTATACGCGACAAACGGCCCGTTTGTTCAAAATTTCACACAGCTTAATTGTATACGTGAATTCAAGATCGTAATTTTCTAAACATTATTGTAGAAGTGGTTCAGCTCACCGAGTCGCATTGCCGAATGAAAATTTCGGAATTATGGCCAAATCTTACACATACTATTTCATTTAATTAAGATAATTCGAACCGATAGTTGTTCGCAGGTTTAGGCGAAAGTTTAGAGAGTAAAAGCGAGCATTTGGAGTTGAAGCTTGGTCGAGCCGGATCCAAGCTATAGCTGCAAAAGTAAATTCGAAAAACTGAGAATCTGCAATATCGATTGACCACTCCATTGGATCGAGCCAAAAACACGAATGAAATACTTGAAATATTGAAAAAATATTCGGAAGCTCAGTAGCAATAGCGAAAACTTGCGGGCCGCTCCTATAGGTGGGCCTGCATACAAGATTGAAAGAATCGCTACTCGGAGTCTTGCGAGCTGCGAAGATCTTGATCACAAAATCAGCAGAATAAAAACAAAGACGCGAATGAATTCCATTAGGATTCAACAATCGTTCTTCGGATTGCGCCGAGGTCAGATGTGATCGGTTGTTCACTTGGCTCGACGTATCGTCAAATGATTGTTGTGATTACGACGGCGCATGAAAGATGACTTTGGCTGGATTTAACTGCAGACACACCCATGAAAAGTATTAGCTGAAATAAAAAAGAGCACGGTCCTCGGCAAGTTGCTTACTTTTTGCTTGTTAAAGGCGCAAGTCCAATGGCCAAAGAAGTATTAGATTTTGCGCATTGGCTTCACTATCGATAATCACGTATACGACACGCTTAGGCCGGTCAATAAGATAACTATCGAAATCAGCGGTATATACTTGGTATGTAATTTGAGGCTACATATACATGAGTCTGTGTGCGTGTGTGTGTGTGTGTGCCACTTTACGCCTATCGAGCGAATAAGGGCCGACAAGCGTGAAATACTCTGAAGATCAAGTAAAAGATCAAGTAACAAATCGTAAAACTCCCGGCACGAGCTATAGGCTTGGCATAATTGAACGTCGGCGCCGCTAAGAACGACGATCACTGACGGGGAGTCGCCGCCGACTTGTGGCAGCGACGAGTCCTGCCGCGGAAAAATCATGACATTGACATGCATGCGGGCAGCCTCAGCGAGGGCGCGTACGTCTCCTCTGGCACTCCGCCGAATTGGGTGGTTGCTCGAGATAAGAGGACTCGTCGCCGCTCCCGTGCACTCGCGCACGAGTACGCGACGACGGGGTGGCATCCAATCGTGAGTCATGTGGGAGGGAGCGCGAGGAATGCAGCGGAGCAAGACGTCGGAACTTATCGAACGGGCGCGATCCAAGGGAAACGCTCGCCGCGGCTATACGCATTCGAAACGTGGACTGAGCTTCGCGTCGCGCTGGGCTGCTGGCGCGACGCACACACCCACTTTGCCGCGGCGTCGGTCGACTGCGCAGGTGGCGGGCCAGTAGGCCACAGGTGGCATTCGCGGATGAATGCTCGCGATGCAGAGCGATCCACGTCGAGAGAACGCGGCACGAGCACTGACTCGAGCCCCGAGTGAGGCACGAGCGCGGAGCACTCGCCGTTCGTCGCGGTGGAGCCAGTTGACACAAGGGAGTAGGCTCGCGCGAGGGTCGTCGGCCCCCTCCCTCTCCACCCGTAATTGGTCGATGACGACAGAGGGAGAACAATCTCCCTCGGCGAGAACCGAGAGTCAGCTGTGGGCGAGGCTGCGGAAGCGGCGAGCACGTCGTGACAAAGGCGTCGCTTCAATTTCGCGGCGAGCCGAGAGCGAGTTTTAATAAAGAGCGCAACAGGCAGGCCTGAGGGGTCGGGGAAGCGGATCTAGGAGAGGCGCGATTGGGAGGAAAACGTCGACGCTGGGGGTGGCGGCGGCGGCGGCGGCGAGAAGCCTTCATATCGAGAATTCTCGGAGAGATCTGGATTCCTCGGCCGTATAAAAGATAGTCGGCGAGTCCCATTAGCGCCCACCCGCATTCTCGAGCACTGCCTCTTTATTGACGGCGCCTGGCGCCGCGGAGAGCACAAGGCAGAAAGAGAGAGAGATGGTTTATTATTGGTAATCGCATAATTAATGGGCAGCGCGAGAGGGGGAGGGGCGGGGCGGGGGCGCGCTCGGGACGGGCGGGGGATGAAATCTGCAGGAGGGCTCGGGCAAATGGCAACGGAGGCTGCGCGCAGGCCGGGCGCGGATCAGCGGGGACGAGTGCGAGGCAACCACGAGTTGCTTCGGGGAGCATGCGCGCTCGGGCGGCGCGCCGCGGCTCGGCCTCCAGGGTGCGAGCGGCCGCGCGCGCGCCAGTGCAGGGAGAGGCAACAGGCGAGTCAGGAACAGCACTCGCCGCCCGAGGAGCGCCGCCAGCCGAGGAGCCTTGATCGGCGCGCTCGCCGCCACCGTCGACCCAGCCGGCCGCGCCGGCGATGCTACGTGCGCCCGTGCCCATCGCCCGCTGACTCTTCTGGGCCTGCCTGCCTGCCTGCCTGCCTGACTCTCGCTCTCGCCCCGTCTTGGACCAGCGCGCACAGCCAGCAGCGTGAGTGCCTCCTCTCCGTTCGGCCGCGCCGCGTCGCGACAGCGGACGACGCCGAGTGGCCGCCCGTTCGATCGACTGGCGCGATGTATCGGTAAACGAATTACGGACCAATCTGCGTGAGCCCTCTCGCGGCGCCACCAAAGCTAATTGGCCCGAGCCAAGTGCCATGGGCGATCCTCGAGAACGCAGCCGCTTGCTACGACAACTGCTCCGTCGCCCGCCTCCCGCCTTTCACTCGGCTGTAGCGCGCCACTCTGATTGCTGATTCATCGCCGGGAGCTCGGCCCCGTTGCTCAAGTTTTACCGTGTCGATAACTTCGCGTCGGCACCAGCTGCCGTATCGTCGAAATTTCGCTGGACCTGCGGACGGACGTGCGACTCCTCTTTCCTTGGCCTTTGTTCTCCGACGGCCTCTCTAATTGCCAATTAGTCAGCTCGATACTCTCCCCCTCGCTCTGGCTACAGAGTTCGGTTAGGCTGTTCGACTTCTCGTCGGATCCGTGCGTGGTCGGCCCCGCCGACGCGAGCCGCTGGCCGCTGGCGACTCGACACCACGTCGAGACAAGTGGTGACAGAGTGGCCGATAGCGCGCGGGCTGAGTGACGTGGATTGGGCTGTGACGTCGCGCAGCTGCGAGTTTTGATTTCGCCAGTCGCGCTCGGAACCGCGCCATTGATCTCGCGCATCTCGCGCGCGGACCGATGAAGTGATCTCCGCCCACACGGTCGCCAGCTCGCCGCGCGGTCCAATTAACGCGCTCGATACGCTTGCTATGCGTTTCCCGTCGACTTCGCGCGACACTTCGACGCTCTGCTGCCTACGCGACGAGATCAGCCACAATCGAACGGGCAATCGTCGATCCATGCTTCGGTCCACGACGGCTTGGACCATCTTCGCGTCCTCGATCATTCTCGTCGCGGATCGTCGTACCCCGCGTAACTTTGACCCAATGAAACACTCTTCTCGCGTGCTTCCGACTAAGTGTACGTTTCTATGACACCCTCTCGAACAGCGGTTTTGCTTGTTTAACTTTGTACTTGTCTCGATCGCGTTAGATGGTATCCACTAAAATTACTCTTGTAGTGATCGACATATATAGTGAACTATGATACTGCCTGAAATCAAATTGCACAAAAATTGTCATTCCCACTTGCAGTTTCGCTTCTGATATCTTATATTTCAGCCAAGTATTATCTATTGTACATTAATTGCCAATAGGTACGAAGGAAATATTTCGAGAAAATGGCAGGAGAACAATGGAATGGTTGGCTTCAGCGTTGCCGAGAATCGAGAAGCTTAGTACTCGTGATCGTGGCCATTGCACTGTTGCTTGATAACATGTTACTCACTACTGTTGGTAAGTATGACATTTTTCATTGGAAATCAGGTTTCAGCGTTGAGCGAGACGAACTATGGCTAACTTTTTACTTTCTCGAAATATCAATTTTCTTTCGTGTCTTTTCGTCCGTCATTTAATTAGTCTTGAAAATTATTGATGTATCACACCTACCTCAATGTTTAAACTTGTAAACTAACCGCCATGCGATACCTCGATTTCAAAACTGAGTTGGTGCATGGTGGAAGTGTCATACAAATTAGTCTTTTCGAATATATACTCGTTAAAAACATTTAACGAAAAGGATATTGTTTGATGTCTGCAATAAACAATGATAAATATTCGTTTGCCGCTTGTTTTATTAACGCATGCATGGCCATTATTACGAAAGATGCAGGTAATCGTACTTTTGGAAATGGTTAGCTGTCAGGTCAAGCATTTCGGTGTAAAAGCACTTTTCAAGTCGTAATGAATTTGTAAACGAGGTCATGGTACTTTGTTCTTTAACTTTCAAGTGTCGCCATTTATTAATAACGGCCTTTTAAATTAATTGTCATACATATGAAACGTAATTTGATGTCTTCTCGCAAACTTGTGCACTGGCATATTACGTTTTTTAATGCATCCTCTATTATTATGCGACAGGTTCCATATTATCTTACTCATTTTATATATTATTAACACAAGTCAGCAATCTGATAAACTATGTAGGTTTGAATTTTCATCGAGTAAAATTTGTGGATTTTTTTTCAAAATTCCAAAAGATTACGATATTTAATACATTTCAATGAATATTGGAGACCGAGCTACTTATTTTGACAAACGACAAATTTACTCACAAAGCGTGATCCACTGAATGTGTTTGGTTCGAAGGACTCGTGTAAAGAATAAAATGAATGGAGGAATTATCATTTTACTATGTGGGATCGCAAAAATAACGTGAAGAAAATGAAGGTTTTTGAGAATGATAAATAGAGTGTGTAAGTGAAATGGGTGGGGGGAAGAAAGATCGATAGGCAGAAGGGAAGGGGAATATAAAGAAAGAGGGGAATAATGTTGAAAGTCAAGTGGCTAACTGAAGCGAGTACTATAGAGAACGAGAAAAGGCACTTCTCCTTATACCGAACGAACCGAGAATGAGCTTAGCGCAGTAAATATATATATATGTATATATATATATAAATATAAATATATATATATATATATATATATATATATATAAAATAAAGAGCAACCTGTGCGTGGGTCCCTTGATGTCGTTTTTCCAGCTCTTAGCCTTTCAGCAGCCCACAATCGCAGTTGGGTCGTGCCACTGTCTATCTTTAATTCAACAAGAGCCGAGAAGAACGCATGAACCCTCATCTGTCACGACGCCAATCTAGATAAGTGGTCATGCTTCCGAGGAGCTTTCACGTATGATAATGAACTCGCGTCAACACGCGCGCACATCGCTCGCGCTCTTTGCCTACAACTAAGAATCACAATTAAATCCGGGCCTTCCATTTATCACGGAGATAACGTCAAAGTTTCGTCCTTGCGCGAGGGCCATCTGTTTAGTTCGATTAATATCCTATCCGCCCATCGTTCGGCGTTAGACTCAACCTTCGGCTAATCGATGTTGAACGACAAATCTTAGGAGCCCACTGAATCGCGCCAAAATATTTCGAGTGCTCGCTATATATTAACTGTAGCGCGCACCTATTCAACTTTCATCACCGCTCAAAGTGAAAGATTTCTTGAAAGCCACTATGAATTACGGTTTTATTCTGCTGAAAAGCCGTTGTAGTCGATCAGCAACACATTGTATCTGGCGTGAAAACCCCAGCTGTTGCGCCGAAGCAAACGAAATCCAAGGAGGAAAAATTTGCCACTAGGTTACCGCGATTTTTATTTCGCCACACAATGATGCTTTCAATCGTTATTTCCAGTCCCTATAATACCGGAGTTTCTGTACGACATGAGACATCCAAATGCTACTCTAAGCGAACATCTCGAAGGAAGCAAGCATCAGCCATTAACGACGCAGACCTTGACTGCGACTACAACGGCATTGCCTGGATGTCACTGCCCTTCGAACAACTCAAATAGCAAGGCTTTGGAGTTAATCGTTTCTACAGCTACGTCTGTGGGTTAGTACAAATATTACTGAAAACTGGCCGTGGCCCGTTCGATTGTTCAGTCAGACTATGCGATGTTTGGGAAACAGACTTTGAAAGCCTTTTATTGCCGAACTCTTGATGCAATCTATCTCATATTTCAGTAAAGTAGAAGACAAATATCGAACGCTATAATAACTTAATGGTATTTTTCTTTCATACGGGAAGAGACTTCAACCGCGAATCAAACAGCTGTCAAAATCAAAGAAGATAAACAAATGCACCAAGAACTTATTGAAGAAACAGTAGCTGTCGGCGTAATGTTTGCTTCCAAAGCCTTTGTTCAACTACTGGCTAATCCAATTGTGGGGCCATTGACGCACAAGTAATAATATATGAAAGCTTATTTTAACCATGCACGCCTCATCGTCGCTTGTTAATATAATAATAATAAGAATTATTATTATTACTATTGTTGTTGTTATTGTTATTGTTACTGTTGTTATTATTATTTGAAAGACGCCAGTGTGTTTACATATTTGTTATTTGTGAAGAACACCATTATTCTTCTTTCAGGATTGGATACAGCATTCCCATGTTTACTGGCTTCTTGATCATGTTTTTATCCACTTTAATATTTGCTTTCGGCAGAAGTTATGGGATATTATTCCTGGCACGTGCTCTTCAAGGCATTGGCTCGTCTTGCTCTAGTGTCTCGGGTAACAAAGCTTTAACTTAGTACATTTTTTCCAGACGACAGATTACTTTTAATTATTAAAGTGAAAAGTGTACGAGAGTGAAGAGTTAAAAAGTAAAAAGGCGCTTTTGGCCTTCGCAACAGTCGCGATGCGTTGCTTTTGATTTTCTTTTATTAAAAGGAAATAACTGCTATATAAATTCTTCAATTAACGAGTAAGCTGAGGATGCGTGAATAAATATGATTTATAACACGGTACTAAGTAACCTTTTTCAATAAATTGATATTGCGTTGATAGTGCCCTTATAGAGATTTTCAGAACGTATAAGATGAGCATTAAAGCTTTTTGAAGTACTTTAAGACGATAAAGATTTTGTGGCATTATCTATATTAGAATTTATAATTTTACGCCGCAATGTAGAAAATATTTTGCTGTCGTGTCATACAAATTGTTAGCATGTTACAATATGTGTCGCACATCCAGATTTATTGTATGAAAAATATATAAAAATCATAATGACGTTTGCACCAGGAATGGGAATGTTAGCGGAGCGTTATCAAGACGACAAGGAGCGAGGAAACGCTATGGGAATTGCACTGGGTGGCCTAGCCCTTGGGGTCTTAATTGGGCCACCATTTGGCGGTATTATGTATGAGTTTGTTGGCAAATCCGCACCGTTCCTCATACTGTCAGCACTTGCTCTTGGCGACGGATGTTAGTAAATATTTCCCATAACAATAATTTGTAACTTTGGACGAGGATATTACTTTGCATTAAGTCTTGTTTGCCTTTGGCACCTCTACAATCATTCTCAGAGCAGCTTCCGAGTATCTAGAAAAATAATGATTGATAATGTTTAATTTTTTAATCATCATACTTTGTTAGATTTTTTTATCGTTTTACAACGTGTTATTAATTAAGATTGGTTTCCCGTGTGTAAACAACTGTATTCACGTTAAAATAACAAATAACATATTTATTCATAATTTATCATAAATCGCTTTAATTTCTGCATTCATTCCGTCATTTAAAAAAAATAAATCAACGATTACATTGCAGTACTGCAGCTCTTGGTCCTCCCGCCAACTATTGTTTATACCGAGGCTGAACCACCGACATTAAAATCACTGGTTACTGATCCTTATATCATATTAGCGGCTGGTAATTAATCAAACTATAACTTTTAACGTTATACCAAGAATAATTGGAAATTTAAAAGATGATTTACGTTAAAGGTGCAATAACATTCGCAAATATGGGCATTGCTATGCTTGAACCCAGTTTACCTATTTGGATGATGGACACTATGAACGCCAGTCGATGGAAACAGGGTGCTACATTTTTACCTGCAAGCATCAGTTATCTTATAGGTACAAATCTTTTTGGACCTTTAGGGCATAAAATGGGCAGGTAAGACTTCTGTTTAGATATATTGAAAAGATGATGACATAATTCAATCTTTCTTCACTTTAACAACACGACTCGACACACATAACAATAATAACCCTGCCGTGTAACTGTATGCCTGTGAATTATTTAAAAAATTACATTTCTTTCCTTATCGCTGTAATTTATCATGAGGCTAGTAAAAATAATATTCCATAATGTATCGTTGCATTGAGCGCTGTATAATTTAATCGTAATTTGTATGCGAGTTATATATTTCTTTTCAAGTATCGTTAATATCAAAATAATTAATGAGAATTTCACTGTTTTAAAGCCAGGAAATGCGAAATCACGAAGTGGTTGTTTCAATTATATTAGAAACTTTGCAGCCCAGATTTGAGAGCACGAAAAAGTGTTTTCAATTTTTTCAATGTCATATTTTAGAATATCTATTTTATGCACCCTTATTATATCGACTTTGGGACAGGGACGTATGCCTTGATCTGGTGTAAGCTTATGCGAGTTGATAATTCTGACATTATATTCTCTCCTCGCGTTTAGTAATGCACGAGTTTTTTTTACGACATTTGATTTGACTATTCTGTATGTATTTTCCAGATGGTTAGCCGCTCTCATTGGCCTTGTTGTCATTGGTATTTGTCTGATGTGTGTACGTATTTTTCAAACCATTTACATTCATAAATAATAAATTCAAGTTGAGACATATCAAATTATGTATCGCGCGCTGAATAAAATCAGTGTCCCTCTTTGACTAAATACTCGATTTATATCTTAAATATCGATGACGATAAGCATGATTATAGAATTACATTCAACTTTTGATTTACGACTGCGTAAATAATCCGTACACGTGAAATTTTTTGAAATATTTCCGAACGTACGAAATCTACGACATCGATCATTTTTCAATATGTAAATGACTCACTTGGGCATCGCCTTGATTACATAATTAATAGTGAAACACTTTTTGAATTTCTTCAGATACGTTAACTATAGCGTGCCTTTGATTTTCAGATACCGTTAGCAAGAAGCATTGATCACTTGATCATACCCAATGCCGGATTAGGTTTTGCCATTGGCATGGTTGACAGCTCAATGATGCCTGAGCTTGGATATTTAGTTGATATCAGACATACTGCTGTCTATGGAAGTGTCTACGCTATCGGGGATGTAGCTTTTTGTCTCGGTTATGCTATAGGTTTGTATTATCTAGAAAAATCGACAGGAGTTTTCAAAATCCTCGGCAATCACTTCAAATTTATCTGCAATAGAAAAAGGACCAAATTTTAGAATGTTCTTTACAATTATATACGTTTCTTCGCAAAAATAGTTCTAGCCTTTTTTATACTAATTGTTTTATTTCAGCACTTCGTTATTACTCCAATTTTTTATTACACTCAATTGATTGTTTAGTATCAGACGTCATATTATAATTTGAAAAAGGCTTTTCAAAGTTCTTTAAACTATTATATAATATACTATTACTTATGTAATATACTAATGCAAATTTATGCGTTTTAATTGAAAAGGTTTTATACGTACAGAAATACAAAAAAATATATTTATGAAAATTGAAATTTATTTTTAGTATTGTCAACTCATTTACAGCATATATTACATTGTGCACTAACTGAATAAGCAACAACATTCATCTAATTAAAAATTCTTGTATCATATGTATTATGTTGTTGATTTTCCTGAAATTGAAAACATGATGTTATTCATGTCATATCTCTCGAAAATAAATAAATGTAAATATGCGAACCTTTATACGTTAATTAACAATAGTATTAATAGTAGTATGGGTAAAGCAATATTAGATGCAAATACTATACCTAGAAAATAAATTTTTAATTATAATCCGGTTGCAGGTCCAGCATTGAGTGGAACATTGGTAAATACTATAGGATTCGAATGGATGCTCTTTGGCATAGCTATCTTGAATTTCATTTACGCGCCATTTATGTATTTTTTGAAATCACCACCCACTAAAGAAGAGAAAAAGGTATGCAGCTGTGAACGTATTGAGTGTAGATCTCTGATTTCGAAACGTATTTGCTAGAAATCTACAAAAATTAATTTTTACGTATTGTTACAGTCGTTAATTGTTGGTGAAAAGTCATCAGTTCGGTACGTGTCTTATGAAAATGATGAAGAAGATCAATAAACGTCTAATTTTCAAAGGTGGAATCGTGAATAATTCGCAAAATGTAGATTTCCATGTCGTTAAAATCCTAATACAATTTTCATTTTATTTGTTATTTACATCAATCTTAGTAAATATGTCAAGCCTATATAAATATGTGAAATAATTATGCATTGTAAAGTATAGCGTGACAATTAAGGTCGTAATGAATACGATATGTTTGATTACTTTGTTGTATCATTCTTTATTTAATAAAAATGTTGTGAATTGTTATTAATAATGAAATTAAATTCTTGTTTATTAAACATATAAGCTGTCAAAGAATTTATAAGTATAAGCGATAAATATGTATTTATACGCACGTTCGGTGATTCAGATGTATACATATTAATGACTGGCAACAGGTTCTGATTTTAACCGTTCCAGTTTGGAATTTCTATCGATTATTCTTCACTTCAATTTATTAAAATATTTAAAGACGGTTTTCAGACAGGTTTTTCGATTCTTAAAAATTAACAGGCGATAATAAATAAAAGGTTACTCAATCTTTTCACTTTACAATTTTCGTACTTTAATTATTTTCATAATTTCAATCATATTCATGTTCACATTTTCTAATAAATTAGATCATAATGTAGTCGTTGAAATATTATGTTAAATATATTTGTATTTTTAAATTACACTTTTTATACCCTCTTCAATAATGACTGATGCATTTTAAAGTGTCACAGATAGTATTGAATTATCTTTCACGAATATTATTTATACAGCAAGGTTAAAGTAAAAATAAGTTATACTGATAATTTATTTACTTCATTAAAATTTCGTTCATTTTTGGAGTAAATTTTGTGCTGCCCCTTAAATATAATCTACATTATCAGTATTATAAACAAAAAGATCTAGTGAATTATATTTTAAGATTTATAAAAAATTTATTATTAATAAATTTTACAGTTATCATCTTTAAGATCGAATTCAGAACTTGAAATCTACAAAATATCTGTCATTACTGGAAAATTCCTACCAAATTAGAATTAGTTTCTCTTTGATAGTAATTAATCAATCTTTTGCATTTGATGTTGGACAGTGAATAGTATTTAATTCATCATCGATTTGAAACTTCTTTTAGGATTGCACCATAATAAAAATCTAATACTAGTCATGGGCGAATATAATATACTTTTAAAGTATTATACAAATACGCTATCCTATATTATCACAGTATACTAAAAATAAATGAGTCTAGCATCTTCCGGATTTTGATCCACTGGGCAGTAAGGGCATTTCAGTCTGGAAACAAATTGATTCCTTTAAAAAGTGTTTTCGCTATCAATGCACTTATCATTAACTTCTGCTGAACGACATACTTATTTGCATTTGTGAGTTTGTTAAGAGCATCTCGAGAGATAACGTGACCACAAACTAGTTTCATTGGTGGATTGTTTTCTGTACTTTGTTGCCTCAGGATGGGACACGCAAAAACAGAATGATAACGGCCTAGAGTTCCCAAATCAATTTCGATCTAAAATTTTATATAAAAGAAAAAAATTGTCTTTACTAGTTTAATAGTTTTATTAAAAAAAACTTACAGGTAGTTCATCTTTTCCACTCCATATACCAGCAACTTGTCGTTGTTGCATTACTTGTTTTATATTCAAAAGAGCAGGAAGAGCAGTAATGCCAGCATTTATGCTGAAATTCATTCAATATAATTGTGATTTTACGTTACATAAGAATAATAAAATAACTAAAAATAATGTCTTTATTTACCAAACTGAAAGAGGGCTATCAACACTTAATCCTAAAAGTGTACAAGCTTCTCTGGTGAAAGAATCATGAATATCAAGCCACAAAACCGGATCTAGTAAATGGCTATAAGGAGATGACTGGATGCCATTAGGTAAGTATAATAACGTTCCCATTAATGACTGAACTTCTTTTTCATAGCGATTAACAAATTGAGTTAAATGTTTTCGAGCATATGCAATAGCTTCGTTCTGTTTACTTGGTCCTTGCTGAACCAATCTTATGAATTGTAGTCTATGCAGTTTAAACTCTAAGGAAGAATTCTAGAAAGCAGTGATTAAATACTTAAGCTTGAAGATATTCTAAAATGCATATTAATAATTTTAAAATAATTTACTTTTGCAATTAGAGCTTCTCTGTGCTTCATTGACCATTCCAAAGCTGGTTCTAAATTTTTTTGCTTCAAACAATCTAATATGTAATTTAATTCCGTAAATGGCTCTTTTCTACCTTCATCAGTTTTAATGCCAGCTTCCTAAAATAATGAAACATTAAATTAGTATTTTTTAAAATTTATGTTTTACAAATAATAGAATATTATGCTTAATAAAGACAATTTTCATTAGTCAAATTCTCTTTTTTCTATTTTGATTTACAAATGTAAAAGACCAAGCTGGTAGTATAATATATAGTGTACATTACCTGTGCCAATTCATCAGCTATATCCAACATTCCCTTACGATAAAAATGCTGACAAATGACTTGATTAAGAAGATGTGTTTTTTCTGAACCTGAAAATACATCTTCTCTGCTTGTACTAGCAAAATCGGCTATGAAATTTTTGTCAATTGTTTTGCCTACTCTTGAGACAGTGCTATGCAATTCACGATGTTCTGTTGCCAGTCTTTGAACTGTGTCTCGTGCCTTAGTCATTGCTTGTTTTAATACTTGAATTTGATTTAATGTCAGTTCATGATCAGGTGGTGCTGATAAATAATATTAGAATATTAATAATTCAACATATAATAAAGGAAATGTTTTATGAATATTAAATCAATTTAATTTATTATATTGTTCCTAGTTTCTTGGAAACTTGAATTATTTGTTTCTTCACACAATTTTCATATGGCAGCATTGCAAATACTTGTGATGGAATAAAGAGTAGAAACTAATCAAAATAAACAATAAGCACTCCGAATGATTGACTTATTATAAAAATTTTAGCCTAGTTTAATAGTACTAAGTGGAAAGGTAAATTCTTAAGTTTACTAGGCTTTGTTCAACTTTTGTTTAAAAATAGGCGAATATATTAACCAAAAAACATCATATCCATACCTTCCTCTAATTCTTTTTTTAGAGATTCTATGTGATTAATAAGATCACGTAATGTTGTATCGGCATGATTATTTATTGCTCCAAATTTTAACAAGACTTTATCAACCTCGCGTTCAACAGCACTACAAGCCTCCATTGTTGTTTTTCTCACTACTCACTGCTCATATGAATACAGCTATAATCTACTTACGATTACATTTCACCACCACTATTATACACCAGCTGACGTCAATACCGCAACGTTGCCAGATTTCATTTTTCCTTGTTGCAGAATATATAAAAAAATCTTCAATCCAATAAAAGAAATATTGATATGAATTACTCAATCATACAATAAAAAAATTGAATCGGTATATGTTTTTTCTGAATTTTCCAATAGCCTCCAAATTCATTAAATTACATTTTTATATCAATCATTCAATGCAAAGGTTTCTGCGTAAACAAAATTTGGACTAGGAATAATTTTATATTTACTGAATCATAAACATTAATCAAAAGTAATTACATATATTACTCACATATGCACATAGGTATATACAGTGAATTTTTATGTCTATAATTTTATTAACATATTAATAATTGCGAGATTTGGAAAAAACTACAATGTCTTTGTCTGCCACATAACTAAATGAAAAAGTATTATATTGCCAACAAATCAAAATGTAACACTGTAGATGGATGTTTATCATAATTAACTTGCTATTAAAACTTATTCATTCAGGTAGACAACCACAAAAAATATGAACCTAGTATCCTTCCTTATACATATTTATATACTTGGTTATGGATTAATCTTCAAGTTGTTTCATGAGAGGAATGGATTGACAGATTGCTATAAAATAAATAAAGTTGATTAATAAAAAATGTTATAATTAATTATAATTTATCTCATTTAATTATTTGCAAAAGTTTGTAATAATTTTTTATCATGTATTATTGTTTGTGTTGCTCTATCAACTATTTAACAAACTAACAAAACGGAACATAACCTAATATTTGAAAATTATTGAATTAATTGAAATATAAGATATTATTTATAAAATTACCCATTCTCTGGCAATCAATAATACTGTGCTATTTTTTAAAACTGGTCCTACAAGTGGATTCATTTGAGCCATGTAACAGCATAACCAGCTAGTGAATAATAATTTTCAGAATTATTTAACTCATAGCTTTATAAGAATAATATAAGTGACAACTTACAATAACCAGCAGGTAAATGCTGTCAGCATTAGAACAACTTGTAAAATTCTATCGAAAATAAGAGAAAAATCAATTAATTATTGTTTTGTAGAAGATATCTTTACAAGTAAACTTACCCTTTGTTGGGACCTTTAGGAACGAAGAATGGCAATACTATACCAACTGCACCCCAAAATACTGTGAAAAAGAAAACGGGTACCCAGTATGCTCCCATATTTGCTAATTACTACTTTTTAAAGCGATAAATTCTAAACAATATCGTCTTATCCAAACTTGTTAATACGATCAAGGCGTCTGCTTTTGTCACATGACGACTACCTGCACACAACCCGTCTTTGCGCAATGCGCATATTTGTCGCGCATACATTTTATTTCATGTCTTGTTCACTGCGCCGCCCTGGTAGCTAGAAAAAAAGCTTTGGATCTATATCCGAAGTTTTTAAAATTAATTAACATAGTAGAAAAAATTTAAATAAATTTAAAAAAATATATGTTTCTGAAACCTGACTGTGTAGAAATTACCATCGTTCCATTGCGTTCTTGTAATTATGTTTTTAGAACGTTCAATATAAATATAATTGTTAGAGATATTAATTTTCTCAACAATTTCAAAATACAATATACATAATCCGATCTACATGGATATCATTGCTCGCATTTTTTTATGCTCGATTGATAAAAGAAGCTCAAGTAAACTTGCATTACAGTTTGAATATATTCAACTTCTTACAAACAAGTTTGTTGATAAAATTTAATACAATTTTTTTAATCAATTTGAACATAATTATACGTATTTTTTATACATATACTGATGAAAACAATATATTGGCTACAGATCAAACTATCTGTAAGAGCTATATTCTTGAAAATTAGAAATTCATTTTCTATATATCAACTAAATGTATCAGACAGATTAGAAATTCCTTCTAACATACCTAAAGAAAATTACATATTCCAATTAAATAGAGTATTTGATCGATAATGTTTAATTTACTTTATTATATTATGCTTACTGGACAAGTCAAAACTGAAAAAAGTGGTATCTGTTGAATCATTTTTGAGAATAGTATCTCTACTGAATAAATGTTGTCTGAAACTTAATACATTTTTTCTCATCACAGATGTATGCAGTACTTGTTTATTTGGTTTGGATTTACTTGGAGTTTTATACATGACTGACCATTCATTACGTATTAACTGACCATTTCGAATATAAGGCACCAAAATAGAAACATCAGATTCATTTCTTGGTGTAATATTTGCAGACTGAATAGTAATTGGCTTTTTACAAGTTTTTACTGTAATAAATATTGCATTGAATTTTCGTAAAATTGGAAATATTTTTTATACTTTAGTGTAACATGACCCTTCAGAGGCATAATTGAAGTAACTTACCAGAGTATGGAGTCCTAATGTATAGCATAGAATTTTCATCCAAAGTTAGCTTATTGATGTTTGATGGAAAATTTAATTGTGTAAAGCCTGCGTAAAAATTAATAAAAATATTTAAAAATGTCAAGAATTATTAATAGTTTTTAATTAAATTTGTATATGCCTGAATCATTTAAATTTTCTTGTTTTTCTGCTGGTTCTTTAGTGCAACTGCTTCTTGTAATAGAGTTATTGATAATAGTGGTCAGTGCAGGAAGTAATCTTTTTATTACTTTCAGCATCAAGTCACATCGTTTAATAACTCTAAGTTGTTCTGATGGTGTTGCTTTACGTGTGAGAAATTTTTTTAGTGCAGCATCACTTTCATATATGGCTAAAATTGAAATTGTATAAAATAACACTATTTAAAAAATGGTACTAATTTTTTTTGTAAATTTTACCAGCTTTGAATTCACGCATTATCATAGCTGTATATTTATTAATATTTGCTTGTCCTAAATCTTCTACTGTTGCATCTACTTGTTTAGATAAAGATAAAGCCCGCTGGACTATAATTTTAACTTGTGACTGAGATATATCTTGATGATCATCTAAACAACTTGATAGTTCATCAATCCGCATTTGTAAGTCATCAAGAATAATCTATAAATGAACAAATTATGCATTGTATAAAACGTGTTTTATTTACTTCAAGATTATAAAATGCTTTACTTGGCAATAAGCAGCTGGATCAATTATCAAATTGATGTTGTGATGAAAATCATTCATTTCAACTTGCCATTGATTTGTCAAAAGTTTGACGCACGATTGCATTTCTTGATTTGTTGGATGTAAGTAAAATGCAATAGTGGCAGGAATCAGTTCCATCTCTAATGATTCAAAGCTCGCTAAACAATTTCTAATTTTTGCATTTTCTACAGTATAATAAAATTAGAGTAAAGAATATTCTTTATTAATAATAATTATGTAATATCAAACTGGAATCTTACTCTTTCCATCTCTACAGCAAGCTACTGCAAATTTTCCAATCTGCACTGACTTATCTACTATTTGATCAAATTCTTCAATAACAGTTGATAAATCGGTTTTTTTTCTATCTCTTTCATTTAAAGTTGTACCACAGACTTGTATTAATTTTTTCAATTTTTTGAAAGGGTCCTCAAAAACTTCCATGACCAATGTTAAAACTGAAATATTTATCTTTTGCTCTAGACGATAAAGAGCATCTGTTAAGGTATTTATAAATAAATTATTCATTATTTGATCTGTTGGATCTGACTGAAGCTGCCTTTTCAAATTTTCATATTCAGTCAATACTGCTTGGCAACTACCAGTGATTGCATTGAAACTATTTGGTTGACAAATTTGGGCTATTGACATTGCATGAGTGAACACATCTTCAATTCCTAACCACAGCTCTTTACAATATTCAACCTGTTCTTTTGCAGACTTTTCTGATAAAATTTTAATCATATCTAGTACCATATCTAGCCTGTATATAGGCATGTAAATATTTAGTTGACATTAATAAGCTTTACATAAAGAATATACAGATTTAATAATACCTAAACACAAAATTTTGCTCTATTTCATCAGACTCTTCCTCTTCAGAAGGTTGGGAAGAATCTAAGATATTTATAATTGATTCCAAACAAATACATATACGCTCACATACATATTTTTTACACATCTAAAAAAGTTATAAATAAATACATCATTTAATAGTATTAATTTTTAAAATCACTTTAAACTTACATGAATAGGTTTGCAAATATGATATTGTTCTTTCACCACTAAGACTAATAAACTAAATGATGCATACAGTTGATTGCAATATAATGCTAGTCTTTCAGATAGAAGATGTGATATTAAATTCCTTTGATAAGGAAGGAGCATTTTAACGATATCAGTAATACATATTCCTAATTCCTAGAAAAATAAATATGAATATCATTGAGAGGAAAAAGTTATGTTATAAAAATTGAATTTTAGAAAATGTTAATATCACTTTAATATTTGTCAAATCTTCTATTTTTTGAGCAGCTCCCATGTCTTTTACAGATTTTATACACTCTTTTAATCTATGTTTAAATGGGCAAGTTTCAAACTTCTCTAATTCTTGTAACACATGTAAAAATTGTTCAATTACAGCTGTAAATAATTGATTGTTACAATGATGTGCTCCAACATTTATCTGCAATTATAAGTTTGTAGTACAAAAAAGTTTGAAAAGTAATGATAATATTTTAAAATGTACAGGTAGAGTTTATAAGATATTTACTTTTTCACCAAAGTTGATAGTACAAAAATCTTCTATTACAGAGGTGATATTTATTTTCAATTCGCCATAATTATCAATGTTTTCATCGGAAATATGATCAAGTTTATTTGACAGAGTTTGTAATTGATCAAGAATACTTTTCTTCAATTCAGTTATCGTTTCATCTGTACGTTCTAAAGCATTATTATTCACGAGTTCTGATAATTTTATAATCTGAAAAACAAGAAAAAATTTTCATAAGGTCTATAATATGTTTTTTCAACCGTAATTAACGAATAGAATCACTATTAAAATATATATTATTTTATTTAGCTATTAAAGTTGATATTTTTACTTTTTTTTCTATGGGTTGAAAAATATTTCTCATTTGCTTTGTTTTCAACATTTTCCAGCTAAACTGTTCAAGCAATTAGGCGGTATTATACTTTGAAAATGAAGTACACTAAAAAATAATAAACCTTGAACGAAGTCCTAGTTACTTTTCAAGAAATCACAAGGAAAAACATGTTTGAAGTCAAACGTCAAACGTTAAACGTATAATACCAAAAATATCCGCAACCGTTCAATTCAAACCGCTTGCTACTAACCTAACTTTCTACATCGTTGAAATACTGAAGTTGTCTGATAATGTTAGATCTCTCCTCCGAAATGAAATTGGCGCGTAAGTTTGAAAAATAAATTAAATTTACTATTTAATGAAGCAAATGAAACTAAAGAGCTAAATTCTATAAAGTACTAGTTAAAATTGAGTGAACAAAGAGTAGTTAGATTATTTGTCCCTATATAATAATAATCAATTAACTATCCGATACATTATAGTCGAGCTCTATCTTCAGATTGTGTGAAGAGTTGCGCAATCATCGCAAATATACGATTCACAAACGCTATAGCATTGTAGAAGCGGAGTAACGACAGATAGGTACTTGTACGTACATACATACATACATGGTACACATCAATGGCGCGGACAGAGACCTCTCCAATCTCCATTGTATTATATATATATAGTACAAAACAAACACTTGATGATAGTTTCTTTGAAGCGTGTGTGTACAACGGTGGACTGGCTGCTGATTTTGCATCTCTTTTTTTAATTAGTTTATCCACTCTAATATCAGTGAGCATTCCTTAATCATTGCGATGATTTATCGCCGAAGATTTAATCTGTCGTATGTAGGCACGACGACCAGCAGTGACGGCGTCCCTCACTTTGAAAAGCATAAAGGTCCACGATCTTGATTGCAAATGCTTCTGGATATATTATAAATACGACCTTGTCTAGAATTTGCCCTTAGAATTGATTAGCTGAATTAATGGTGTAAAATTCAACTGCAAAGAGTTAGAAAATGTAATAACACAAGAATAAAAATAGCTAGAGAAGAACATACGAAGGGTTTTATTATCGATTTCTTTTACATTTCACTATCAAAATCAATTATACGAATTGGCAGCACCGGCTGTAGGTATATAAAGTGACAGCATACGTCTAACCGGTTTGCCTACATCAAGAAAGTATTGTGAAGCCATCTTCACTTACACGATTTTATTTTCTCTCGAATAAGCAGTGCAACGACGTGTACGTTATATGTCTTTAGAAATACATGAGTGAGGTATTGGCTGATAGTTGATCGACCACACCTGTTGAGAAATGGTACTTTAAACAAATAATAAATTAGTTACAAGCGTGATATACAAAAATCTAGACTCACAAACGGCTTTTGTTCGAAATCAGTGTGCTTCGAACTGCGCATAAACGATTTTCATGACGCGTTTGACTTTGTGCTTACTACAATGCTTGATTCATTGAAGATGTCACGCTATCGACAATGTTTTCAAAGCTTGGTTTGTATTTTCAAATAAAATTGAAATGCAGCCTACGCGGTGGAGCATTTATCTCAAAAATAATGCGCGTAACATCTACTAATCCACTATATATATTTCATGTATGTATATATTTATAGTTATTTATTCATATACTTATAAATATCTATACAGCTATATAAATATCTATATCACAGTTCACACATGGAATATACATGCCGCGTACAAGCTTTGTACCGATACCAATATGATTGGAATAGTATAGCATAAATGAATATTCCTAAAACAAAGTAGAAGAGCGCCCAGGAGTTTCGATAATTTTAAGGTAACATGTAGTTTTATCGATCGTTGATCTTATAAGTACCAACATTCGATTAGTCGTTAATAAGTCGGACCGAAGTATAATCTGACGTCGGGGTAAAAACCAACAAACTCCCGCGTAACTTTCACTAGCGGAGAAACGAATGTCCGTTTAACGACGCTTTTCATCTTCGATCTCGGCACGAGCACACGGGGTCAAACGGGCTCCAACGGGCTCAAAAACGTTTGCCTTTTTCCAATTAGACGAAACTGCAAAGCTGCCACTTTGGGACGGAAGTACCGCGCAGTTTTTCGTATGCAATGGTTTGCCGAAGATGCTTTCATTCGATATCAATAAAGTCTCGAGGAACCGATTGACGTTGATTTTTCTTCGTTCCTCTCATCGCCAAATGTGCAATACAACCATATGCATTGATCCAAAACTGGCCTCGTATGCGCACTATGGACATACAGTTGAGTATTATGTATATATAATACGTGCAAGTCGCGAGAGAAAAATCGAGCGAGCGATTTCAAATATAGAAAAGTGTGCGCTTCACGCGTTGTACTCGTTTTTCGGAAACGTACGAATTAAGCAACAGAAATGTACACGAATGAAATGTAAATTGCAGTCTAATGCCGGAGCGCCTGATGAAAGGACGCGCGAAGGCGATAGTGTGCAGCGCGCGCCGTATGAAAATGGCAATTGTTGCAATTGAAGACCAAATAACCGTGGAGCGAATCGATGTACGAAGGCTAGGCGCGTTCGGGTGCGACGGTAAGTATTTCAAGTCATTAGTCGAGACAGAACGGCTCAGGCATATCACAATATTTACAGTCTCTGCGATGGACTGCAGGTTCGACGAGCCTCGACGAGCCGCAACGAGTCGGGCGCGAGCGGGGCGGCGGGGCGCGGGCCCCGTTGTCGGGGGCTCGGCAGGCGGCCGCTCAGGAGCAGGCGCACTCGAGCACGCGCATGTCCTTCCAGTTGGAGACCTTGAGCTTGGTCGGCTCGCTCTCGTCGAAGTAGAGGATCTCGAGCTCGGCGAGCTTGCTGGGCGCGCAGCAGGGCCGCGGCGCCTTGCTGCGGTCGCCCTTCCAGATGAGGCTCTGCAGCAGCGCGTGGTGGTGCGCCGGGTTGTAGCGCGGCGGGCAGCGCCCCTTGCAGAAGCCCGCGTCGAAGCTCTTTGGTTGCACGATGAACTCGAAGCCCTCGAGCTCCTTGAAGTTGACGCTCATCTCGTGGCGGCAGCACCTCTTGGCGCCGGGCCCGGCCGCGACCTTGCACTCGCTGCGCCGGCCGCGGTGCACCGACCACAGCTCGCCCACGCCGCTGGCGCGGCGCGCGCTGCGCCGCGCCCGGCCCACGGGCCCGCGCGCGCACGCCAGGTGCAGGTTGAGCGCCGCCTCGGACACGCGCAGGCCGCGGGCCGTCCAGCCGCCGGCCGCCGCGGCCGCCACGAGCTGGGCGCGTAATCGCAGCGGCCGCCGGCGGCGCAGCTCCGCGGCGGGCAGCTCCAGCTGCAGCCAGCGCGGCCGGCCGGGCGCGAGGCCGCGGAGGCCCAGGCGGGCCAGCGCCCGGCCGCCGCCGCGGCCGTCCGGCGCCTCGCCGTACACGCGCAGCTCCAGCTCCTGCTCGGGGTCGCCGTCGCGCTCGCGGGGCTGCAGCAACAGCCGCAGCAGCGCCGACTCCAGGCCGCAGCGGTCTCCGCCTCCGCCCGGCGGGAAGCTCAGGCTCACCGGTGCCGTTTCTCCGTCTCCGGCTTCGATGCCTGCAATCAGCGGGACCGGGTGACGCGAGCTGTCGCTCGGCTGCGGCGACACGACTTACTGCTGGGGCGCAGCGCCGACAGACTCCTCCGGTGCGCGCCTCCTCGCTTGCGCTGCAACTTGCTCAGGTACTCGTTGTGCGCTCTTTCGTACTCCGCCTGGCTGACGTTCGCCTGCAATCGTTGTTCGAAAGCCAATAAGTCGATAGTTTGGCGTTCAGTCGGCGAATGAAATGCGTTGGCTACGTTTCTATCCTTTTCGCTGTTGCCAGTGGCAATGGAAACGGAGGCAGAGTCGCCGGGAAAACCGAGCATGGATCGAAGCTACTTTCGATTATGAGTGAACGAGTGAACGCGGGAATGCGCTGGAAATGAAAATCTAGTATGTCACTAACGACGCTGACCCAACCCACCTTGGCCTACATTCCCATAGGAAATACATGTAGCGAAAAGTGAGTCTTTACATAATTCGCCGGGATCGTTTCATTTATTTTCCCGTGACATCGTTACGAACGAACACCTGCACTTTTACTCTCTCTCCCTCTCTCTGCGCGTGAATTCTCTATGGGATGAGTGTAGCAGCGTATTAGCAGCAGTAGCAGCAGCAGCAGCAGCAACGCGGCGACGAAGCTCGGAGAAAGGAGGAATGCCAGCTACAAGGAACGATTTGCTTGACCTAAATAAAACCTAAATAAATCGTGATGCATCTCCCGTCGGCACGCGATCGTTAAGTGCTCGGCGACGATTCTACACGACGAATCTCTATTGACGTTCGTGAATTGCCAGACCTAGCCGAGTCTCGCTGGCGTTGACTCGTCGAGGGTAACGGCGATATTAAGAAGATACAGGCCGGCCAAGTACGTATTAGGGATGGAGGCATGGCGAGAGCCGAGGTGCGGAGGTCCGCTACGGTACGGAATGAAATCGCTGCTAGCGCGAATGAGTCATCGAGTCGCCAGTGAGTCAGCGCGAGCAAACTGAAGGTGCCAAAGCGTTCTATCCGTAATTTTGGAGACTGTAGGCAAAACGCCGCGTGCGAGGATAATGCCGAGCTTGGCGAGTTAATGAATCCGTTCGGAAATGACAAGAGACGGAGAGATTCCAACGAGCCTGCGACGTTGAGTGGCAGCTTCAAAGGGTTACTTGCAAATGAGCGGCGAAAGACGCGCGCGTCGCGTGCAGTCGGATAAGCGACAGCTGACAATGGGAAAAACGCCGTTATTGTTCTGCTTGACGGCCGGTGCGCCAGTGCCTGCGCGCGCGTCTCGCCTGCCGCGGCGTTACATTGCCCCTTTGCCAGTTTGCCTTTCCGTCTGGCTTGCAGGCCTCCCGATGCACTGCATCTACTTGGCTTCCAGCGGCGCGCGAGCACAGCTACTTCTTTAATTATGCAAAGACTTTTAGCGAGCCGACTCTTTGGTCTTTCATCCGCTCTGGCTCGAATGCACTTCGGATGCCGTATATACTCGTCGGAGTTTCTCTCGCCGACGCACACAATACGACGAGCGACGCATAATAATAATTCGAAGAAAAAAGAAAGAGCGAAAAGAGAAAGAAGAGAAAAAAAATAATGGAAAATGAAAAAGTGGCAAGAGCGCGTGCGAGCACGTGCTGCAGGCTACGTGCCAGTCTCGCTTCGGCGGCACATTGTCCCCATTCAGCCTCGCGCGCAACGCCTTTTCTCATTACCGCGCGAGCCTGCAGACGGCCGGCTGGCAATATTTTGGCTCGGATGGCGCGCGACGAGAGGCGCGGGGGACCGGCGCGGAAAGCGAGGGAGAGAGACACCTGTTGCTTGCCTGCTTACTTTGGCCACGTCGGGGATGCCGGCGAGTCCCAGCGCCTCGACGATGCTCGACCTCACGTCCAGGAGCCTCTGGTCGTGGGGCCGTTGGGCCCCGCCGACCGGGCCCAGCAGCGGTGGCAGCAGCACCAGCAGCACCAGCGGCAGCACCAGCGGGTCCGACGGCCGGCGGTGCCGCTGCGCCCGCGGCTCCTCGCGGCCCATGCCTCGCAGCTGCCAGCCGACTAGTGGGCTCGTCGCCGGGAGCGGCCGCTCCGAGCCGCCGTCCTGGCCATGCTCGCCACTGCACTTGCGGATCCGGCGCGGAGAGGCAGCGAGCGCCTGCTGGAGAGCCGTGCTGCTCGGGTAAGCGCCGCTTCTCGACTGCGACTAGTAGCGTCGCTCGGGCCGACTTGGCCGCGAGCGCGAGCGCGAGCGCGAGCCGCCGACGCTGCCGCCGCCGCCGCCGCCGCCGCCGCCGCTTCTTTCCTTTGACGACGCGCCGTGCCATCCAGCCGGCCGAGCTGCCGGCCGTCGCCACTCTTGCTCTAACTCACTTACCGCGCGCTACCTGCCCGAGCTTATCGCCCGACTCGCTTCGCTTCCGATTAGCCGATCGCCGCACGGCGCGGAGGCCGGGTGGTCGGCGCCCGACTCGGCCCGTGCGCCCGGGCGCGCCCGCGCCCGCCGAGCCCCACGCGGCGGGATTCCCCATTACGCGCCGCCGCGGCCAGGTGCTCGGCGGCCCGTCGGCCGCCCGCAGAAATAGCCGCGCGCCGCTCTATTCTCGGACGCGCCGTGCGCAATGGATTCGCCGGACGGGGCGCGCGTGCACGGGCCGCGCGGCAGCTTTTCCCGATCGAGCGCGGAGGGAAGAGGGAAGCCCGCTGCGCCTCGTCGCGCCCGCCTTACGCGGAATCAGCCCCGACTCGCGGAATCGATTCATCGGCGCTCGCTTCCAGGTAACTCACCTGCGTGCACGGCTCGCCCAGCCCCTCGGCCCGCCGCGTACTTTCCCCCATTCGTCATCCTGCCTCGGCGTCCCCGCCCGACGCCCGCGCCTCCTTCCACGTCCACGGCTGCGAAAACCCGACCACCTCGCGGCGTCTCGCCGACGAGCTGCTCGCCGGCGATTCGGCCGACTCGACGTCGATCGCGCGAGCGCCGTCGCGTGCGCAGCCGCGGTGCCCTCGGCGAAGTCGAGCAGAGGCCAAGGAAGCATCGGCAAAACTGGATTAGCTGCTCTAGAGTAATGCATTAGTGCTAAAAGCGTGTGCTCTCGAGTGCGCGCCCACTAGTGCACGATCGTCGCGTCGGTACTTCACGGGGCCGCGGCAAAAAAAGAAAGAAAAAAGAAAAAAAAAATGACTCGGCTCTGCGGCAGCTCTTACCTCTTCCTCTTTTGCCTTCTTTTTTCAAGTGAACGTATGCTTTCTCACGCATAGTGAGCGGTTGTCCGCTTGCCCGACCAGATTTCGAAGCTTACCGTCGTCACTGCTAGTGGAGGAAGAGAGAGAGAGAGAGAGAGAGAGAGAGAGAGAGAGAGAGAGAGAGAGAATGGAGGAAGGATGGACACAGAGAAAGTGCTCATACAATCTCCAAAGGCTTCTCTACTTTTTAACGAAAAGGCTCGAGTCCAGCGACTAGATGTCTCGTTAGAGTGCTGGACCAGTAATTTCGATGACAGCTGCCTCGATCGTTTTTTTCCATGCACACGTAACGAGTGCTTCGATTACAAAGAAATGAAGCTTTCAACACTCAGGACTGTTCATTTATTGTACTGCTTAAATACATCGTATCGTTCGTTTCGTGGATTATCCTTCGTTAAGTAACGCGGTCTGAGCGATTTCGCGAGTCTTTTTGCTGGAGAGTCGATCGGAGCAATGTAGCTGGCTACTCCTGCCAAGTATGCAACCAAGGGGGTAACATACGTGTTGCCACCATCATTTCCCTCCCGAGAACTCATAAAATTTTCTCTTCATCAATTCAGCGCCTTCGGCATTGATCTTCCTGTATCCTGGTGTTGCCACTTTCACTTTCTCACACCATTTCGATACATTTTTATACTTGTCCAGCTCGAAACCCAACACCTTTTTACAACAGACGAGAGACAACAATTACAAACACCTTCTTGTTCGTGCGCATTTGCACTGTCGAGATACCGCTAGATCATTCCGAGACGTGCTCTTTCAAAATAATCCTCATTCCACTTAACGTAGCAAGCACACGATCTAAAATATCTATAATCATCTCTATGTGTTTACCGTGTGTTGATTGCCAATGACACGAGAAACAAATAATAATTGTAGTCGCACGCACGTGTTAACGACTACAGACATTTCTCATACAATACCATTGAATCTATCAAAGATGTTTGACAAGTAGCAAGACTATTGGTCAAACGTCAATCATAAAATTAGCATGTGAAATTTGGACATGTGATAGAACGGCAAAGTTGTCGAATAATGCTCGTTTGAAAAAGCATCGAAATGAACAGCTATAAGCAACTATAATTACAAACCTCGGCTGTGCTCACAGTTACTATCAGCGAGAGATCTGCTATTGTCAGGTAGCGAGTTGCGACGTAGTCTTGACTTTCCAGCATTTTGTCTAAAATATCGAAGCATTCCTTCAATTTTTCATACTTCTCGGGAGAATGGGTTTCCTCCATTTTCAGTATTACCGGAAACTAAAGTCGAATGCAATATTCAATTGTAAAAGTGTATTTTTCAATGCGAATAGAGTATAAAATGTTGGTTAGCGAGATAATTCTTACGTAATATTGAGTAATAGCTTTGTACAGTGTTCCGAGATCAAAATGGAGCGCTAAATTAACGAAAGCACGCCCGGTCGGATCGTTTGGAAGGATCTTTGCATTTTTCCCATATTTTTCCACCAAGTAAACCATTATTGCTCGGCTGCAATCGATTAGAAAGATATTATGAAAAATTTTGCAATAGAAATTTACGGACGACGGCTCAAATATAATCGTGAACGATAAGCGACTGCTGCTCGTGTTCAGGATCATTCAATTATTATCAATAGTGACGATAATCTGCGTGCGCTATAAATTGATTACAGGTGCATTTCTATCGCGGACAGTCTTCTTGGAACATTAATATTCTTGAAAGCTTTGGATAGTGACGAACAATACATCGCTTCTAACATCCAAGTGCAAAAGATCGATTTAGTATACACGAAAAACATGTTCATAGCATCGGGCATTGCTCTTTCAGATAAAACGAACGATGTAGGCATAGCACGACATATTTCAATGAGAAATGTATTCGAAAACATTATACACGCATCGTATGTTCTCATGCATAAACTTATATATATTTTCCATCATTTTCATATTAGACCCCACGATCGATGCGCGCCAGCTAAACTTCTCCCGCGCTATCCTTTGACCAGATTTCATTATGTATACGCATTCTTGAGGCCAGTAAAAGCGTTCAATAAATTCGTGTACAACTGTCAAACGGTCAGGTGCTGCCATCTGTTGGCGGTGCTATTCAACTACATTTTCCCCTCTACGTGTAATACCAGGTGCTGATTATAGCAGTACTCTATTCATTTTTTATTATTATCAGTCAAAATTGCAAAAACCTTTCTCCCATTCTTAGATCTCCGTCAACCAGAAATGGTATTTTCTTTTCAGGATTTATCTAAAAAGGTATTTAATGATGAGAGTGTAGCTTTGTATCGTTGCGTTATATCGAATTGTCAATCAGCATTGTGCAACTTAGAAAAAAAAAAAATATATTCTTACCTCTTCATATTCGGGTCGCAGATGCTCACCTTTCATTACGTCAATGTAATGCAGTTTCGGCGATAACCCGATATATTCTGCAATCAGTCGGACTGCGCGACTCGGTGGACTATAGGGTGCGTAATAGAGTTCCATCGCACAAATACGAATTATTAATAAAATCAGAGCCGAAAATACAATCAATTGTTGCTCGCGAAAACCATCCGTTTACTGACTATTTTGCTGCCAGACTGGCATTCTATTGATCCTGTTTGTCTTTCTATAACTTTTGCTTACCAGCTCTCATAGGTATAGCCTAGGACGATAGTCTCATACTATACCGCACTTATCAGAGACTATAAGCCGAATTAAAACGTAGCTATATTAACGCTACAATCTGCTTGGACCTAGGCTTCCAAATGAGTCCATATCACAAATTTGAAAATATACTGCTTCGAGAAAAAACTTGATTAAGTCTGACGGTTATAATAGATTTTTCGTTATGCAAAGTCTCCGATTCGTTTCATTTTTGATGTTGGATCAATATCACGTGACTACCAGTCGACCTTTTGGCAGCAAATTGTTTTTTTTTTCTACAAAACTTTATTTCCTGATCTGGGAGCATCGTATTAGAAAGAAAATGACAATTTATTATTAGGTCTTAAGTAGGCGATTTGTTCATTCTTGAAATAACTTTTGCAAGCTATAAATATAATACGACACACTGCATGAAAGAGTTGACAAGACATTAAGGTTGAATGTAATGGAAGATTATTATTGTTTATAAACATCTGAGCGTATACTTGTCGAAAAAATAAGAGTGTGTTAAAGTTGTGTAAATAAAATTGTTCATTTCATGAGCTGCTTCTTGAGTGCTTCGAATGCCTTAAGCCCTTCTCCATTGGTTCCCTCGTAATTTGGAGCTTCGGCTTTTATTTTATCGAGCCATGCAAGTGTATTTTTGTATGGAGTCAAATCGAAATCGATAATCTGTAAGAGCAATCGAAGTAAACGCCAGGACATGAACTTAGCGTGCATGCAGCATTTCAATGGGACGTGATAGTAAAATGGTATTTACCGTAAAATTGGAGACAGATGTGACGAGCGCGAGATCTGCAACGGTCATGTGGTCAGCAGCGACGTAACTTCGACCCTCTAAGAATTTCTCAAGAGTATCAAGAGATTCGTAACATTTTTTCAGCTTTTCGGGATCGGCAGGCGCTCCCCCAAACATTTGCGGATACTGAAATTTCGGTCGGATATTAATTAATAATTACTATTTGAATTACTTAAATTGTTCGATAGCTGTGGAATTGCTTACGAGATAGTCGGCAAATGAATTATACAGACAATCCAGGTCAAAGTAGAGGCGTTGGTTGATGATGGCTCTTTGCTTGGGATCTTTCGGGTAGAGAGAATCATCCTGGCTGTACTTGTCGATTAAGTACGTGCAAATGGCACGGCTATATACAATAAACAAAAATCATAAGAATTTTTTCCTCTCACTGTCCTCTATTTCTAAGATTACCTTTCCCACAAGTAAAATCCGTTATCATCCAAGGTGGGCAGAGTATGTTGAGGATTCATCTGTGACATTCAATTCAAATTCATAAAAGTAATGGAATTCATTTTAGTCGAGCTTGTTATTAATATTATTATTATTATTCGAAATTAATATAAAATACGCTTCGATAATGATTGCTAGTAATAATAAATCAGGTCTTGCTGAAAATAAAAAAAAAAAGAATAACATCGAAAGAGTTTACTTGCCTTGATAAACTCGGGTTTGAGATGCTCTTTGGCCATGAGATCGGTTAATTTAAGATTCAATTCAACGCCGACAGCGGCAGCGACAAGTCGCACAGCGCGGCAGGGCGAGCTCCCCGGGACGTAATACAAATCGATTGGCATTTTCTCTCTTGACTTCTGAACAGAGTCAGGATTACAAAATTTGATGTGCCTTCCGTTCTTACCATTGCTCATTTTGCCACAATCTCTTCGCATAGTTATTTATCATTCCGTTGTGACTCAAAGCTAGAATTGTGTTCTTTTTTTTTTCTTTTTTTGTTGTGTCAATGTAACTATGAGACTTGCAGCAGGTACTGTATTGCAACAACTTGTATTTGTTTAGCAATAGCTATTACAGTCATTAGTATAAGCTCAAGGCTTTACGATCCTACACCGAACTATCGCTACTCACGATCTAAATTCCTTACATTTATCTATTGAATACGCGTAACGCTTTGCGCGATGATTTATTATCCTTGTGCGTCCGCGATAATTAGCACAACAATTGAAGAAGCTCAATTTTACTGAAATTAGAATATCTTTGCACTTTAAATAAAACGAAATAATTTGAAGGAAGATGAAAATTCTATAAATCTCATGAGTAATGTAAAAATATAGTATTGCAAAAAACATTAGTTCCAAGGTGTGTTGCCGAAGAATACAGTAATCAGTCGTTTGAATGCAGAATTGATATTATTTTTGATCTTGTGAATAAATAAAAACAAAAATAAACTGGATTTTCTTATGTTATTGATAACTTGATCCACTAAATGAAATCAAATGCAAATTTTTGATCTGATGTGCTCTCTATTTATTGCACTTTCAAACTATATTATAGCGTTTGCTATTTTAACTCTTCGTGTTTTTCAAGAAGCTCAGATCAGAGGATACGCATCAGTGATAAAATTGATAGAAGCATATCGTGCATACATTATATGATTGATTGGTTGAGCAAAATAGTAATATTATTGAGAATAATTTCGCTGATAACTTTCAAAACTTACATTTGTGGAAGATTAAATAAGAGTATCACAATTTCGATGCAGCCAAGATCGACCTCGGTAAGCACAAGCTCAGAACACTGCACGCCGGTGAATGGGATAACGTGGGTATGGAATGAACTGAGCAACTTGCCGACCAACCCACGCGAACATTCTCGCACACACATACAAGTCCACTTTCAGGGCCAGTTCTCAAATGGGGCCGGCAGTGCTATAGTTGTTCGCTTGGGTATATGGGCGATTCCACTTAAATGCGCGCCTTATTCTGGCGATAATCTGAACAGCATGTTAGGTAACTCCACAATAGCATGTAAAGTATACGTGTAAATGTACGTGACGGTCACGTAACGCCTTTCTTTTAATTTTTCTTCCTTAATTACACCTTGAATAAAAAAAAATCATCAACTTTATACCTACCGCTCCAAAAGATTTGATATATTCAAGGAACATTTCAGAAGAAAAATTGTATAACAGAGGTTACTTGTCCGTTAACTTCGTTTACACGTGTGCTTACTGACGCTATTGTCAATACAGAGTATCACTGTCGATCAAGGAATTTCAAAAATTCAAAATGTGATATGCTGCTCTACTTCAAATGTCTCGCCCACGAACGCAAAATTAATATAGTTTTTTTTCCTTTCTTATCACAAGATAATTTATAATTTGATCGATGTGTTTAATTAACTGACTTTTCCTTGCTATCTTCAAACAGCCTTGCTATCTTCTAGATTAATATTTTGTCGCGTGTCAAATTCTATAACAAATATATAGGTAGATATTCTAAAAGGACTTTGGACCACGGAATAGTGCAAAAGAGGTATATCATCAAAATAGATTTTTAATACAAAACAATACATTTTAATCATGACTGTTTATTGTAACATTCATGATACTTGAATGAATGGTCGGTCGATGTAAATGGCGGTGATAATCTAGAATGATAAATTTGAGAAAAACAAATGACAATGACAAAATAAAACATACATGCGTGCACTTAAAATTAACATCACATATTAGCAGATTTCTTTTTAACTGTTTCTTTCCAATCATTGATAGTTTCATTATTCTGTTCTAACCATATAATATTTTTTTCAGCAGCCTGCAGTCCGTCAGCTGTGATGTTCGCCGGAATATCAACATCTTTTGTTGCTTTGAGCTGCGAAATGTAGGCATTACATCAGATAATCAGTATATAAATAAAGGTTGAAAAGGTCATTGGAATTTCAATATTTTTTACGTATACTTACTTTGGCTAATTGAGTTTCCGTAGTAATTTTTTCACCTACGTTTCGGAATAAATTACTTAGACGGTTTTCATCTTTGCTAAAATGTAAATATGCAATGTTAGCAGGTAATCGTAAATTTGGCTATTATATTTCTCATGATGATCATAATATTATGTCATACATACTATTTTAGAATCAGATTTTCATATCGACTTATTATAAAATCTAGAACCGTATCGACACCTATATTACTATAATGACAGATTAATTGTGCGACTAAAAAAGTATTGATTAATTTGGTATTGTGGTCGAGAGTATAATTCAAATAATACTGCAGAGCCACGCTGTTGTTTGAACATCCTAAAGCCGCCGCTAGATAAAATTTTTCATTGTAATCAGACGAATTCACGCACTTGTTAAATACTTTCTGCCACAAATCAAGGCTAGCCGTGCGCAATCCTTCACACATCGTAATCTGCTTCAAATCTGATGAAATTCTAAAACATACGTTTAAAAATATTGTAATAATCATAATTAAGATGGGGCACATGCTCAGGAAAAAGTTTGCGCTAACAAGTTCGATTCGGTCTGAGCAATCCATTTTTCTAGCTTCGTTTTGGCATAATTACTGCACGTCATATTGCCTAACAAACAGGACCATTGAACAGCTAAGTCCCTCTTAAGTTTGTCAATGTGCTCATCTTCACTCGATTCTTCGAACCCGACCGATTGCACAAAACGTTGCGTAATATTTAACACGTATTCCTAAAATGATAATATTGCTATGATGGTATCGATTTATGATTACATATAAATAATGATCGTTTAATAATTTCAGTCGAATACCTTGAAGAACACATAATGATTCGTATTAGCAAGCTTTTTTCTAAGCCACGATAAGCTTTGAAATCCCGGATACCAGGCGATGTAGTCAGTCTCGTTAGTTAAATGAAAAGTTAAATTGAGCAGTGTTCCAAGTGTTAAGTCGTCTTTTTTTGCAAAGGCTAAAGCATCGTTTATCAACTGTGCTCGGTTTAACACATGAATATCATTACGTTGACCAGAATCCAGATGGTCGATGATTAATTGCCAATTTTTCTCATCATAATTTACACGATAAAAACCTTAAAGATTCAATGCACGTCATTTATCTTCGCTTTAATTTCGTTAACCTCAACAATTATTTTACAATGTTACTTCTTATGAGTACGAACCTGTTTGCTGCTTATTCAAGATGATCCACTCGTCAGGCTCAGCGGATAACGGTAACGTTTTCGAAGGTTCGTTCAGCCAAATTGCAGCAGATGTATTATGGAAGCTTTGATTTTTTGTTGTTGCATAATTGATGGGGATATGCCAATAAGTGATATCCTCATTTTCTACCGTGGCATTGTACGAGAAAAACCTTTTTTGTTCGATTTTCACCTCTTTCGAGTCATTATAATTTCGAGTTACTGTTACAACAGGATAGCCTTTACTATTCACCCACGCATCCATGATAGTTTCAAGTTTGTATCCAAGATTCAATTTAGTTTCTTGCAGTGCTTTATCGAAAGCTCGGAAAAGATCGCTGGAATTGGCGGTTTTGAAACCACTAAAAATTAGATTAGAAAAAACAATACATATATGCCATTGTTATTAATAATTATTTATAGGAGATGAGTAAAATCGTTCGATATTTACTTTTCAGTTAGATATATATGTAAACCTCGTTTAAAAACATGATTTCCTAGAAAATGCTGCATCATGCGTATGATAGCTCCAGCTGAAAAATATATCCGTATAAATATAAAAGGTTTGCTTAATAAATGCATTCAACGGTTAAAAAAAAGTGTAAGTACGCGAATGTATTTGATAAATGAGAGTGATAATTTATTGATTTAGAATGCTTAATTAATAATTGACTTAATTACCTTTTTCATAAGAGATAATGTCAAATATTGCACCAATTTCGTTTGGCTTTTCTACCTCTTGATTGATTGGATGTGTATTGGCGGTGCTATCAAAGTCGAATACAAAAGTCTGCATGGTTTCCACAACTGATAGATAAACTGATTGCCACTTTGGTTCAACCTTGAGAATGCATACAATTTTTATGGAATCGCCAATTGAAGCATATTGTATATAAATAAGTGTACAAAAATAAGTAAGACCTGTTGAGTGATGAGACTTTGAAAGAAGTTAGCGAATCCTTCACTGAGCCACAGAAATTTCCACCATTTAGGAGTCACAAGGTCGCCGAACCACTGGTGGGCAAATTCATGAGCAATCGTTTCCACAATAATTTTTTTTTGACTCGTTGTTGACGTTTCCTCATTATAAAGCAGCAATGTATCCCTGCAAAACGTTAATGAGAAATCGACGCAACTACGCACACACACACACACACACACACACACACACACACACACATTCATCATCATTGATGGACGCAATGAGCAATTACCTGTAGGTCACCAGGCCCCAATTCTCCATGGCTTTGGCGGCCGAGTCTGGTATAGCTATCTGGTCCATTTTCGGTAAACTGAATTTGATACCGGTATAAGTTTGTAATTCTTTCAAAATTTTTTCACCAGATTCCAGAGCTAGTTTTCCATATTGTACAGCGCTTGACTTAGCGTGTACTTTAAAATTATTATTTTTAAGATATTTAAAATCAGACACAACGAATGCTAATAAGTAGGTTGACATTGGCGGAGTCGTGTAAAAAGTTGTCTTGGCTAGCGTATCATTAGAAAAATTTGAAGATGATCTGATCGGCATATTAGAAATGGCGTTGTAATTAACAGGGTGGATAATGGTAAGATTAAAAGTCGCTTTGAAATTAGGTTCGTCGAAGCATGGGAAAGCACGGCGCGCTCCAACTGGCTGAAAATAAGTCGTTGCCAGCCACCTGAAACGTAATAAACACGAGATCATCGTTTAAGTTGAAAATCAAACTATTTTCTAGTACTTACGTTGTATCGCCTTTCTCATTTTTATATGAACTTCGGTAAAAGCCGCGCATTTCATTGCTCAATATACCCCTGAATTTATGTATTTTTAAGATGTAATTGCCTTTTACAAAAGGTAAATAAGAAACTGTGTTAATATTATATATGCGTAGAAAATCTCGTTCCTTATCGAATACGATACTTGTTTGGATAGTTTTTTCATTTCTTTTTAAAACAACGTCATGCGGCTCGAAATGTAATTCCCGGCTATGTAAAATAATTTCTAGCGATTCTTGTTCAATTTCAAGTGTTATTTCTATGTTTCCTTCAAATGTAAAGTTTTTTTCAGAATCTTCGTCAAAATACGTTCTTAAAGTAATTGTGTAATTTTTTGGCACAACATGACTTGGTAGCCTGTAACTGATCTTCCCTTCCTCTTCATTATCTGACTTTGAGTCAACTTTAGGACGTGCTTCTGCACGTATAAGTAGAATAAGGAAAAAGATGCTTATGATTTTACATAACATTGCTGTTAACAATTTCTGTAAATAATCCATTGATTATAAAGGTTTATTGATCTTTGAAAAATACATATTGACTCGAGATATAAATTTCTCAGCTATCGTGCTTAAAAGTTATTAACTTACCTGAGCAGAATGAAAAGGAATACAGAAATTATTGAGAGATATGCTCGCAAAGTACTCAGAGCACTATGACACAGTGAGTGTTTGTAAGCTCAAGACAATAAATTCAGTGGACTCTCCAATATATCCGGAAAGGTGATATTAATGAGGCATGTAATCAGTTTTAATCTTATCTCGACCCACTCAATAACGCAATATAGTTTGATAAAGATGGCGGCAAGTATTGTTTTGCTGTAAAAAGAGTTACGAGTTTTTAGAATGATCACGTAATATTCGTGGGAGAGTATGATGAAATGTATTTATTCAGCCGTGCTCTTAAAAATAAAATTCAAGACACTATGAATCATATGAACTTCGGTAAAAGCCGCGAAAAAATCTAATGCCAATGTTTTACCATCACTTCTGTGTTTCAAAGAAATTCATTCAACAAGTTAAAAATTAACATTTATATGTCGTATCGCGGAATCTTGTGACGCGGCCGTAGGATTGAGGAGCGGATGAGTTAGAGTAAATCGACGAGTTTAAGTGAAAGGTTTTATTTCACAAGACTGAACTGCTAGTCTTCGGTACAAAATCAGAACTGCCCGCTTAAGGGAACGCAGCCCTTATATACCCGTTTGAGGGCGTCTATTAGGAGAAAGTGACGCAGGCACTTTCTACAATTAGAGGTGATGCTTTCATTTTCGAAATAGTACATTACGATACAAGTGCGGGAAAGTAGATTCTGGTCTCGTGTGGCGTTTACACCCGAGCGAAGCGAGGGTGGAAGGGGACACGAGACGAGAAACTCTTTCCCGAACATGTGCCGTACCGTATTTTTTGATACGACGTGTGGAAAGTGCGATTTTCAACGCACGTTTTCTGCCGAGCGTGCGGGAAAGACGCACTTTGCGCACGGAGTGTCGAAAAATGAATTATAGGCCCTTGGAATATAAATCAGGATTAGAAAGTGGAGTTAGGAATAGAAAGTGAGGATTAGGATCAGCAATAAAACTTTATGGATTAGAAAGTAGAAAGTGTATTTAGGATGGGAACCTGGATAGATCCTATTAGTGACGCATCACCATTAGGACTCCTCATCAGCGGGACCTCCGACAATAAAATAACATATTAGTGAGTTTGGTTTCTTGGGTAAGGGTTGCTTGCGTAGCTCCGGGTAGCAAGTCAAACTAACGAAGTGGAGATAGTTCAGCCGAGTGTTACCAATTTATCCCAAAAAGAAAATAATAAGTTGGTTCTTTGGATCAGCACTTGTCTCGCGTCTCTAGCTTTGGGCACACGGTAGTCCAACCCCGCCAAAAATAATATCCGAAATAATAACTGGGATTGCACCCTTGACGCACAACACAATCTACTATTTCTCATTGATTGATTTGAAAATTTCTCTGGAAAAGAAGCTGGAGCAACTATTCGTGGAAATGCCTGCGTTTTTGATAACAGTGAGCCGTTCCAAATTAACGCGTGATACTTACATCTTGTTTGCTAAATAGTCGGTCAAGTGTCTCCGTTTTGTAGTGTGATGATGTCGTTTACAGATACCGCTCATCCTTCTCACGTGCAACAAGTAATTTCGAAAAATAACTCGCACTCGTTTCAAGTGACATTTCAAAGCGTTCATTTTATTTCGAAAATGAAATCAATTCAATTTGAATTTGACTCGATATGAATTTCAAATTATAGTAAATATTGATGGCCTATTTTCTTATCTTCGCATAGTTGATAAAAAATCACGAGATGTTTTACTCGCTGTCATGAGCTTATTAATGGGATAACGTGGGTATGGAATGAACTGAGCAACTTGCCGATCGACCCACGGGAACATTCTCGCACACACATGCAAGTCCACTTTCAGGGCCGGTTCTAAAATGGGGCCGGCAGTGCTATAGTTGTTCGCTTGGGTATATGGGCGATTCCACTTAAATGCGCGCCTTAGGGTGCTCTTACATACGAGCGCACAAACGTTCGAGCGGACAAGCGGACACCCAAAACTCATAAAATTTTGTCCGCCGGTCGAAAATTTTTTGTCCGCTGGCGGACGGAAAACTGTCCGCCAGCGGACACTGGCGGACAAAATTTTGTGCGCTAGCGGACAGAACTTTGTCCGCTGGCGCACGGAAAACTGTCCGCCGGCGGACGAACAAAGGGTTCTCCGTTGAAGGCTCCAGTATATTGGTATCTCAATAATTATCAATTGTTTTTTTTTTCAATAATGCTATTTGAAGCCATTCTCACGGCGTGCGGAAAGTAGCCTTCCACACGCGTTTATCGAGTTCTTTTTAGTACTTTTAGCTCTGCGATTTGATAACTAATGATTTTAGCAGAAAAAGCTTCAGATAAAAGTTGTTCCTTATTATATTATCTACAAAAAAGTCAGTGTAGCCATTATTGTAAATACATTAGTTTACTTGCAAATTTAGAAAAAACATGAAATTTTGTAAACCATTTCAGGTTTTCGTGATTTTTTTGGTCAAATAATAATTTTAGAATAGTGCCTTCACTGACTTTTTTGTAGATAATATAATAAGGAACAACTTTTATCTGAAGCTTTTTCTGCTAAAATCATTAGTTATCAAATCGCAGAGCTAAAAGTACTAAAAAGAACTCGATAAACGCGTGTGGAAGGCTACTTTCCGCACGCCGTGAGAATGGCTTCAAATGGCATTATTGAAAAAAAAAACAATTGATAATTATTGAGATACCAATATACTGGAGCCTTCAACGGAGAACCCTTTGTTCGTCCGCCGGCGGACAGTTTTCCGTCCGCCAGCGGACAAAAAATTTTCGACCGGCGGACAAAATTTTATGAGTTTTGGGTGTCCGCTTGTCCGCTCGCATGTAAGAGCACCCTTAGGAGCGGAAAGCAGACAGAGCGGCAGCGGACAGCCGATTCGAGCGGACAAAAAGAGAAAGTTTTGTCCGCTGCGTCCCTACCCGGCGTCTTGCGTGGTGCATCCCTCTTCCCCCTCCTCTTATTTGTAGCGTCCCTTTCTATTATTCTAAACATGCTATAATTATAATTTTTCGACACTCCGTGCGGAAAGTGCGTTTTTCTCGCACGCTCGGCAAAAAACGTGCGTTGAAAATCGCACTTTCCATACGTCATATAAAAAAATACGGTACGGAACATGTTCGGGAAAGAGTTTCTCGTCTCCTGTACCTTTCCACCCTCGCTTCGCTCGGGCGTAAACGCCACACGAGACAAGAATCTATTTTCCCGCACTTGTATCGTAATGTACTAATTCTCGACAATATTAATTTATATGTCGTATATATATATGTTATATATACACATGTATATACAACATATATATATATATAAGAAAATTATAATTATAGCATGTTTAGAATAATAGAAAGGGACGTTACAAATAAAAGGAGAGGGGGAAGAGGGATGCACCACGCAAGACGCCTGCTAGGGACGCAGCGGACAAAACTTTCTCTTTTTGTCCGCTCAAATCGGATGTCCGTTGCCGCTCTGTCCGCTTTCCGCTCGCATGTAAGAGCACCCTTATTCTGGCGATAATCTGAACAGCATGTTAGGTAACTCCACAATAGCATGTAAAGTATACGTGTAAATGTACGTGACGGTCACGTAACGCCTTTCTTTTAATTTTTCTTCCTTAATTACACCTTGAATGAAAAAAAATCATCAACTTTATACCTACCGCTCCAAAAGATTTGATATATTCAAGGAACATTTCAGAAGAAAAATTGTATAACAGAGGTTACTTGTCCGTTAGCTTCGTTTCCACGTGTGCTTACTGACGCTATTGTCAATACAGAGTATCACTGTCGATCAAGGAATTTCAAAAATTCAAAATGTGATATGCTGCTCTACTTCAAATGTCTCGCCCACGAACGCAAAATTAATATAGTTATTTTTTCCTTTCTTATCACAAGATAATTTATAATTCGATCGATGTGTTTAATTACCTGACTTTTCCTTGCTATTTTCAAACATCCTTGCTATCTTCTAGATTAATATTTTGCCGCGTGTCAAATTCTATAACAAATATATAGGTAGATATTCTAAAAGGACTTTGGACCACGGAATAGTGCAAAAGAGGTATATCATCAAAATAGATTTTTAATACAAAACAATACATTTTAATCATGACTGTTTATTGTAACATTCATGATACTTGAATGAATGGTCGGTCGATGTAAATGGCGGTGATAATCTAGAATGATAAATTTGAGAAAAACAAATGACAATGACAAAATAAAACATACATGCGTGCACTTAAAATTAACATCACATATTAGCAGATTTCTTTTTGACTGTTTCTTTCCAATCATTGATAGTTTCATTATTCTGTTCTAACCATATAATATTTTTTTCAGCAGCCTTTAGTCCGTTAGCTGTGATGTTCGCCGGAATATCAACATCTTTTGTTGCTTTGAGCTGCGAAATGTAGGCATTACATCAGATAATCAGTATATAAATAAAGGTTGAAAAGGTCATTGGAATTTCAATATTTTTTACGTATACTCACTTTGGCTAATTGAGTTTCCGTAGTAATTTTTTCACCTACGTTTTGGAATAAATTACTTAGACGTTTTTCATCTTTGCTAAAATGTAAATATGCAATGTTAGCAGGTAATCGTAAATTTGGCTATTATATTTCTCATGATGATCATAATATTATGTCATACATACTATTTTAGAATCAGATTTTCATATCGACTTATTATAAAATCTAGAACCGTATCGACACCTATATTACTATTATCACAGACTTTTTGTACAATTGAAATAGTATCGTTTAATTTGGTATTGTGGTCGAGAGTATAATTCAAATAATACTGCAGAGCCACGCCGTTGTTTGAACATCCTAAAGCCAACGATAGATAAGATTTTTCATCGTCATCTGACGAATTCACACACTTGTTAAATACTTTATGCCACAAATCAAGGCTAGCAATGCGCAATCCTTCGCACACCGTAACCTGCTTCAAATCTGGTGAAATTCTAAAACATACGTTTAAAAATATTGTAATAATCATAATTAAGATGGGGCACATGCTCAGAAAAAAGTTTGCGCTAACAAGTTCGATTCGGTCTGAGCAATCCATTTTTCTAGCTTCGTTTTGGCATAATTACTGCACGTCATATTGCCTAACAAACAGGACCAGTGAACAGCTAAGACCCTCTTAAGTTTGTCAATGTGCTCATCTTCACTCGATTCTTCGAACCCGACCGATTGCACAAAACGTTGCGTAATATTTAACACGTATTCCTAAAATGATAATATTGCTATGATGGTATCGATCTATGATTACATATAAATAATGATCGTTTAATAATTTCAGTCGAATACCTTGAAGAACACATAATGATTCGTATTAGCAAGCTTTTTTCTAAGCCACGAAAAGCTTTTAAATCCCGGATACCAGGCGATGTAGTCAGTCTCGTTAGTTAAATGAAAAGTTAAATTGAGCAGTGTTCCAAGTGTTAAGTCGTCTTTTTTTACAAAGGCTAAAGCATCGTTTATCAACTGCGCTCGGTTTAACACATGAATATCATTACGTTGATCAGAATCCAGATGGTTGATGATTAATTGCCAATTTTTCTCATCATAATTTACACGATAAAAACCTTAAAGATTCAATGCACGTCATTTATCTTCGCTTTAATTTCATTAACCTCAACAATTATTTTACAATGTTACTTCTGATGAGTACGAACCTGTTTGCTGCTTATTCAAGACGATCCACTCGTCAGGCTCAGCGGATAACGGTAACGTTTTCGAAGATTCGTTCAACCAAATTGCAGCAGATGTATTATGGAAGCTTTGATTTTTTGTTGTTGCATAATTGATGGGGATATGCCAATAAGTGATATCCTCATTTTCTTCCGTGGCATTGTACGAGAAAAACCTTTTTTGTTCGATTTTCACCTCTTTCGAGTCATTGTAATTTCGAGTTACTGTTACAACAGGATAGCCTTTACTATTCACCCACGCATCCATGATAGTTTCAATTTTATATCCAAGATTCAATTCAATTTCTTGCAGTGCTTCATCGAAAGCTCGGAAAAGATCGCTGGAATTGGCGGTTTTGAAACCACTAAAAATTAGATTAGAAAAAACAATACACATATGCCATTGTTATTAATAATTATTTATAGGAAATGAGTAAAATCGTTCGATATTTACTTTTCAGTTAGATATATATGTAAACCTCGTTTAAAAACACGATTTCCTAGAAAATGCTGCATCATGCGTATGATAGCTCCAGCTGAAAAATATATCCGTATAAATATAAAAGGTTTGCTTAATAAATGCATTCAACGGTTAAAAAAAAGTGTAAGTACGCGAATGTATTTGATAAATGAGAGTGATAATTTATTGATTTAGAATGCTTAATTAATAATTGATTTAATTACCTTTTTGATAAGAGATACTGTCAAATATTGCACCAATTTCGCTTGGCTTTTCTACCTCTTGATTGATTGGATGTGTTTTGGCGGTGCTATCAAAGTCGAATGCTAAGGTCTGAATGGATTTCACAACTGATTGATAAGTTGATTGCCACTTTGGTTCAACCTTGAGAATGCATACAATTTTTATGGAATCGCGAATTGAAGCATATTGTATATAAATAAGTGTATACAAAAATAAGTAAGACCTGTTGAGTGATGAGACTTTGAAAGAAGTTAGCGAATCCTTCATTGAGCCACAGAAATTTCCACCATTTAGGACTCACAAGATCGCCGAACCACTGGTGGGCAAATTCATGAGCAATCGTTTCCACAATATTTTGTTTTTGACTCGTTGTTGACGTTTTCTCATTATAAAGCAGCGATTTCTCCCTGCAAAACGTTAATGAGAAATCGACGCAACTACGTACACACACACACACACACACACACATATTCATCATCATTGATGGACGCAATGAGTAATTACCTGTAGGTCACCAGGCCCCAATTCTCCATGGCGCCGGCGGCCAAATCTGGTATAGCTATCTGGTCCATTTTCGGTAAACTGAATTTGATACCGGTATAAGTTTGTAATTCTTTCAAAATTTTTTCACCAGATTCCAGAGCTAGTTTTCCATATTGTACAGCGCTTGACTTAGCGTGTACTTTAAAATTATTATTTTCGAGATATTTAAAATCAGACACAACGAATGCTAATAAGTAGGTTGACATTGGCGGAGTCGTGTAAAAAGTTGTCTTGGCTAGCGTATCATTAAAAAAATTTGAAGATGATCTGATCGGCATATTAGAAATGGCGTTGTAATTAACAGGGTGGATAATGGTGAGATTAAAAGTCGCTTTGAAATTAGGTTCGTCGAAGCATGGGAAAGCACGGCGCGCTCCAACTGGCTCAAAATGAGTCGTTGCCAGCCACCTGAAACGTAATAAACACGAGATCATCGTTTAAGTTGAAAATCAAACTATTTTCTACTACTTACGTTGTATCGCCTTTCTCGTTTTTATATGAACTTCGGTAAAAGCCGCGCATTTCATTGCTCAATATACCCCTGAATTTATTTATTTTTAAGATGTAATTGCCTTTTACAAAAGGTAAATAAGAAACTGCGTTAATATTATATATGCGTACAAAATCTCGTTCCTTATCGAATATGATACTTGTTTGGATAGTTTTTTCATTTCTTTTTAAAACAACGTCTTTCGGCTCGAAATGTAATTCCCGGCCATGTAAAATAATTTCTAGCGATTCTTGTTCAATTTCAAGTGTTATTTCTATGTTTCCTTCAAATGTAAAGTTTTTTTCAGAATCTTCGTCAAAATACGTTCTTAAAGTAATTGTGTAATTTTTTGGCACAACATGACTTGGTAGCCTGTAACTGATCTTCCCTTCCTCTTCATTATCTGACTTTGAGTCAACTTTAGGACGTGCTTCTGCACGTATAAGTAGAATAAGGAAAAAGATGCTTATGATTTTACATAACATTGCTGTTAACAATTTCTGTAAATAATCCATTGATTATAAAGGTTTATTGATCTTTGAAAAATACATATTGACTCGAGATATAAATTTCGCAGCTATCGTGCTTAAAAGTTATGAACTTACCTGAGCAGAATGAAAAGGAATACAGAAATTATTGAGAGATATGCTCGCAAAGTACTCAGAGCACTATGACACAGTGAGTGTTTGTAAGCTCAAGACAATAAATTCAGTGGACTCTCCAATATATCCGGAAAGGTGATATTAATGAGGCATGTAATCAGTTTTAATCTTATCTCGACCCACTCAATAACGCAATATAGTTTGATAAAGATGGCGGCAAGTATTGTTTTGTTGTAAAAAGAGTTACGAGTTTTTAGAATGATCGAATGATCACGTAATATTCGTGGGAGAGTATGATGAAATGTTGTATTTATTCAGCCGTGCTCTTAAAAATAAAATTCAAGACACTGTGAATCATGTGAACTTCGGTAAAAGCCGCGAAAAAATCTAATGCCAATGTTTTACCATCACTTCTGTGCTTCAAAGAAATTCATTCAACAAGTTAAAAATTAACATTTATAAAATTACATATTAGTGAGTTTGGTTTCTTCGGTAAGGGTTGCTTGCGTAGCTCCGGGTAGCAAGTAAAACTAACGAAGTGGAGATAGTTCAGCCGAGTGCTACCAATTTATCCCAAAAAGAAAATAATAAGTTGGTTCTTTGGATCAGCACTTGTCTCGCGTCTCTAGCTTTGCGCACACGGTAATCCAACCCCTCCAAAAATAATATCCGAAATAATAACTGGGATTGCACCCTTGACGCACAACACAATCTACTATTTCTCATTGATTGATTTGAAAATTTCTCTGGAAAAGAAACTGGAGCAATTATACGTGGAAATGCCTGCGTTTTTGATAACAGTGAGCCGTTCCAAATTAACGCGCGATACTTATATCTTGTGTGCTAAATAGTCGGTCAAGTGTCCCCGTTTTGTAGTGTGATGATGTCATTTACAGATATCGCTCATCCTTCTCACGTGCAACAAGTAATTTTGAAAAATAACTCGCACTCGTTTCAAGTGACATTTCAAAGCGTTCATTTTATTTCGAAAATGAAATCAATTCAATTTGAATTTCATTCGATATGAATTTCAAATTTCTAACAGCAAGTTTGACACCAAGCTGCACGATTGCAATTCGGAATTCTTGATTATAGTAAGTATTGATGGCCTATTTTCTTATCTTCGCATAGTTGATAAAAAATCACGCGATGTTTTACTCGCTGTCATGAGCTTATTAATGGCTTTTCCGACGGTTGATTTTTCGTCAATAAAATGAGCATGTTGGTCACGTGCATGCAGAGGTAATCATAAATATCCCTGCTTGCCAAATTTAAAAGGCCGAGATAAACAAGTCACGCGTTCGCAACATTTGATGCGCGCGTGCGTGGGAGCGAAAAACTGTGAATTTCAACGGATATTAGCAAGATATTAGCATTCGGTATTGTATATATTCTTGAAAAGCCATTGGCTATAATCGACGTTTCAGTTCGGATAATCGATCGACGCAAATCCAACAATGCCACTGATCGTTACGATGTTGGCTGCTGAGTTGAATAGACAACGACTATACATTTGGACGGTGTAGATTACCCACACGCGCACACAGTGCAGCCTTTGGAAAGGCGAGGCGATCGAGCGTGGCTACTTTGGGTCGACTGCAAACAGCAAGCGGATGACTTTAGGGCTCGGTTTGGCGAAGATTTGCATGTAATTGAACGCTGCCGAGCGTGGTTTATTCCTCTCAGGTTGCGAGCAACGCACATCGTGCGAGTCCCTTTCAAGTTTGCTAGACTGCAGCTCGCGATGCTACAAACTCCATGCAATGGCGACCGACGAGTCGCGCGATGGTGATGCGATTGACAATCACGAGTCTGTTCAGACGCGTGGACCTAGTCGCGCTCACTGTCTAGCTGGCAAGGCATAGAAAAATAATAATGGACGTGCGAAGGATAATGAGCGTTGCCTATTTGTGAGGCCTAACGAGCAGCAGCAGCAGCAGCAGCAGCAGCAGCAGCAGCAGCGGCGGCGGCGGCGGCGGTGGCGGCAGCAACAGCCGCAGCCGCTCAATTTAACGAGGCTGCTCGGGGCTTTTCCGTTGGGCGACTAATTATTCCGTCAGCGCGCGGACGATGTCGGGCGACGTCGGCGCTGCGGCGATATATCGAGAGGCGCGATCGCTCGCAGCATTGGCGCTTGCAGGGCGGAGACGGGACTGATAAAATTTGCAGCTTCGCGCGAGCTGCTGAAAAATGGTGGAAAGGCGGCGCGCATAGCTGGAGGCAAAGCGAGATATCCTTGAAAATAGATCGCGGCTGCGGTTTTTTGCGGTCGCGCGCGCGCGGAGATAGAGCCGCGCGGGTGCGCAGGGCAGCTTTCGAACAATGCGCCTGCACGTATTCTATATATCGAGAGAGCTCGGCGAATGACGCGTATTAGGGCCTAGGCGCAGCCCATGTATATGCAAATATTTGGCTGAAAGTAGGAAAAGAGGCTGTTTTGTTTTTAATCAAGAAGACTTAAATGTCGGAACGCTTTGCCGCTACACGGTTGTGTTCAATGCCTTTCATTGATCTAGGTTATGCCGGGGATTTTTTTAGGGCATTCGAGCGCGCGCACGCCGGAGAGAAAGCGCGGGGGCACTGCGGCTTTTGTGCAGCTCTTTCATCGTTTCATTTGGCGCGCTCTCTCTCTCTCTCTCTCTCTCCCCGTTTCTCTCGGCCTCTCGAGGGAAAGAGGGAGATAGAAAGTGCGCGCGTGCAGCCGCGGAGGTGAAACTGAATGGAAATGAGCCGGAGCCGAATTAACCGCGTTCGCAGAGGATCTGGCGGATCGCTGGCGCAAACTCGGTTAGCCCGCGCTTGGCAACTGTTGCGTCGAGGACGTCGCGGCCTGTCGGGCGCGGATATCGGCGCCGACGTCAACGCCAGCGCGCTCGTCGCACTCGGGGCTTGTTTAGCTGGCGGCCCTTTGCAAACTACCGTCGCCGAGGAGGAGTCGAGCGCGCGACTCGGTGGCCTCGCGGGGTGGGTCGGGGCGGGGGGGGGGGGGCGCGAGGGGGCCGCTCGTCACGCGGGAAAGTGGCGTAATTGCGTTATGCCGGTGCGCTTCCGCCGCCGAGTGCCGCCTTCCCCTTGTTTCTCGCAGTTCGCGCAGTTCTGCGGCTCGATCCGCGAGACGCGCGCTCGCGCGTATAGCTATAGGGCGGCCTCGAGAGCGGCGTGGCCGCGCGCGGGGCCGGGAATTCAGCAGACTCTTTGAGCGCCCATGGCAGCGGCTCGCTGGCTTTTGTGCCGGCTCATGGTAAATATTAGTAGAGGATGATGAGACCCTCGGAGCGTCGTCTTGTCCGTCTTTGCGCGAGCTCATCTTTGAGCCATCTGCGACTCGGCATTCATCGCCGATGACGGAAATAAACGGGCGCCGGCTTTCAAACCGGCGCTCGCTCGAAAGCCCTCTCCGGCCTCTCGGGCGCGCGTGCAGCAGGCGCCGCGCTGGCGATGCTCGCGCATTGTCGAAATACGCTGGCCAGCCGCAAGAAGAAGCGGCGGCGGCGGCAGCGGCGTCGAGCCGGGCGATTGATTCTCCGCGACCAAGTCGCGCGATTGGCGTGAAATCGGGGATGAAAGGGACAGAAAGGAAGGCTGCGGGATGGGAGAGCGCGTCAGAGAGTGGGCTATATAGAAGCGTGGCGAGCGCCAGCGTGAGGCGGAGAGAGGGAGGGAGCGGCTGCGAGCTTGCGAGCTTGCGCGCTGCGCGGCTGCCGGGGGAGAGGACAAGGGGGCGAAGGGAGGCCGAGCAGCCGGAGGACGGGAGGGTGATCATTCATTTGAACACTGTCGTCGAGAGAGAAAAAGAGAGAGAGTGAGAGCAAGAGAGCGAGCCGTCTTGGAGCGACGAGGGGCAGGCTGGCGCGCGAAGCTCGATCCGAGCCGAGCCGAGCCGAGCCGAGCAGAGCGCAGCAGAGCAGAGCAGAGCGCAGCTGAGCAACAGCTTCGTCCAGCCTTTCTTCGGCAAAATGTTCGTCTGTCCGAGTGGTCCTCTCGGCGCGGTCGTGCTCGGCGCCGCCGCAGCAGCCGCGCAAGCGGGCATCGACATCGAGCGATCGGCCACTCAATCGCGGCCTACACGGGCCTCAGCAACAGGTCAGTGTCACGATTATCGTTCATCGCGTCGGCCCCGCGCGCCGCCAATAACCCAATAGCCCTGCTCGCGGCCGGTACTGCCGATCAACCTCGTCGCCGCGCTCGCGGGTCCGCGGGCGGAGTACCGGGCTTTAAGTCCCTCGGCCGTCCTGATCGCGCCGTCGATCGGCCATTCGCCGTTGATTCGGCGATGAGCCTCGGAACGGTTCGCTTGCATGCCCAAACAAAGCAACGTCATCCGAAAAAACACAGAGCACATTTCCGATACGGCTCTCCGCGAGCGCGGCGCTCGCGAGAGAACAAAAGCCCAAGATGCGTCGTGCGGCTTTTATCGATACATCCAGCTTGTCGCTGTATTGTTGCCTCGCGGACTGCAGCAGCTCGCAGCCAACTGCTTCAAATCATTTGTCGGCACTTTAAAAACGCCCGACCGAGAGCAGAAGCCTACATTTCTGGCACTTTGTTCTCGAATGACTGGCGCGAGCAACAATGCTCCCATGCGGAGCCCAGCCTAGCTCATAATCATGGATCTTTGTCTTTTTCCTGTCGACATATTTCTTCGTCTTTTTTTCAAAGCATCTCGTTCCTCTTTCTTTTTCCTACTTCGCGCTCTCGCTCTCAATCGATTTTCATGTAATTCTCCTGCTCAGATTGCTCCATCAGTCATAAATATAGAGTATATCCTCGCTCAACACTAACAATCATTGCAAATACAATGTTATATTCAATGCCATTGTTTTATAAAACAATAGTTTATTGAGATGTATGTGCTCGCTCTCCCTCCTCCGCCTCTCTTCCTCGTTCTCTCCAAGCTTTTGATAGATTGCGTACAATTAAAGGACTTTTGGTTATTAAGACACTCGATACGCCTGTACAAGCCTATCGTTAAATGAATGTGCCGTGGTGACACATATCAATCACTAGGAGCATTAGGGTCCATTTTGGATCAGTATTCTTTCTCTGGTTGCTTCTGCGGCCACAGACGGCACATTCGAAAGCTATCATATCATTTTCAAATATTTGTCGTGTCGACTAGTCTTACTGATTTTCGATCTTGTTTCGCTCTACTCACAGTCAGTGCATTCGTCGCTCAAGCCAACTTATTGGAAACTTACTCCGTTACGTAAAGCACAACTTTCAAAGCAGCCAAACTAACGACCACTTCTCACGAAACTTTAATTTTACAACCTTCATCGCAATAATTGCAGGCCATGCAAATCTTTCAGTTTTCCAATATTACTACGCCACAGTCGTACTTGGGATCATTCATGCTAGAGTCGATCACGTTATTGTATATTTTTCGTGCATTATTTTTAACTTTGTCTCCATTGTCTTCGTAAGACTCTGTCAAAAATATCAGAACAATAGATATTGCCGAGGAAAGCCGTTTTGAAAGGAATCAAAACTAGCTTGCAAATGTCGGAGTTTGAGGAAAATGGATTCGGCGATGCATTTAAAAAGTACGAGATTGTTAAGTAGACAAAATCTAGATGTTTATCTATTTATTATTCGTTTTTAATCTAAAGAGTTATAATGCTCATCTATAAAACTCTGGTTACTTTATCGAACCTGTGAAATATAGTTTACCGCAGATTGTGGCAATGAGGAAATCGTCTTACCGCTCTCTTCTTTTTCCCTACTTTCTTGGTCTTATTTGAACCGATAAGTCGATTAACTGTTCGAAATTATCAGTATTTTAGTTAAATATTGTAGTTTTCAGTGATAATGTTAAAAATGGAATGGACATAATATATATTCTTTTCTTTATTTTTTTTAATAATGTAGATACATTGTTCTTTTCTCATTGTCATTGAGTTTTTACATGCATATTTTAATGTTTGTGGAGTGCGTGATAACGGTTATGTTTTTACACAACAAATTAAAATGAAATTAACTTCAATACCTTCTGCATCATAGGTAACTTGGATAGACGTTGCAAACAAGTTTTGAACATTAATATTTTGTATATTATTAGTACTTGTATTGCTATACTTTAATGATGATTTATTCAGCGTATAGTAATTATTTTATCACGAATTTTGCTATTTCCCATGCCTCTTTAACTAGTACATGAAAAAATTTGTAATAAACTTGATAGCTTCGATTAAACTAACTAATGAGTATTTTTATATTGAATGGAAACTTTTGTGATTTTTATTAGATTATCTCTTTGACTATCATGTAATTGCAACATTCATTCAATATTTCTTATCTGGTCTATCATTGTACGGTTTTTATAAAGCTGACACTTATTCATCAATATTTTCTTATTTATTCGATAATTTTCACATAAATACAGAATGAACAATATAAGGTATTGTGTCCCATGCATTTGACTAATCTCTAATAAAGGTGATAGAGTTGGGCAAAGATATAAGAAGAAAACTATTTTTAAATACTTTACTTCGAGCTTTTACTTTATTTTCAATCTAGTTTGCGTGGCAATAAAAATATTCAATTAATTTAACTCGGACGAGATAGTTCGCGTAGTTTTCAGTGCAAATTAACTTAGTCGATGTTGTTAGTTTAACAGCCGACAAAAGCCGTCGTTCCTGTTGCTCTTGATAACTCAATAAAAAAGCTTTGTCGTTAATTTTTGAAGCCTCTGCCCCTGAATCATTCTCTCTCTCTCTCTCTTCCACAATCCTTCTTTTTCTTATCCTCTCTCTTCTCATTCAATAAATGTACAACAAAATGAACTCACAGTGTAAATTACTTTTATACCTATGTACTCTTCGCATCTTCATTTTTTCATTTTTTAAATAAAAGAATCGTCGTATTATTTAGACAGACTATAATACTATGTTTGGATTCCAGGGAAAAAAATAAATGACTGCACAGCGGACAAGATGATGTTTTTTCAAATGAAAGATTTCGAGAATTCTATACTCTAGAACGAGCTGTAATCAGATTAGCGAATGGAGTTGGAGAACGCAACCGATACTGGCTTCGATGCCGTCGATGCTAATCGTACTTCTACGCCGATTTTTACTATCGGCAGCAACTATATTGAAAATTGGCAAGTATTACTGTTTCAAAAGTACATACGTCATTCGGTGGACCAACGGTTTACTCTATAATTCAATAGACACTTTAGATCGTGTTGACTACCATATCGTATTTTAATTTAGGCCAGAAGACATATTAATCAGTTGATTCGACACAAGCAATTATGACAGTGAGATCGATTGAGAGTGTTGAACTTGAGGCAAAAAATAACAACAACAAGATCGATTATTTTATTTCAGCTGCAAAAATTCTCATACCGAAGAATAACGTCTATTATTTAAATGAACTGATCTGCTCAAAGTGCACCAATGAGCGTGCATTCAGCATTTGTTCAAGGCGACAATGCATAAAGGTCCGTTATACATGTTAACCAGTTGCCTAATGCCGTGGTTGAATAGAAATCTCGATCACGCAAGCCCCTATTTCTTTACTATTGATTTAGCCAAGTTTGAGACTGCGCCACAGCAACTCCCTGCCACAAAGCCAAAATCGTTTTTTTCAATGTTATTATTTCAGATCGATTTTATTTATTTACACTCCTCCCCCTCTCCCCATTATCTCTGAATTTATCATTTGTTGCAGTTTGAATGATACACGAGCCATAATTATAAATAGATACTAGCAGTAATCTTATTTTTATCTGTTGAAAGGAGATTTCTATACGGGAACAAAGTTTTCAAATTCACAAAAGACATTCGTATTGAGATGAAGGAAAGTTATTTTCAGATGACTGCTACCTTATTAAATTTTTGTTCTCATAAAATTTTATTCAAGCTATATTTCATCTATGCAATTAGACAAATTCTTTTTCTCCTGCGAGCTTTTAAACGCGCAGTTGGACAATGAAAAATTCTTAATATTTAGACAAGAGAAAGCAGGCACGGATTGTTATTATAGTGTTTGCGAGCTGACTAATCTCTTACCGACACCTTAGCTGACCTTTGAGTATACACTCTCAGTGCAGGCTTGATTAAAGATGCACGCTCTTATTCTCTGTAAAAGCCGCGCGAACCATTCCGCTTCAATGCTACTGTCGTTGCTGCATATTTTCCCTATTGATTTTTACTTGCGCTACATACTTTTTTATCCACCAACTGGGGTTAAACCATTTAACGTTTCTGCAGATGCCAAATCATGGAAACGTTACATTCATTTCTTTCGTGCCGTGAAACGTTAATAAACAACTAATACTAATTTCTTGGTGATAAAGTACTCGAGGATTTCGTACATTCGATTCGCACTGCCTTTAAAAATTTACACAAGCACGTATACTTTTGGAAAAAATCGATTTTTATTTACATCAAGATGAAATTGGCTACACTTAATTCCCTGTTAATGCTGATATTTGCCAGGTTGGACGAGCAAGAACAATTCGCCACAGATGTTTTCTTCCTAGGTTTCCCAAACATTGTCCTTCACGTTGATACCTTTTTGCAAAGTTCATCTAGCTGTAGAAGCAGCGACGTTCGCGTAATTGGCAGAAATTGTCGGTGCCGTTGCTGCTGCTGCTGGGCCAAACGTTCCTTGCATCAATGCACTTTATACCTACACACTTATTATCGATCCGTTGCTCGCCCTTGCGGTACAGAGCAAACCCGTACCTTATTACATTAAAGCGCTTTGTGATTGCATTGACGAAACATTTGCGCACGGCAACATTTGTCACTCACAATGGGCTTTTCCAAGTGAGAAAATTGCGACTCTCATGACCAAGTGTGCAAATGGTAAATAAAAGCTGTTATAAATAAATTTTGCAGGAAGAGCGCGATCAAGCGTCTGAATTTGAAATCTGCCGACGCGTTTTGCTGCCTTGTTTTCGATAGTAAAGTTTGTCGAAAATATCGCGGCAACAGCTGATAGCCCGAAAGTACTTATGGCGAGTCAGCGCCGAACCAAAGTAGAATACTCGTTTTTGTTGATCTGTCCGTATCTCGGCCGGCAATTCAGCAGCTTATAGTTTCGGACTCGCAATTTCTCCGCACAGTTGGTCCGCAAGTACCGCCAGACGTTTTTCTTACTAAACGTAGTATGAATGTTTATTTCCGCTGAATCGATGAAGGATTTGAAATGGAGAGGAGAAAAGGAAAGAAAGTTGGCGAGTAGCGTAGAATCTAGATATTTGAGACGTTCGTCCGAGGCGAAAGCTCGAGGCGGCCTGAAATGCACTTGCTTTTAGAACGCAAAAAACCCTCGGCTACGCTTTCGGCAAGATTTTATTTTCGCCAGTACTTTAGTGTGCCTCGTCTACGGAAAGCATGGAAATCGGATTGAGGTGGCGCGCGCGCATATATTTAATAAACCGCTGCGAAAGCAAAGACGTCGAGATTTTTCGGAACGGCGGCGGAATGCGAGAGAAGCAGCAGCAGCATCATGTCGGTATAATAACAAATTTCCGATAAGTAGCGCGCGCGCGCGCGCGCGAGCTTGTGTACGTGGATGGGGATGGATGGGGATGGGGACGGAGAAAACACATGGTACCCGTATGTGGGTCGCCGCGACACATAGCAGCGGTGCAGCTGGGGAGGCAGCGCTAGGCTAACGCAAAGGCAAAATGGGTTAGGTCACCTATATAGCCGGAGCGTGAGCGAGAGAAAGATATTCGTGCATAATACCTAGCTACTGCAAAGCGTGTACGCGCGGCACGAGACAAACAACGTCGGCTCCTATACGCGCGGCGAACGAGCCAATACGTAGCCCCGCGCCATTCAACGCTAAACTCTCCGCTCATCGACCGTTTCGAGGCTCGATGCGCACATTTGTTCTCGAGCGTTTCTGCATCGCAATCGGTCCTTCGACCGTTGCGAGCCCCACCGCGACAACAGCCTCGTCCCAAACACGGCGTTCGTGACAGCAGCTTGCGACTCGAGCGATCACTGCCAGCTGGAAGAACAACGGTTGCCTGGAGCCTCTTCTCGCTCACATAAAAGTTCCAGGGTGGACGAGTTAGCAGCGCAGATCAGCGGGAAGGAATAGCCCCGACGGCCGTTGACGCTCGGAATGCGCGGGCAGCGCTGCGACGAGGTGTCGGGGGAGCGCGTCTCCCTCTCGCGGTTTCATCCGGCGGGCTGAAAAATTGAAGGAGTCGGTCGTCGCGGCGGCTGGCGCAGCGCGCACATGTGGAACTGGGCGAGGGTGCGCGCGCGCGCGTGCGCGGAAACGAATTGAAGAGAGAAAGGGATCCGCGGAGAGCGAGAGCGACACACCGCTATTCATGCTTATTTTAAGCTCATTGTGTGCAAACCGCATTCAGCCTTTGACTGAAAGTCGTCGACGTCACGATGCTAGCCGTAATCTCGCTGTCGCTCTCACTCTTTTCCAGAGCGCTCTCATTCGATATATCATTACACGCGATGCTCTTGCCGCGCTCCTCGCCTATTCACGACTCGTCGCGCTGTGTGCGCGAAGCATAAAAATATCAATGGAAAGACTGCGAATAAAGTAAGCCGGCGGGCTGGGGGTGCGCGTCTTGCGTAACGAAGGCCACTTTGCGTTCGCAGGAAACTGCGCAAGCAGCAAGAGCAGCTCTGCCGCTACATCTACAACGACGTGTTGACCGCCGAGTGCACCCAGTTCAACGGCAGCTGGGCCGAGCAGGACAAGCAGCTCAAGTGGTTCGCCGGCGACTATGACGCGGAGCTGCTTCCCAATTTTCTGGACAACTTCAACGCCAGCAACTTCTCGGACCTCGCGGGTAATGCCAGTCTCGAGTCTAGAGCCCTTCCGCGGTCGTCCGGCGCGTCGCCAGGGAGCGCGATTAACCGAGCGAACGAGCAAACAGGCGAGGAGCTGGAGCCCGTGCTGCCGCCGTTCGAGCTCTGGCAGAGCGTGCTCATAGCCTTGGCTCTGGCGCTGTGCATCGTGCTCACGGTGGGCGGCAACATACTGGTGCTGCTGGCCTTCATCGTCGACCGGAGCATCAGGCAGCCGAGCAACTACTTCATCGCGTCGCTCGCTGCGACGGACATGCTGATCGGTAGGTGGCTGCCGCGGATAAGCGCGCGCCCAGCGCTCGACGTCCGGCTGACCGACTGACCGACCGACCGCAGGCACGGTGTCGATGCCGTTCTACACGGTGTACGTGCTGATGGGCACCTGGGAGCTGGGCCCGCTGCCCTGCGACCTCTGGCTGTCGGTCGACTACACGGTCTGCCTGGTCTCGCAGTACACGGTGCTGCTCATCACCATCGACCGCTTCTGCTCGGTCAAGATAGCGGCCCGCTACCGCAGCTGGCGCACCAAGAATCGGGTCATCTGGATGGTCAGCATCACCTGGATCATACCCACCCTCCTCTTCTTCATCAGCATCTTCGGCTGGGAGCACTTCATCGGCTATCGCGACCTGCTGCCCGGGGAGTGCGCCGTCCAGTTTCTCAAGGTCGGTGCGATCGCAACCCTCCGATGCCCGCTCTCACGCTGTCGCCGCGGCTCGCTCGCAGGATCCGGTCTTCAACACGGCCCTCATCATCGGCTACTACTGGACCACCCTCATCGTGCTGTTCATTCTGTACGGCGGCATCTACAAGACCGCCTACGACATGCAGAAGAAGAGCGAAGCGAAGCAGCGCAAGATGCAGTCGATGGTGGCACTTTCCGCCGGTGCCATGTCCGGCATGGCGGGCCGCGCCGCGGGCATCGGCATCTCCAAGACCCAGAGCACCTTGCTCAGCCAGGACAAGCCCAGAGCCGGCCAGCAGCAGCAGCAGCAGTACCAGCAGCAGCAGTCGCAGCAGCAACAGCCACAGCACCAGCCGCTGACAGTCAGCACCACTGCCACCTCCGACAGCGTCAGCAGCCAGGTCGTCAGCAAGGAGTTGGCGGGCGAGCCGCGTGACGCCGGTGCGCGCAAGGTGCTGTCCCGGCGGTTTTCAGCCCGCACGCACGTATTCCGCGGCACTGTCCGATAGCCCCGACGGGCGGCTCAAGGGCGATTTGCATTTGGCAGCAGCTGGAGGCGTCGCAGCCGGAGGCCGAGCGCTCGGAGCGCTCGAGCAGTCCGGCCTTCGACTCGGACGACGAGAGCGCGCCCGCGGCCCAGCAGCAGCAGCAGCCAGGCCTGCAGCCGAGCCGCAGCCAGCAGCAGCTGAGCAGCCTTCGCAAGCGCTCGTCCCTGGCCGGTCTGGTGGCGCAGTCGGGCGCCTTCCAGCTGCTGCAGGCGGCCAACGGGCGCTGCTGCCCCTTCAACGGCATCCTGCCCATCAACGTGGAGCTGGGCATGGCCGCCGCCGCCGCCGCCGCCGCGGGCAAGCGGCTGCCCTCGCCGGGCAGCCCGCCGGCCGAGCCGCTACCGCGGATCCAGGAGGACGGGCCGAGCCTGGGGCCGCGCGCCGAGACGGTGGGCAGCGCCAGCAGCCGCACGCTCACGCCGGAGCCACGGCCGGCCGGCCAGGGCGGCAGGGGCTCGACGGCCTCTGGCTCGCTGATCATCCCGCCACCGAGCGAGTTCCGCGGTGGCAGCAGCGCCAGCGCGCCGCCCTCGGAGGCCGACTCGTCCTCGTCGCCGCTGCCCTCGCGGCCGCGGGGCTACGACGCGATGAGCGGCCTCGACGGCGCCGACCTGCGCTTCATGGACGAGAGCTCGGTGGTGGTGGCCAGCCCCTCGTACGAGAGCCCGCCCTCCTCGTTCTCCTGCAGCCTGGTGCAGGGTCTGTCGAGCGCGCCCTCCTCGCCGCTGCTCGGCGCCGCGGCCGCGCCATCCGGCGGCGCTAGCCTGCTGCAGGCGGCGCTCATCCGGGCGACCGCCCAGCAGGCCGACCGGCAGCAGCCCCAGCTGCCGGCCGCCACGGCCAACGCCTCCAGCCAGACCCTACCCCCGCGGGTCTTCATCACGCACCAGTCGAACGCCGCCTCGCAGACCTCGCCCGTGATCGTCAGCAAGCTCGGGCCGCCGCAGCGCGCGCCGCCGCTGCCGAGCCCGGGCCCCGACGCCGTGCCCGCGCCCGCCGCCCCCCAGACACAGGTCGGTTCACCGCGGCGTTCGCGCCCCTTCGCGCGCTCCACGTGCGTCACCGCTCTGTCGTTGCAGCAACAGCACTTGGCCCAGGCCCAGACCCAGGCCCAAGTTCTGGCCCCGGCCCAGATCCAGGCTCAGGCGCAGGCCCAGGCTCAGACCCCGGTCCAGGACGCCAAGTTGCCGAGTGCCGCCAGTGACAAGGCCGTCGCGGGTGGCTCAAGGAAGGACTTTGTCAAGGTTATCGGCAAGCGGCTCAAGGTCAAGACACAGAAGAAGGATCCTACCGCGACTCGGCAGAAGTCGCGCACGGAGAACCGAGCTCGCAAGGCCTTTCGCACCATTTCCTTCATTTTAGGCGCCTTCGTCACCTGCTGGACGCCCTACCACGTTCTCGCCCTCGTCGAGGGCTTCTGCTCCGATCCGCCTTGCACCAACAAACATCTCTACATGTTCTCCTACTTTCTTTGCTATGCCAATAGTCCTATGAATCCTTTCTGCTACGCCCTCGCCAACCAACAGTTCAAGAAAACCTTCATCAGGATACTCAAGGGTGACTTCCACATGACGTAATTGCCGCTCATCCACGTGTCGATCGCACCATCAATTATTTATTTTTCCGGCCTTCCACTTACTCATGGAACGAAATCTTGGACTATATTCGATCGTTTCAACACAAAACTCAATGACAATATTTTATATATATATATATATATATATATATATATATATATATATATATATAACTCAACAGCATATTGAATATGCTTTTTCATCCAAAACCAAACAAACTGCAATACAAGTATTAATGTATTCGTAGCATCCATTAATCTTTATAAGTAGCTACTACTCGCATAACTTATAATTTTTTTTGTATGGAACTGCCCGCGGGAAAAAGGGACCTAATACTATATCGTGTTAAATTGACGTAGCGGTAGAATACATTATTTGTAGATATAGTGAGTGATCGTATGCTGAAAAAGAATTTTATCCATCGGCAACTTTTTTATAGCGAACTTTTTTATTTCTGAATTCCATATTTTCTTTTTCAAATAACTAAAACTTTATATACTATGATATAAATCATTTTAGTTTGAAATGATGGTCATTTGATTGATACAGGATTTTGCATAGAGGAGTGAATCAAAAGCATTGCCTCATACAAAAGAATTTCGCAATAGCTCGATAAGCATTCGGAACACTGTTTCATCGAATTTTCTTTTTCTATAAGAAATACGTGATTTTCGCGTCACTGTGCCCTAAATAGAGGACCTAAACTGACCTTATACAAATACGCATTTAAATATTCTAATAAGAGCACGGCTAATGTGTCAATTCAGTCGTACATTTTGAAAACGACGAAACATCAAAACTATTTCGACGCGCATCACCAAAAATTTAGTGTGCAACAGGAACGTAAAAGCAGTCTTTAGACTCGTATACTCGCCATCTTTGTTTAAGAGTACCCCCTGTCGTACACAAACTACTAATAACTTCATCCGAATTAATTTAATAATTCATTTCAAAAGCTAATTTTTGTATATAACACCTTATTATTTCCATTTTATCGTTTCGCAGATTATTATTCTATTATTGAGATTTGCCTAAAGAGAAGAAGTCAAACAAACATAACTTTGTTATGCGCTTTTCTTATGAATACGATACTTACATATCAATGTGTTTGTTATCAATCGTTGTCAAGGTATATTTTCACAACTTAAGAAAGACTATCGCAGATTGATAGTTTATCATGTCCATAAATGGATAATGGTGGTTTTTTACGACTTCAAAAATCAATAAGATTATTGTCGGGCGCATTGCAAGAATATTTGTATGTAAATTACTTATGTATTTTATCATTGTTAAAATGGTATGGTGTAGGGACATAAAGGTAATATTAAATTATTGTTTTAAAGAATACTGGCCATTGACACAGTTGAAACGGCGATTATGTGAAACGTACTAATTACGCCACGTGAATTAATGTTAAGTATAGAGACTTTAAAAAATACTAAAAGATAAACGACTTTGTAAGAAAAAGTTATTATTCTAAATCCAGAAAGACCATTCCATGCTGATTGTCAATTGATCTCACAATCCAAATTTAAAAAATACACTATGTATACAATTTGTTGAAAAGTTATAATAAATAATCTTTTGTAAATGTAAATAATAACAAATTGGTTGAATGTATTAGGGGAAAGATATATATTATGACAATATTATGACATATTCTCTCGGTATAAACTTATGCAAATAAAGAATTAATGTACATAAGATTCGTAAGTGTCTACAATTATTATTTACCGATTATTTTGAAAAAATTGTATGCCAAACATTACTTTGTCACCTACATTTTATTTTTGTTGTATTTTTATTAGCTCGCATGCATGATTAAGAATTCACTAGGCTTGAACCCTAAATAATATGAAGTTTTCTTTTATCCCGGCAGTTCCAAAAGATATCCTAAAAAATATCCCAATTCAGATATCATCGGGGAATAATATTCGCAGTACTCAGTGTTGTTACGTTCTCCACAATATGCTTCGTAGTCAGAATGCAGTTAGAAATCCTTCAAGCATATTGATATTCTTCAAACCAATCAACCTCGTGTACGATAATAATTGTGACAGGAAAAATGCTCGTTCTGATTCAATGCTGGCGAATCACTTTCTTCACTTTCACTGATAAACTCAATTTAATTTTTTTTAAAGTAAATTCATTAATTTTTCAACGTCAAAAATTGTTAAATAAATGGCAGATTTGTTCAATGTTATAGAAAAATTGACTTTAATAAAAAACTTTGAGTCTTCAATAAATAACGAATGGGTACATGAAGTATTTATATTGCTAAAGAGAATGATATGTTCTAAAATAATGCGATATGTTATGAAAATGATATTTTTGTTATTTTTAAAGTATTGTGACTAATGTTACCGTTCGACATATATATGTATGCGTGTGGGCGTGTGAGTTTTGTAATAACAATTAATATGTAATTCATTCAAAAGTTACCGCTGAGCTCCTTTTGCAAATCACTAGCGCCATTACATTGATTATATAGGCACACCCGTACCTGACTCATCCACAGAATACAGTACAGATCCACTCATCCTCATGCTACTATCGCGGAACCACGGACCCACTTGACTGCCACCAGACTAACCTCATCCGCCCTTAACTTCATAAATATACTACTCAGTTCGCGTATAATAATTGTAGATGTGATTCAGTGATTGTTGCGTGGGTTCAGAATTGTTGCGATTGCAAATTTGGTAGTAAACCTATTTACCAGATTTGCAGCGGAATGAACACTAATTTAATTTCAATATTGTGCTTAACTTTTTATATTCTACAATGCTAAGAAGTAAACATCTTGTTTTTCCAAATTAAAGCCAAGAGATGTGTTATGACAAGTTTTATATTCCTCGGCTATACTTCACTGAAAAAGTACTAAACAATTCAAGACTTTTGATTATACAAAAGAAGTTAACTAGCGCAGATAAGAAGTTAGATATATAACCTCAAATATTTGTTTTCCGAACTGAAATAGTTGCTTTTTTTCAAATGAACACGTAAAAATAATGGATTTGAATACTAATCTTCTTTATCAAGTGAACTTAATAATTTTCTTATTATTTACGTACAGCCATACCGGCACAAGTACTCCAGTTAGTGATTCTAAAATAAATAATGCACTTGATGCAATTGCTATTTGTGATTCTGTAAAATTTTTGCGTGATTCGTCATACGTCAGACAGTGCAATACATTATCATATCCAATTGAATTTCATGATAAACAAGCTGATAATGACATACGTTTTATGTGTATGACTTTGAATCACATAACAAAGAAAATATGCGAGTATCATGATATTGATATGAGTCAGATGAAAATACCTGAATCTGCTAAAACATTTGATGAAGAATTGAAAAAATTGGAACCAAAACATAATGAGATAATAAATGTTGTAGATGGCTGGTGTAAAAATATGACTACTTGGCTCAATGTTACCATACAAAATGATAATAATGTATTTTATATAAATTATGCTAATGAAACACTCTTGGACAAAATTGAATGTGTTGAAACTTGTCACGTACGTCATGGAGTGAATAATTTTTGTGTAGTATTTTTTTGGTTTAATAAATTACATAATAGACTTCAACTTTCAAAAAAAAACAATATTTTAAAAGAAACACCTGTTTCTAAACAAGAAACTCTTCCTAAAATTGACACTGATGATAATATAGAAAAGCCACTTTCTATTAATCCAGACAATAAAGATGAACATACAAGTGTTGTAAATACAAAAGTTGATAATGAACACTCTAAATTTCCCAATGAAATACAAAGTAATTTAAAATCTGAGTCAATAGGAAGTGCCAATGAACAAGAAGTAAAAAAGTAAGTTCAGAAATTTTACTTTGAAAAATTTAGTTACTTAGAAGTTGTATACATAGAATTTCTTCTAGGAATTTGGACCAGCCTGACCAGGAAATAATGCCTGATAGAGAACAACAAAAGCAAGATTCCAAATTGTCATCATTAGTAGATGATAAATTGAACATAATAGAGAATAGAGCTGAAAATATTAAAACCGAATTTCAAGAAGGAAACAGTTTTTTGGATGAAGAAGGAAAGAAAGGATTTGAAGAAGGTATAGAAGGTGAAAATGACCATAGCATTATGGAAACGAATAAGAAAGATTCTTATAATGATTCAGGTTAGTTTTGTTGAAAGTACAACTGACGTTTCCAAGAGTGATTCCATATTAATATAATAATATTGATTTCAATTGGGATATTATGATTAATCATCCATAATGTAATAGATAACAGTAGTTATAATATTAATTAAATTTATATTATTAAAAAATGTTTTATGTAATATTGTAATAATTATAATATCAAAAATATATATTTTAAGGTGACCAACATGGCTTTCTTGAATCACCCGTCATAAAAGAAGAAGATGAATCACATTTTTTTATATATTTTTCAATTCTTTCTCTTGTCTGTCTTATACTTTATATTGGATATCATAATAAACAAAAAGTAAGTAAATATTAAAAATAGAATCATTAAAAAAGATAAATAAAACTTTTAATAACTATGCTTATATATTTTCAGATATTAGCAATAGTTTTAGAAGGCAGACAGTCAAAAAGGAATCGTGGCAGCAGAAGAAGACCAAATACAGCTAATTATCGTAAACTTGATTCTAATTTAGAAGAGGCTGTGACATCTCAATGTAGTACTAATGTTACTCACGTAATTTATTGAAAACAATATTTTGTGAATTGACCATTCGGCTGTTGAGAATCTAATCAAATCTACTTTTTATTTGGTAATAAAAAGCAAAGATTTTTCAAAGCATTAAGCATAATAGCAGCACAAGTACTGAGAATTTATATAAAAAAAAGCAAGAGTAAATATAGGCTTAAAAGTTGAGATTTTTTATGCAAGATTAATAATAAAATATATATCTTGTTGAAAAGTTCTTTTACTTACTCAGTTGAATATAGCACTTTTATAAATATATATTTTGTTCAATTTTCGATTTAATGTGTATGGTGCACTATAGGCAAAAGATAAAATATCTGAAATTCTGAGGAGCAATAATATATCGTTATTATTGATTAAAAAAAATTGGATTTTTATAGAATGCGATTATTACAACGGCTTCATATTCACGGACATGACGTTAATCAAATAAAAAAATATTCCGTTATTTATTTGTCTTATTCTCATATGGCATTTCTTGCATTCTATTTTACAAAATAATAATGTAGCTACCATCGGTAAGTCATCACTATCACGGTTCTTTTTATACGTATTCAATAGCTTTAAAAAGTAATAAGAGTTTTATGACGTGCTTAATTGTATTTTTTTTTGGAACAACTTTTACATATTAATTGTGAATAATGTACGAAAGCCAAAATGTAATGACAAAGTGATGATTTTTCAGTTAGAGTGTAATAACATACGTTATGCAACTATAGTTGATTTCTTTTAAAGTGACTTGCTCCTGCAAAACAACGTCAACAATATGTAGTTCACCATCAATTATATAGTTCGTACTCCTTTCTTATCGAATGTACATAATATTCTCATAAATAACTGCGTGTAAATATAAATACTAATATATGAGTTTATGTAAATGTGTGTGGAAAAGTGATTTCGTAAATTTCTGTATCGGCAGTTGCATAATACATGCTATACATTTTTATTTTTCGATGGTTATTCACTTTATCGTTAGTATTTTTATATAAATCGTTAATATTAAATATTTCATGTAATTTAAAATAGATTGTGATACAGCGGTATGATTAACAAAATGTAAAATAAAAAATTAGGCACGTAAAATAATGAAAAAATAGTCGTCTAATTAATTACAAACGCGTTTGCAATTTTTTTTTGCAACAAGCACTTATATCATGCTTACATCCCTTATCGCATAAGTGAAGATGTGACGTGTGCGAATAAAGTTTTGCATTTTAATACTTTTTATTGACCGTAAATCACGTAGTAACAATATTTCAGTTCGTTCTCAATATGGCCCTCAATTCCATAAAATAACATCCAAAAATATATAAATAACCAGTAAATTTTCTTAAAGCTCATTGAGCTGACATTACGCGAGGTATTCACAAAAAATATTGGAATTATAACAACCTCGAAAAAGGAAAGTTGAAAAAAATGTTAAAACTATGGACTAATCTTGAAAAATTAAGGTAAGGAATTAATAAAGCTGGAGAAATCTGGCTACAAAATGGTGGTTATAGTTTCATGTTCATTTCTATTGATAATTTATTATTTCGCTGTTGAAATGTAGCTGTATTTCGCATAAAAAATAATGGAATGTTTGCTTATCAAGCTTATGCGCAGAAATATAAAGTCATAACAAATAGTTATTATCCTTTCTTTCAAGTTATTTAGTGGTGATAGTACATGTTCAACAAAAATATATGATTTGAATATTCGTGTGCAGTTGTCGAAATGAAGATTAGACTAGGCGTGCTTTAGAATTAATATGCATACATTGACGATTTAATTTCTGGTAGTTCAAAAGGTCTGAAACAATAGCACGCGTCTTTGGTATTTTGGAAAATCCAGTCCAAATAAGGCCCGATTCTCGTAAAGATTGCAGTCCCAACAGTGTCATTGCAATTGTTTTTGTCCGATACGATCCCTGTTGACATTAAAATTGGTAATAATTGACTTGCAACGGGAAGATTAATAAGAAGGCAAATGGTCACCCAACGCGGGTTATGGCACAGTAACAATAATGAGCGTGTGAATAGCAATGAGGAGGCGTTGAGGGTGGCAAGCGCTCCCTCCAACAGGTTGCATAGAAGAGGTCAACTCACCTACGAGATCGTAAAAGCCACTGTATGACCTGTACAATACCGAGGACCCGATGTCGTTCTAGGCAAATGGAAAAAAAATAGCCATTGAATACGCGAATCTCAACTGAAACTTAGCTACGTGGAGAGGAGAGATAAAGCGGTGATTGTGAATTATCGATATAAAGTGCTGAAATCACTTGGCAAACGATAGAGGTTGGTCCAACGACGCCAATGCAGCCGCTCTCTTCGTGATAGTCGGCCGGTTTAACGCCGCCTGCGATGCACTCTCGCCGTCCTAGAATGGGCAGGCCCAGTTTGCGCGGCAGGCAGCCTCTTCCCGCGACGCCGTCGTCGCTGGCCACCGACGCCCGCTCGATCTCTGTCCATCCCGCGAGTGTCCCTACTCGACCCAGGTACGAGGAGGTGCCTAGCGAGAATTCCCATCGTCGTAACGGGAGCAAAGCAAACGAGCAGATCGCAAGACGAAACGGGACGATGCAGGCTCGCGGCTGCCCGTCGAGTCCCCGGAGGGGATCGGACTGGCGGGACGGCAGGCAGGCGCGAGCGAGCAGCGGGCGCGAGGCGGGGCGCTGGACTGACCGGCGTCGGGCAGGCAAACCGGCAGCAGCCGGCTCTCGAACGGAGTGGAGCGGCTGAGGCGGACGAGCGCGAGGTCGTGGGCGCGGGACTGCTGGCTGAAGCCGGGGTGCGCGACGACGGCCTCGACGCTGACGTTGGCCGAGGAGACCTGCGGGCTGCAGCGGTCGTGCTCGCCCACGGACACCTTCACGTCCGCCGGGGTGGCCCTGCAAGCAAGCAAGGCTCGCGCGCTGCGCTCGGGGCGCGGCTCGGTCGGCCGCCCGGCGTACTCACCGCGCCAGCGGGCTGGCCGCGCTCAGCACGTAGCGGTCGTTGATCAGGGCGCCGCCCACCGGCTGGCCGCCCCGCACGTGCACGCTGGCGAGCCAGGGGAACTCGTGGCTGAGCGCGCGCTCGCCGCCGAGGAACCTGGCGCCCGAGCGGTTCGACCTGCCGCAGGCTGCACGCGCGCGGCCACGGTTACACTCCGCTGGCCGACGGTCGTGCTCGACCGGCCACCCCGGCGCGGCGACACTTACTGCAGTAGAAGCACGCCCGGAACTTGCCGGTCAGCAGGTCGAGGAGCCGCCGCGGTCGCCTCCCGGCCTGGTCCGCCTGCGCGTTCGGGACGCTGCGCTGGGCGGCGAGCAGCAGCGGCAGCAGCAGCGCCAGCAGCAGGAGCAGCAGCTGCAAGCCGCGGCAGAGGCCCGTTCTGGGCATGGCCAACTGAGGACGAGCGGGCTGGCGCTCGTCGCCGGAGTGCGCTGGCCTCTGCGCGCCGCGCGGCGTTATAAGCCGGCGCGCGCCGCCCGTATAGTTTTATCCCGAGCGCCGGCGCAATTGGGTTCAAATGATTCGGAACAAGTGCCTCGCTTGGGGGGCCAGCCGTGGGCCTGGCATATTGTATTGAGAACTCTGCCGCGCGTACAGGCGCGCGACACTACACATATGGGCCGCGGGCGAGCGGTGCAGCGATGCTCAGTCGCGTTGGCAGAAGCAGCCGTCTTTGCTGTTGTCCGCGATCCAGTCCAAGTAGCGCGTAACACGGCTGTAGACGCCCGGGTAACCTGCTCTCGCGCATCCGTTGCCCCAAGACACCACTCCGATCAGCTCGTACTTCCCGTCAGCTCGCTCGACAACCAATGGCCCGCCGCTGTCGCCCTGCGATCAACAGACACGCGGTTGCATTTTTTCAGAGCCTCGCGCATTCCTCCGGGAGCTCGGCCTACCTGGCAGGAGTCTTTTTTCCCTTCCGAGTACCCGGCGCACATCATGTTGTCGGTGATCGCGCGCGGCTTGTAGTCCGTGTTTATTCGGCAGTCGGTCTGGCTCATCACGGGCAAGTCAACCGATTGCAATAAACAAGATGCCTTGCCATTTTCTTTCAGCGTTCCCCAGCCAGACGCCACTGCGCTCTTCCCCGCGTAAAGATTATCTGCAACATTACCCAATTTATTGCGGCTCAATGAAAAGAAAAAAAAAAGAAGCTCGAATCGTGTAGAAAGTTGAGCGACTGCCCGCATATTTCATACCGATATGATTTATTTGCAAAACGACGTAGCTGTGACGAAAAATTTCAATCGAAAACTTTCCATGCATTGCATCAGTTCTCCTTTTTATTTTACTTCACGGGGATATTAATTGCACGACGGATGATTTCGTATCTCGCGTCTCGTCATTTGACATTTTATCAGGGATATCGATTTTACACACCTTTGCCTGGTGCTTTGAGCGTCACGCGTGAATATTTGCGCGACGTTTCATCGTTAGGCAAATCAAGTGCAATAATGTGTTCTAGGCTTCATTTGTTGCATAGTTTGCCAAATTTGTGGATCGGCAAATCTCAATCTACAGGTTTTATTTATCCGTGGAATCTATTATTCGATAATCGTACGCCCGATCGGCAGTTCTTTCACGATTCGTGGTCGTGGAAAAGTCAGCTCACCCCTTTCTCCATCGCAACGACGTACGTTTGGTAAGTGACGCGCAAAGTGATAAAATTAACGTACCTTGAATTTTCGGGAGGCAAATCGGCCTTATGGTTTCGGACAATGGGACTCTCTCGTTGAGTCTGAGCAGAGCGATGTCGTGATCGAAATTCAAGAAGCTGAAGTTACCCAGGATCGCTCTCACGACGAACCTCGTCTCGGGCTTGGCGTCTCGCATGCACTGATCATGCTCTCCGAAGGTAGCCTTTATCAAGAACCATATAAACCTGAAAAGTAAGCTGAGCTGACTGTCGCTCGCAGGTTCGATCGCTCGAGGTCGGCGCGCGATGACGATGGACACCTACCCTTTCGCGCAATGCGCAGCTGTGAGCACGTAACGATCGTTGACCAGGGTGCCACCGCAATAAAATTTGTTCAGATAAGACAGTCGCACTTGCCAGGGGAACTCGTTCATGAGCGTCGTTTGTCCCCCCACGATTCGACTACCCTCGTTCCGCAAACCACACGCTGAAATCAATATGTCTTATGGTTATTTATGTGACTCAGGCGAACCAAACGACATTGCGCTACGGGCAGGTTATTCGTAGCGCGATATGGTACGAGGCCAAAGCAGCGAGCTTGATGTTATGCTCATATTTATGCTTATGGCTTTCTCTGGAGTATCGAGAGAAATGACCGGGCTTCGGTCTTATTCTGTCCTACGCTACGAACATCCTTGTCATATCGCGCTGGCGCTTGGCTCCCCAAGGCACGTAAATGACTAATAACACCACTGGCTTACTATTATAATACCGGAGTCCCTCTACATGCGTGTACAGCACGTCCGAATATATATATACGGTTTCTTCTTGACATGACCTCGAGTATGTATGATAGCGTGGTGAAAAAAATATCAGTTAAAAGATTGGTTTCCTCAGTCTGCTCTTATAATCAAGCTAATTTTTTAAAAATTTATAATATTTAGTTGTCATTTATTTAACAACTGTTTGGCCATTCTCCAAGCAAATCTTTCGTTATCCCTAGTATCAGAATTTATTATAAGATCGCTTTTAATCAAATTCGTTCTTGCGCGTAATTGCAATTCATTATATCACCGTAAATCGAGCAAAGCACAATAGTGCGACGACGACGTATGCAGAATAGTTATGGACACTTATCAGTCGAAGCCAAATCAATGCATGCAATTGCCTAAAATTACCAAAAATTAAGCTATCGAATCGTGAGTTTTTTTTTTACCACGCGATGGTACTTAATCGATTAATTGAGATGAAATCGAGAAAATGATCAACATCTTTTTAAAACGAAGATACGCTCATACTTACAGCAGTCGCAGAAGTTTGACTCTTTTGCAATTGGTTTCTTCTTGAATAAATTAGAAAAAGTTCGTGTGTCATCGACCGCGTTACTCGTCTGAATTTCAAATAAAACCATTGCTCAGAATACCAACCATACATCAAGATAAATATACCGCAAGTATTTTACTTACTTCTAGTTGATTGTAACTGTGAACTCGCAACACAAGGAATGAAAAAATAATGGCCACGTGTAATAGCAGTAATAAAGTCGTTGAATGTCTCATGATTAATTGATGACTCTTGTAGTGTGAGGGGCCGATAGGTAATTTTAGATAATTCGTTAGTCAGCGATTCAACTCAAAGCACCTTGAACGATAACGTCAAATTTCATTTGAAGAGAAACATCATCCGCGGCTTCATGAGAGCACGATCATGAAGAAAGGACTGGCAGATACAAAGAGACTTTAGAGAGCTCGCTGCAATTGCACAATGCTATAAGAGGAAATCGCCTGCTTGTCCTTTTCCTTCTTACCGAACCTGACTCACAAACTCGTTATGTGCATCTTAAGAATGGTGGGAAAGAGTGAATTGTAGCAGACAATTTTTTCACACTTTTCTTCAAGTTCAAACTTACGCTCACAGTTACGTACAGACTTACGATTCTACTAGCGGCGCTAATAAGTAGCTAAAACAGTTGCCACCAGTAGCCAGAAGTCATCACTACACTACTTGTCATTAACCGTTATAGAGAGAGAGAGAGAGAGAGAGAGAGAGAGAGAGAGAGAGAGCGAGAGAGCGAGTGAAGTGGAGAGGGACAGGAAGAGAGAAAGAGGAAAAGAGAGAGAGAGAGAGAGAGAGAGAGAGGAGGCACGGAAGGATTACTTGCTAACGGATTTTTCCTTTTACGCGCATTTCTTCAAAAACCAGACATTTTCATTAACGTTGTAAAGTGCCTTGCAAGCACATAAATATCATTCAGTATCATTGACGACATATATTTCTTATTTTAGTGCATAAATTTGAATTTTTAATTATTTCCGAAAATAATTGTATTCAGTAAGTCCAAATTTATCTGAACGACTGCTTAAAAATATTGAAATTTGCGTGCATTTGTCCTGGATTTTTCGTACAACGAATTAAGTAATACTGAATTACATATAGGTCAGTGGAGATTAAAAATAGGTATTTACGATAACTTTCGCTGTATAATTTGCTATGAACAACGAAAAAAAAAACTTCTTAAAAACAGTTAGGAAGTGGAATATATTCATAAAAAATTAACAAAAGAATAACTTTCGAGCAATTAATTTATATCCATAACTTTCTCGCTTAAAAATAATCAACAACATAGATTTTCAAAACAAAACTGTTGCTACAAGTCTATTTGTTACATGTCGCCGTATATCTGCACGATCATTTGGCTTTCGACGGCAATTTACAATAAACGAAACTGTATATAACTTTGCGAGGACACTGAAGATTTGAGGCCTCTCGCTCTTAGATTCTATAGAGAGCATTCTAACGTATCGCTTAGTATCGTCATTTAGAATTGTTCAGTAATCGGCCACTGACGGTAATAAGGAGTATGAATTTCCAAGATTACGCTCAATGAGGAAAGGTTACATAAATACTGTGCGTTGGTTGATAAACCTAGGTGATGTGTTGGTAACAAGACGACATAATTCAGCAGAACGCAGTCTGATATTGAAATGTTACAACATACATACAAAGAAGCAAACGAAGAAAGAGAAAAGAGAAAACAAAGGAACGAACAAAAAAATAGAGATAATAGAACGAGATGGAGGTGTCGATATTTACAGGCGGTTAACCGATGTGCGTGTGGCGCGCGTGCGTGTTGAAGCGAGGCTGATCAGCCGTTGCAAAGGCAGGCGTCCTTCATGTTCAAGCGGATCCAGTGGAGGTAGCGGTTGACCCTGGTATAGACGCCGGGATAGCCGGGCCGGCCGCAGCCAACGCCCCAGGAAACGATGCCTGCGGACAGAAGTAGGAAGCAGGTGAGGGGAGGCGCGAGCAGGCGGCGCGCGGGCGGACGGGGCTCACCGGCGATCTCCAGCCGACCGGCCTCGTCGACGAGCAGGGGGCCGCCGCTGTCGCCCTGGCAGGAGTCCTGGCTGCCGTTGCCCGCGCAGAGCATGTTCTCGGTGATGCGGCTGGCCCTGTACTTCATCCTGCGGCACTGCTCGGTGCTGAGAATGGGCACGCTCACCTCCTGCACCACGCCGGCGAGCATGCCGCCCTCCTTGGTGCGGCCCCAGCCGACCACGGTGCCGTACTTGCCCGCGACCTCGCTGCCTGCAACGCGACGCGGCGCGGGCCGAGGGTCAGGTTGGCGGCGACGACCGCGGCTCGCGCGGCACCTACCTGCCTGGGGCAGACACACGGGCCGGATGGTCTTGGAGAAGACTACCGGCCGACGCAGCTTCAGCAGGGCCACGTCGTGGTTATAGGACTCGGTGTCGAAGTTGCGATGGCGAACGACCGCGCCGACCGCGCGCATCACCGCCTGGCCATCCGACGTCTCGAACTGGTTGTGGTCGCCGAGGATTATACGGATCTTGGAGCGCTTGAGCCTGCGCGCGCGCGCCATCGCAAACACACGCACACGTGAGCGTTGGCAATGATCGCCGACTCGCGCGCAACAACGCGTATACTCACTTCCGCAGGCAGTGCGCGGCGGTGATGACGTAATCGTTGCTCAGCAGGCTGGCCCCGCAGTGGAACTTGCCGTCGTAGACCAGCCGGGCCAGCCAAGGGTACTTGTTGGGCTCCGTCGGCCGACCGCCGACGATTCGGATCTCCTGGTTTGGCAGGCCGCACTCTGCAAGGCGAAAGCACGTTCCAACCGGGGCGCACTCGCCACGGCCGGGGGCAACTCACCGCAGCTGCAGTTCCTCGGGTTCTGGCCGGCGGCCGAGGCCAGGCCGCTCTCGGCGCCGTCGCCGTCGGGGCCCGCCGGCGCGTCCGCGAGGCCGCCCGTCAGGCTGCCGAAGCTCACGTCGATGCCGAAGATGTCGTCGAAGAATATCCGCGGGCCGCGGCCCGGCTGACGGAGGACCCGTCGAGACCCGGAGAAAGCGGACTGGGCGACGGAGCTGCGGACGGGCCCGAGCAGCGCCAGGCACGCAACCAGGGCTGCTCGCAGAAGGCGCCCGGGCGGGCGCGCTCTCCTCGGCATGCTGCGCGCTGGCTGCCTGGCTCACGGCTCACTGGGCCCCCGCGAAACGCCTCTGTCGAATAATCAGGCGGCGGTCGCCGCGGGCCGCCAGCCGAACGAGCCAACAATGCGAGAAGCGAGCAACTCGCATTATCTTGCCGCGTCTCGTCGTCATCTCGCTTCAAATTGCCGCCGCCGCCGCCGCCGCCGCCGCCGCCGCCGCCGCCGCCGCCGCCACCGCCGCGCTCCGACTTGCTTTCACTGCTTGTAAGCCAGCACGCCTCTCGACTTTCCTCTTCCTTTCCTTTCTCTCTCTCTCTTTCTCTCTCGCTCTGCGGTAAATATATGCCTTCCCCCTGTCACTCTCCCTTCCCGTCTCATCAATGCTTCGCAGGCGCATCCTTCTTTCAACGCCTTTTCTGGAATTTCCAATCTTGTCATGACCACGTCCACTAAAGACAATAATTGCATTTACCTGCAACTCGTTATCGCAATCATACGTGGCGCGCACTCGTCACTCTGCTTCGCATCCTTTTTCTCATTAAACATATTCAATATCAACTATCATTCCGAATTCTCGCGACGAAGGATCAGCAATTAAATCTTTCTGGCAGATATTTTGAATAAACAAGTATAATCAAACTTCTAAGTAACGGTACACAAGTTTCACTAACCTACATTGCTTTCATCGAAAGCAAAACGGTTCCACTCGACGTCTGCGCGTTCAAGACGATTTGTTCTTTACACTTTCAATACATCTACTCTCTATTGCTTTCATTAAAGTTCAAAGCTTTATTATTCAGTAATAGAAGTAAGCTTGTAAAGTTATCCTCGAACAACTTGTTAAAAAAAAAAAAAATCTGTTTAGTATTTCTGTTGAAAAAAGATCCACCGCAACCTACAAGATTTTATGACTAAGTGCAACGATAAAAATAGGCTGAGTTAAGGCGAAAATACTTGCTTCAGCTCTCGACATTTTTTTTCATTCTTATAAACAGTTCAAGTATAAATATTCAATTCCGGTTGGAACGACGACCTGAAAAGTGGAATTCCAGGTCCATTTTTTAAGTCGCCCACAGCACAGAAAAACACTCGTGGCATTGTGTTTCATACGGGGCAAAATGAGAAACTCGGCTGGTGATTCGGTCACTCGCTTGCAAAACCTGATTTTCGTCCCTTAATGACTATAATGTACATCGGCTCCTGCCTTCCCGCCCCCGCAATATCACGCCCAAGTCAGAGGAGCCGTCTTTTGAAACAGATCACTTTGAGAAAAATTGCGAAGAAAAACATTTTTCTTCAATACTCAATATCAACTTCAAACTTCAACGCAGGCATACGTTTACTTACTAAATAGATCACCTACTTTGATATCGAGAGGGAAAGTGTCATAACTAGGACGTGGTAGAAAAAGCGTAATCAAACGTTCAATCTAATTGTTTTAGTTTATTGCAGCAAGCTGAATCACGATAACGAGGCTTTAACTCGTCAAACCTCATGGAGGTCAATGTCTTGATTGTTAAATTAAGTAGTAGACTAGATTGTCAACTTTGTACTCGTCGTTAAAAAAGCAAGCAACATCGACAAAGACTTGTAAGCTCTCTCATTGCGTTGATAGGAGGAGCGTTAACGTTCGTTTGCAAGCCGAACGTTTTTTCGAACATTACATTCGCTATTCATCTCCTTGTCTTCGAATACGCAGCATGATATACGCTTTTGTTTTCGTTGATGATAATTATACCAAGCGAGCTGGAGATGGGCACAGGCATTCGTCGTTCAAATGTCGATGAATCCACTCCAAGTAGTTGGAGATCTTAGTGTAAACGCCTGGGAAATTGGGTCTGGCGCACCCTCGCCCGAACGAAACCAACCCTGCAAGCAATGTCGAAAAGAGTTAATGCGGACAAGACGAAAAGACCGAAGCTCGGGGGGACGTCAGTCGCAAGGTGCTACGGAAGCGAGTACTGATGCACGAGAATTACCGATAACTTCCATCGCGCCCTCCTCGTTACGGACGTGCAATGCGCCACCGCTGTCGCCCTGAAAGAATAGAGCAAGCGGGTGAGTATCTCGGCCGATGAGAAACAAGAACGACGACGAGGGCGTGCGACTCACGCTGCAAGTGTCACGTTGTCCCTGAAGGTAGCCAGCGCAAAACATATTGTCGGTGACACGGTCGTGCGGGTAGTCGGATTGCAGGCACTGCTGCTTGGACATGATGGGCAGATCGACTTTGCGCAGCTGCTCGCTAACGGGTCTGCCCTCTCCGAGTCTACCCCAGCCGACAGCCACCCCGGTCGCACCGGCGTAGCCGAAGCTCGCTGCGGTCGGAGCGCGCAAGTGTGAAGATCGTGGCGCGGCGAGCGGCACGGCGGACGGCGCGATACTCACGCGTGCTGGGTAGGCAGACGGTTCTCACGGGTCCATCCAGCGGTATCGGCCTCCGCAGCTCGACGATGGCGATGTCGTTGTCGTAGGTGGCCCTGTCGTAGCGCTCGTGGACGACCAGGGACTTGAGGGGGTGCCGGCGGCGATCGGCGAGCCGGGCCGTCAGGTGCTGCCTCTCGAAGCTGCAGCAGGGAGGCGCAAGGGGCCGTGAGGTGCGCCTCGAAAGGGCCGAGCGCGCTCGGCGCGCGACTTACCCGTGGATGCAGTGCGCGGCCGTGAGCAGGTGCCGGCGCGTGAGCAGGCTGGCGCCGCAGTGGTGCGCGCCGTGGTAGTCGAGCGCCGCCGCCCAGGGGAACTCGCTGGCGCCACTGACCTGGCCGTTGACTATCCGCGTCTGCTGGCTCAGGCCGCACACTGCAAAGAGAGCGCCACGCGGCCGGGGCCGCCGGTGAGTCGGGGCCGCCCGCGCGGCCGCGACTGCCACTTACCACAGCTCCGCTGGCAGGGCTTGGCGGCCTTGCCGCCGGCCGGGCTGCCCGGGCGCTCGCTCGTCGGCATCCACTCGTAGAAGTTGGGCCCCGGGTCCTGGCCGCCCGCGCCCAGCACCTGCAACGCACGACGGCCCGTGAGCGAGGCTGCCGCGGCGAGCTTCGGACGCGCGAGTTACCAGTTTGCGCGAGGCAGCTGGTGGCAGGGCCGCCCGCGCGGCGGACGGGAGCCCGTCCGCGACGACGAGGGCGGCTCGCAGCAGTGGCAGCAGCAGCAGCAGCAGCAGCGAGCGCACCAACTGGAACTGGCCTGCCATGACGCCGCTCGGCTGGACGCGCGCTTCTGGACGGACGATCGGCTTCGGAACGAGTGACGATCGGCCGGAGCTTGGCCAATTTATAGGGCGTCGTAGCGACGTCGGCAGCACGCGCCGGGTGGGGGTCACTCACCTTGACTGCCGCGCTTGCATTGGCAGACGACGGAGCAGCGCGGCCCGAGCGACCTTTTGCCCACCTGGAATCGCGCGCTCCTGATACGTCTGCGCGCGCGCGCGCCTCCGCCGGCTCTCTGTCCACGTTGCGCAATGGGCGCGTCGCGCGTCCCGCCGAGCTTGCGCCGACCGAGCGAGGTGGTCCTCGAACTCGTGCCGGGCTTGCGGCGAAACGTCTGCGATCGCTCGCTCGTTCCCAGCGAAACCGGGTCAATGTAATTGGACGCCCTTGGCTTCGTAAATCCTGGCCGCGCTTTTACGCAGCTTCTCACGACAGATAGGCGCGAGCATGCGGGCGGGCACAAATGGCGCGAGCGACACGCGCAGCGCCGCCGTCGCGGCTGACATTGAAGATGTCGCGCCGCGGGCCGAGCAAACAGTCCTCGTCGACCGGCGAGCGCGCAGATCTTCGGCATCGGCCTTCGCTCGCGTAGCCGCGGCTCCTTATCAGCGGGTAGCCTCGTGTGCCGGCGACTCGGCCGTTGGAAAATACCGAGCAATGTCAAGCCTCGATCTTATCGTCGCCTCTCCGTGATTCACTTCTGCCGACAAACTCGCGGACTCTTATCGGAAGAACAACTCGTCAGCCTCAATACCTCGCGATCGCTCGCTCGTTATACGCCTATTGCCCAATGTCGTTTGCCCAGAGCTTTGTCTCGACAAGGTGCACGACACGACAAGGCCAAGACACCAGTGGTCGTATATTACGTCGCGAGCTATGTCTTCTCTTTACGCTATTCCGCTTTGGACGCGCCAATAGCCATGCTCGCCTTTGCAACCGGCAACGCAGTCGACTCGAGTCTGCGCGATAGCAATGTCGCCAAGTCGATTGCTCGCTAAGCAACTAACGTGCCGGGCCGCCGGTCGAACTGGTCAAAGTTCGGGACCAGGTTTCAGCGGTACATCTATCTCCAGTCGTTTGCAGCGGGAGCCGAACTTGGAGACGTAAAAACCCGCATGAGGGTGGACTTATTGATTCTCGCGCAAAATGACCTCGCAGCTCACTAGCTCAAATTGGATCATCGTCGTCAACGACGACATTGGCGACTATCCGACTCATACCTTAGTCACTGCTGTAATGACTTCTCCATAAAATACGCGATAACGCCTGTGTATAACGCGAATTGCAGACGAAAATTCAAGTTTGGACAGCGAAGCCAATTCAACCGCGTGGCTAGCGTAGAAACTCTATTACTGGTAACGTCGGTGTAACAGCTTTCAGGATACCGTTGAAAGTTACTGTTTAGGTGAGCTTTGAAATTCAATTTAATCAGTCACGTCGACATTTTTAAAAAGATCCGATTTCAAGATAACGAGCTCGATTTTTTAAATCGGGATAAACGCGACATATATTTAGAACCATGAATATATTCGGCAGTAATGTTTTGCAAGAAAACAGAGATGAGTTGCACATTGGTTATGTCTATTTGGAAACTAAATAGTTGAACGCTCGCTCACGAACAACGACGTTGGGGTATGTTACGCCGGTCGTATATTTCATCTATGCGTGTGAACGAGTCAATAATAATATAGCGTTCTGTGGAAAAAGTTGTTCTTGCGCAGAAACTACGTTATTATAACGTTTGTCGTCGCTACGCCTGGTCGCAATCAGCTATCGCGTATGCTATATTTTTCTTTGGTTCAGCCAACGACACTCGAACTATATGACCTGTACGAGACAAACAAATGAATAAATATCCCTCGACTCCGTTGTCAGTGGGATTGGCTAGCAGGAGCAGGCGAGATCATTGGGAGCAGCAAGTGTTGCTGGTAGCTGCGGTTAAAAAAATTTCCGGCGAGACTGTTTCAGAGAAGGAATAGGTGAATCGAGAATGGTGCACGACGGGCGGATGAGTAAACGACAGAAGATTCGAGGAACCGGTATGAGTTGGGATAGCTATCGCATCTGGCGACGCGCAAAAAGCTGGAAAATTAGCATATCGAGGATCGACCGAGTGCCGAAATGTGGAAGCGATGCGCGGCGTGGGAGAGAACACAGGCGGCTCGGTCGCCTCGGCGTGGTGGCAGCTGTTTAATATTCCCTCCCTCTGTATAAATAAAGATGCGCCGATGAAGCCTCGGCTCTGTAGTGTGAAAGTGTCGTCGACGGCTGGTTCGTTCGTCCGCAGCCAGGCCGACCACGAGCTGGTGTAGAAAGCGCCGCGCGCCTGTTGCACTCTCTCTCTCTCTCTCTCTCTCTCTCTCTCTCTCTCTCTCTCTCTCTCCCGTACCGTTGTCTACGTCAGCTCGGCGGCAGCGCATCGACAATGAGGTGGATTTGGGCAGTACTTTTCCTCGGCGTGCCTCTGGCCGCATCGACTGACACGCGGAGCAGCCAGGTACCGTTAGCCCAAGCCGTCGACCCGGGAGCAGGCTTTTCACGGGCGCCAGTCGGAATCTTTGCAGTTGGATGCGTCGAGCTTCGGAGAGCTGCCGGGCGAGGAGCGGGCCAGCGACGACGGCCAGCCGCAGCGACCGCAACTCAACCCCGACGAAGACAAGTTCTTCCTGAGCTGGCTGCAGAATGTGCTGGGCTACAGGCCGACGATAGCGGGAACGACGACGACCACCACCACCGCGATGCCGGCGCCGTCGCTGGGCGGACAGCCGTTCGGTGACTGCCCAGCCTGCTGTAAGTATGCCGCGCGAAGCATCGGTCGGCGCCGAAGTGCTCGGTCGCGTTCTAATCGGCCGCCACCCGCAGACTGCGGAATCACCAACAAGCAGAAGCGCATCGTCGGCGGCATGGAGACGCAGGTGAACGAGTACCCGTGGGTCGCCCTGCTCACGTACAAGGGCCGCTTCTACTGTGGCGGCAGCGTGATCAACTCCAAATACGTGCTGACCGCGGCGCACTGCGTGGACAGGTAAGCCCGACTCGGCTGGCGCGCGGCGCCGCGTCGGCCCGTCGACTCACGGCCCGCCGGCTTCGCAGGTTCCAGAAGGGCCTGATCGGCGTGCGCATCCTCGACCACGACCGCAACTCCACGCTCGAGAGCAAGAGCCAGGACTTCCGCGTGGCCGAGGTCATCCGGCACAGCGCCTACTCGACGGTCAACTACAACAACGACATCGCACTGTTGAAGCTGCAGGGCGCGATCAAGTTCGACAAAAAGATGCGGCCGGTCTGCCTGCCGGAGCGAGGTACGTACGCGACGTGGACGCTCGCCGACACCGACTGACCGTTCGTTGCGCGACGCAGCCAAAACTTTCACCGGGCAGATGGGCATCGCGACCGGCTGGGGGGCCACCGAGGAAGGAGGACCCGTGTCCAACCACCTGCGCGAGGTCAGCGTGCCCATTCTCTCCAACGCCGAGTGCCGCGCTAGCAAGTACCCCGCCCGCAAGATCACCGACAACATGCTCTGCGCCGGCTACAAGCAGGGCCAGAAGGACTCCTGCCAGGGCGACAGCGGCGGCCCCCTTCACATCAAGTACGACGCCTTGCATCGCATCGTCGGTGAGTTTCCGCTTCCCTCTCCCACTTGCTCCGTCGCTCACGCTTCTCGCTTCCGCTTCGCAGGCGTCGTCTCCTGGGGCGAGGGATGTGCTCAGCCTGGCTACCCCGGCGTCTACACCAGGGTCAATCGCTTCCTCACCTGGATCACGCGCAACACCGAGGACGCCTGCTACTGCTCGGATCCACCCGTCATGCCCCTCTGACTCCGCCTAAGGTCTACTGCCACGCCGCCGTCGCTTGATTCCGTTCTTCGAGTGACCGAATGATGTATATATACACATACACGAAACGCACACGCGTACACGCATGAAGATTATTTATTTTTAGTGTTTGTACTCTCGAATATTGTAAATAAGAATAATATGTGCTGAATAAGAATTGATGCGAGAACGTGTGACGTGCAATTATTCACGCGGCTGTGCCGACGTCGCATCGCGGTCGACGGGGCCTGCCGGCTGGCGTAGCTGTGGAAGCTCCAGCGTGGTCGGCCGAGCGGCCGATCCCGACTGAAGCGAGGCGCGTCGAGTGCCGCTGCCCGGGTAAAGCCAGAACGTTTCCATGTTGCCTTTGCCCTGAGCGTCAGAAAGGAGCGACGGTCATGCCCGGGACGAAAGGGCGACTGACTGGCGCCGCGAGACGTCGAGCGACTCACCTTGACAGAAACCACACCTCGGGGCTCGATAACGTAACGATCCTCCGGCAGGAGGGCCTTGATGCTGGGCGATATGTGCACTCTGCCCGGCTTTGGAGCAAACAAAACGGACAGGATGCGAGAGACATGCGTGTGCGCAGATCGAGCGCGTCAATCGACGAAGTCTATTACCAGGCTAGTAGTTTGCATCCTAGAAGCGGTGTTGACGGTGTCGCCGAAGAAGCAGTATCTCGGCACTTTGATGCCCACGACGCCGGCGACCGCGGGCCCCGAGTGCAGACCTGCAGCGCGACGTCGAAATGAGAATCGGGCCGCAAATTCACGCGGCAAACGGAACTTGGCGCACCGATGCGAACTTGAATGTCCCGTGCCGAGGGCAGCGACAGCGAGCGAACTTGCGAGACGAGCTGCAGGGCGACGTCGGCCACGTTGACCGCGTGATCGTCCGCTCGATCGGGAGCCCCGCTGGCCGCCATGTAGACGCGGCCCACCGTCTCTACCTGCGAGCCAAGCGAGCGAGCCTCGGTACATTCGGTACACGCGGCCGCGTGCTCTCACCTTGTACACGTTGAACTGGTCCATGAGGCTGTCGAAGCAGGAGTAAACGGCGTTCATCGACGTCACGATGTCCATCACGTCCTCGATCGTCGAGTAGTTCAAGTCGCAGAGCTCGCAGAACAAGACAGATATGGACTCGAACGACTGCGAACGGCGACTATACAGATAGAGACGCGTCGACGCGAGATGCACGGGGACGCGGCTTTGGCAGACCTGGCAAGTGCTCAGCGGACCGGCGCCGGCCCGCAGCCGGTCGGCCACGCTCCGCGGAATCATCGAGTACAGCAGCTCGTCGGTTTTGATCTTCCAGCGGTCGAGCAGCGCGTAGCTCTGCTCCAGCTCCATGGAGCGCAGCTCCGCTTTGTCGAACATGATCTCGAGCCTGCGACGAGGGGCGCGATTGAGAGGCGAGCGAGGGCCGGCGACGCCCTTTGAATGCGCCCGCGGTTACCTGCTGCAGTGCTGCCAGCCGGCGAGCACCAGTTCTCGGCTGAGGCCGTGCGGGTTGAGGTCGTTCAGGTAGAGGCCCATGCTCGGCAGCTCTGCCAGACTGTCGATCCTACCGACGAGCAATCACGTGTATTCGTAACGAGCACGACTCGGGCCGACGCTCGCGACACTCACAGGGGGCTGCAGAGGAAGATGATGGCGTCGATGTCGTCGATGTAGCGCATCTGGCCCTTGAACAGCAGGTTGCGCGCGCCCTGGCTGCCACGCCGATCCAACGCCGAGCGCTCGCCGGCTGGGCCCTGCTCCTCCACCACGCGCTCGGCCCCGTCGGCCCCGTCGGCCCCGTCGGCCCCGTTGGCCCCGTCGGTACCGTCGGCCCCGTCGACGCCATTGACCCTCTCCGGCTCCGCGCACTTGATCAGCTCCAACTCGAAAGTCACCGAGCGCAGGTCCATCACCTGCCGAGACAGGCGCGTGGCCGCTGTGTGAGTGCTCCCGGGCGTGGTCGCGCGCGAAATTCGATCGGATGCGCACGTTGTCCCAGGTGAAGGAGACGCCCTTGGGTCGGCGAAGCTTGAACACGTCGGGCGCCTGCTTGCCCGACAGGGTCGAGCCACCGGCCCAAGCCTGCAGCAGTTTGTCGCCGGCGTCCACGATGCGCATGTCCCGGTCGAGCACCACGGCGAACGGGAACAGGCCGAGGAGCAGCGAGCACGAGACTGGCGGCAGCTCGCGCCCGACCGGCCTCTGAATTCTGTCGTTTTTCGCCACCTGCGCGCGCGCGCACGGTTCACCCGTTGTCCGAGCTGAGCCTGACTGGCCTCGCCGCTTTCCCTCGCCCACTTACGTAATTGCTGTTGTCGAAGTCGATGCGAAACTTGACCATCACGCTTCTCGTGCCCGGGATGCTGTTGGAGCTCTCGAGCACTCGGATGCCTAGCGCGGTCTCGTAAAGCTCCTCGGCTATCTGGTAGAGTTGTCCTGCAATCGCGATCGCCGCCTCAGTGTCCGCGTTGCCGAGCTGTGCCGGGCGCACCATTACCCATGAAGTAGTGAGTGAAGCCTTGCCTCGTGCTCCGGTAGACGAGCACCACTCCCTCCCGGTCGACCTGGGTCAGGTACATCGAGGGGCTCTTCATTTTCGGATAAGCGAAGCGCATCTGCATGTGGATGTTGTCGACGCTCTGCAGAAAGTCGCAGAAGTAGCGACCCGTCGCTTTCACCGTGTATCCGTACCTGCGAATGCCCAGTCACGCGTATGCGCATTTTCCTCGCAAAGCTCGCCGGCATCGATCGGCATTCCGCATTACCCGAGATTATTGAAGAAGCGCACGAAGCACTTGCCAAAGTATTGCATAACGCTGTCGACCGTCTCGCACGTGTGCGCGGCGAGCGCCGCGGCTAATTTTGTCATCAAGTCGTCCGGATAGATCTGCCGAGTATTGAAGACGGCGTGCTTGGCCCCTGCCCTGTCCAGCATGTCCAGCCATAGGTTTTCTCCGTACTGCAGCTGCACGACAGTCAAGCCAGAACGCTGGTCAGTCGCGTCTACACCCTCGCATGGGTCAACTGAGACCGCCTTCGCCCTCCTTGTCAATTGGTAGCCCGCAAGATGTGCGTAATGCGCGTCCACCTAATCCCTTTATTCAGTGCCTATTACAGCGTCGAACCAATGCTTCGTTGTCACAGCGCCCCATTATATCGTATACTGCGAGTCATCTCACTGTCGTACTCAATCCATAAAGCTCGACGTAAATTACAAGTTGCGCCCTTCGTAAGTGGCTCCCCATTATAGACTCGATCTACTGATTAAACGATTCGAAAACACGAAACTGAAATCGTCCATTTAGAAATAGGACTCTAATCAAATCTCGTCCATTACGGATTTTCAATAATTACACACGCGCGAGTACATTTATATTTATACGGAATGGTGCATACATATACATATTAGGCATAGCATTCGCATCAGTCGTATGCTATTGGAAAGCATAATTTTTAAATGCTTCACGCGTTTCACCGCTGCCGTTTCAATGGTATTTGCGTATTTAATTAGCGACCAGTGCATTACACTTTCAATATTCATTGTTGTCCCGACAAAAGAAAGAAAATAAAAATAATCGGACAATCGTAGTCGAATATTCTCAATTACGAAGAAGGAGTGCGATTTAAAGAGGGGAGAGCAAAACCAATATTATTTTGGCCAAGTCAATTGACAGGCATACTTCCGCGAATAGATACTGCCATTTTTAAATATAATATCATACGTATATTCCTTCATTCATTAGTATTGAAAATTCTAATCGATTTATCAAACTAAATTTTTCAATAAGCTATATGTTGTTTCGATCGAAATTTTTTTCATCTTGAATTTGGTGCTTTATTCTATCTTATATCGTTTTGAATTTCATCGGTTTAGAATTAAATTTTTCTCGAATAATGTACGAAATCTCTTTGTAATCAGAAAGTGATTTCTAATTATTTCTGTTAACAGCTGACCGATACTGTGTCCTTTACGGATGAAAATCGAGACTAATAAATATAATAAAAATAATTCGTACTGCGGTTAACTTCTAAGATACTAGTTTCACAGCTCCAACACGTAAGCACATAGAGTAAGTTGCAAAAGAAAAAGCCACGGTAAAAGTACTAAAACTGTCAACAACAAGCATGACTTTGATGAGATAGTGTTGATCACAAAGTTATAAAAACTTTCACTAATAGCAATAACATGTCATAAGTACTCCGAATAAAGAGTGAAAATGCCGCGGATAGTTTGGGGGGGGGGGGGGATTAACGCGAGAAAAAGTAAAAAAGTAGATTAAAAGAAAATGTAGGAAAAGATTTGAAATATATATTAGTTACGTGATGATCATGAAAAATAATGCTTTCTAAGTGTGAGTGGCACTCTCCCATGGCCCACGGCTTTTATGACGAATCGCTTAGGGAATTCCCCTTCGCATCATCTGAAAGGGATTGTTGTGTCAACAAAGTATTGGAGAAGAAATAGAGTTTTCTCTTCTATAATAATGATAATATAGCAGAAAAAAAATGATAGAACGAATTTGGGCTGTTTTATTAGTAAAAAGAAGCAATATAACAAAAATACAAAGAAGGTGTTTTGAGGTAAGGGGGGACAATAAAACATTGTTGTAAAGGATAAAAAAGTAATTGCATTGGATCAACGTACCTGTACAAAATATTGTATACTTTCTAGAAGCATCCCATACATTATTGCAATTGGCTGTACAACTATAATCAGACAAAGGTGAAGTATATGGAAATGAAGGTTTGAACGGATAATCAGCTTGGGATACGGAGCAATGGGAATAAAAATAAATGGAGCCGGTGCATGCAGTTGTCAAGTCAATTGGTCAAGGGAAAATGTATGAGCGTGTCTTTGTATTATTTAGTGTTGGCGATGCAATTTGAGAGTATTTCAAATTTGGCGAAGTCAAAAAGAGGTAAGAGTGCGTGCTGCAACGGACTGCGCACGCGTTCGACGGACTGGTTCGTGCCAACAATAGCCGCTCCTCGACGTTGACAATACGAATGTTATTGGAATTTTGCTCGGACGCACTTGCACGGGAGTATTGCGCGAACAACGACGGGCAGTCGAAAACGAACTGTAGCCTCCAAGTCAAGCTGGCGCTTCTGGAGCAATGCTGCGCAGTCAGCGCACCTTTGCAGCTGCGCGCGACGGCGCATGCCTCGGCCACTCTCATATGAATACAATCAGTCTTTTGGTATATGTTTGTTTTTACAGCGACTCTTGGTGGTAGCAATGAAGACAGTAGCGCCGAGGCCCTGCTGGACAATGGGCACTGCGCACACATCCGAGAAATTCATTTGAGGCGCGATCAAGCGGCATCTCCCGATCGGAAGCATCGTTGGCTAATTTTGGCGAACACGAGAACGCGCGTACGGGTGACTTTGCAACAGCCGACTTTCAGAGGCGTTTGAAATGAGCGCGCCTAGTCGGGTAGTACGCGCGCTCGCCGTCTGCCATGCAACGCTCGGCTATATAGTCTCCGAAGAGAAAACTTACCCACACACCTACATGGCGCTATAGTAGTGTGTCGAGATCCGCGCCATAGGCGTTGCAATAGCCATCCGTATATGCGTACGAGAGTGAGTGTGGTGGTGCTAAGCAGTGTCACTCAGTGCCACCAAAACAGAGACGACGATTTCGCGTCGGCGACAGGAATGACAGAATTGGAAGGAAGTTATGCCAACGGGGTGTCGCGGGGATGCCTAGTAGCGTAGTCGGTCCAAAGCGTAAGTCAATTAGTGCGTTAATTCGAGCGTCGCGTCGAGTAGCGTCTACAACTCGGAGCAACTCTTCACCGAGCAGCCGTGCGCGTGGAAACTGCTGCTTTATTCACGCTGCAACGTCACTTGTTGAACTCTCGAATACTCTTCTCTTCGATGTGCCAGACCTCGTGCCCAGTGCATCGTGATGCCAGGTCAACGAATACGATCGACCGCGGAGTGCAAATGTGCGTCGTGCAGCGTGCCGCCCAACCAATGATTTTGATCGCGAGCAGCGATTCCGACTGAAGAGCGCAACCGCCTAGTGACAATGATGCCGACCTCGCCCTCTGAAAAGTCACTCACGAGTAGCTTACGCTCGGAGAGTCAAAGCGACAACTCCAACAGCAATTCCAATTCCCACAGCTATTCGATAAGAGAAGACAAGTGGCCAGATCTGGTCGTCTCTCGTCCAAGAAAACTCGACGCATGGTGGTTTCCCAGGCGTGAGTACACTTCATCTTAAATCAACAGCGTACGATGACAATCGATCTCGAATTGACTAATTAAATTAAAGCTCGCAGCTGTATAAGCTTGTTCGCAGTGCGTGCCACACGCGAGTCTTGAGAGCGCCAAATTTTGAAAATAAATTGCAGGCAACGCTGAAAAATTTCCATCGCGCATTATAATTATTATTGTTGTTGTCGTTGTTAGTCAGTGCACATTGCTCGATCGTGCCAACGTTGACTTGCGCAGAGTTGGCGTTGCGTCCAGCAACTTTTCACTGACAAATTTGCTACGCGCAATGCGAATAAACAAGTGAATTAAAATCCAATTAAGAAAAATGTATTTACAAGGCCGCAAAGCAAAGAAATGCAAAGTACATTTGTCGGGTGCTTTAACAGTGGGTGGGCTTTTTAAGGTAGCGTAGACGTTCGGGACTCGGGAAGAATGCCCGATAGGGCGAACGAAATGAGGCGGTACAAGGGGCTTCCTAGCTTGCCGGCCGAAACGCAGAGGACCGCGCGGCGCGCACGGCGGCGCTCGAGCGGGTCGCCTCGTACGAGATTCAAAGTTACGCGGGCTACGGCGCGCGCGGAGAGCTTGAGGCGGTCCGCGCAGCGAATGTATTGATTTAGCTAGGGGGAGGCATGGTCGGCTCGGGCAATCGAGGTGCTGGGAGCTTACTCCCGCTGTCGCCATGTTTCGTCGCAAAAGCGAGCCCTCGCGCGTCCAGCCGCGCTCGCAGTAGTCTCGGCATCGGTGGCTCATTCGAAGCGAGTGCCATCGCCCCCCCGGGAGGCAGGCAGGCAGGCAGGCAGGCAGGCAGGCAGGCAGGCAGGCAGGCAGGCAGGCATGCAGCTGCTGCTGGAGCGACTCTGAGCCGGCCTGGCGTTCGACCACCGCACGGGATAAGCTGGCGGCAGCTCACGCGCCGGACTCGCATTCAGCGATGATGCTGGACCAGGACATAGCTGGCGCTCAGGATACGATTTATCTTTGCAATTTCCGAGTGTCGGTCGACGGAGAGTGGCTCTGCCTGAAAGAGCTGCAGGACGTCGAGTTTGGCACGCCCGACTCGCTGCAGCGCTCGCCATCGCCGCCCCTGGCCATAAGTGGTACACAGTGCAACGATCCTTTGCGCCAACCGAACGACGATGTGCCAGAGCTTTGTCGTATTCTTTCGTCACCCACTCGACACGTCTCTTATTTGTGTTTGTATATTGCTTGCAACCACGCGCACACCCACACGCACACCCACACGCACACCCAGACGCACAGCCACGCGCGCATACACACACGATGTTCTTGCGTTCGCTGCTCTTACGTCGCACTATTTATCTGACGCTGCGTACTCGAGTACTCGAGGGCAGGTTCGCCTGGTAGCGAGCAACTCGAGTGCAGCTGTCCTCGTTGTAAAACCGAAGATTACTCGCGCTCGCGCGTATTTACTTTCGCAGCCACGATCGATATAATCCAAAGGGAGCCTGTGCAGGTCTGGCGTTGCAATGAGAAACGTTCTGCTTTCTGTGTCGCAGCGCGAGATCCTGTGATCATCGAGAGGAGCAATCTAGTTAACATTTCCAAGCTAATCGTTAAAGAGCTCATCGAGACGTCTCTGAAGTATGGGCGCATGCTCGACTCCGACCACATGCCCCTGCAACACTTTTTCATTGTCCTCGAGCACGTACTCAGACACGGCCTACGTCCGAAAAAGGTAAAAAGCTCCGAACTCACGCGATTGCGGGTCTAAAGAGCGCGCCTCGTCGCAGGGTTTGCTCGGCCCCAAGAAGGAGCTGTGGGACATCCTGCAGCTGGTCGAGAAGTATTGCCCGGAAGCTCAAGACATGACCTCCAGCATTCGCGACTTGCCCACCGTCAGGTACCTGCCTATGCGCGCGAGCCTCGACGCCGCGAGCGAGTCCAGCGTAATCTCGATTGTTTGCTCGCTTGTTCAAGGACCGCTATGGGCAGAGCGCGAGCCTGGCTGAGAATGGCACTGATGCAGAAGAAACTGGCGGACTACTTGAAGGTATTGATAGACCACAAAGACGAGCTGCTATCCGAGTACTTCGAGCCGGACGCGTTGATGCTCAGCGAGGAGGCCATCGTCATAATGGGCTTGCTGGTCGGCCTCAATGTCATAGATTGTAATTTCTGCGTGAAGGTGAGGCGACTTCGTTGATTATTCCATTGCCGTACACGACAAAGTGAAACGCCGTTGCTCCCGCCAGGAAGAAGATCTCGATTGCCAGCAAGGCGTCATAGACTTTTCGCTGTATCTGAGAAATAGTAATCATATCCCTGGGGAATCGCCGGACGACGAGTTGGACAACGACAACATGACCACGGTGCTCGATCAAAAGAATTACATAGAAGAGCTCAATCGACATCTCAAGTAACGAAACTTAACGACTAGCCGGCTCTCGCAAACCATTACCAGTACCAATATCATTCATCCACGTTTATGTTGTTATTTAGCGCAACTGTGCAAAATCTCCAGGCGAAGGTCGAATCTCTGACAACGACGAATGCCTTGATGAAGGAAGATTTATCCATTTCCAAAAACAATCTAATTTCGCTTCACTACGAAAATCAGCAACTGAAAAAAGAGCTGGGGATAGAAGTCAATGACTCGCACGAGGTATAGAACGATATTTTATTTGTGCCCATTCCTTTCCTTTTCGAGTTTTCGAGGCCCGCGATAAAACACCAATTGTTTCCCATCAATCCAGATCGGCAAGATTCCCATTAAGATAACAGAAACAACTTCTGAAATGGAAGAGCTGCGGAATAGATTAGAGACTGAGAAGAGATCGAGATTGGAGGCTGAAAAAGAATTGGAGTTGCAGGTGCACGTATAAATATGTCTTCTCTTTTACCACCTCGTTCTTATCTTCGTGTCGCGTCGCGAGTAAGCTTGATGCATGGCCATACTCACCACTGGTTATTCGACAGATAAGCATGAAATCTGAAATGGAGGTCGCAATGAAGCTGCTGGAGAAAGACATTCACGAGAAGCAGGATACGATCATTTCGTTAAGGCGGCAACTCGACGACATCAAACAAATTAACTTGGAGATGTACAAAAAATTGCAGGTAAAGGAGACGATTGCAATTATCGTTTTGTTATCCGTACCAACTGTGATTCGTTGTGTTCGACGAGAGTGCCTCATTCGTTAGCTCTCAATGAAGACTCTCAGTCGCGCGTAATTAATGCCAGAGTGGCAGTACTTTGTTAGACTGGTAAACTCAAAGCAATTTACACAATTTACAAAGCAAGATGCACGGATGATCATATTTTTTCTGCTGTATGCGTTTGATCTCGATGTATTTTAGCATCGCCACTACAGCAAAGTACTGACATTCGCAATATTAACTTGCCTTATAGGAATGCGAACAAGAATTAACGCAAAAAGGTGAAATGGTGAGTAGGCTACACGCGAAAACAAATCAAATAGGAAAGCTGCTCAACAATCTCGAAAAGTTTAATCACCTGATGAAAGATGGCGAAAGTGCTCGTAGTCCAACCACTCCGGGGAGCATTTTCAAACCGATTCAGAACAGATCCAGTCCAACTACGCCTAGGGAACAGCCAGTTGCTCCAGCGCGTCCTCGGTCTATTTGTGTCAGCAGCGATCCTCATAAAATGTTTGATGCGTTGGACCGAAGCAAATCGGTCGTGTCCTCTTCCGCGGTCGCAGATTCCTCAACGACTTCTAGTCCACGTACGAAAAAACTTATGTCAGACAAACAGGAAATACCTTCGACAGATTAAATATTTTTGGCTGCTCTCGTGAACCTTTCATTGATTAATCCAAATTAGAAGGAGAAAATCAGTTGCGGAACGTGGTTCGCATACACGCACGATTTAGCTCGACGCCAAGACTCACTTTTATATTCATCAGGTGTCTTACGTTGAATGATCGTATAATTTCTGAATTTGATTCATAATCATTTTTTAATTGTTAGCTGCATACGTAAAAGACAAGATTCCCTGACACCCTTGATAAAGTCAATGCTCCGCCTACGCGATCTGCGCGAGAGCAAAACGTGTTTTTGACGCGTCAAATGCACAACTTTTATTGTCCCAATGGTCATACTAAAATCAAATGTTTTGAATCATGATTTTCAGGAATGCGAGAGCTCACTTAGACATAAAACCGAACTGATTGCGAAATTGGAAGCAAAAACGATCTCCATGACTGATACCATTCAGAGAATGGATGAAAAGTATGTGTGATTATGCACTTTCATGTAATACGTTCTAGTCACTCGATCAGTATTTTATCATTTACCATGTTATTTAAGAACTGTTTGATTGCAAACAATAGGGGTAACAGGTCAAGTTTCAAGTAAGTTGTAATAAAATGCTCTTGAGAAAAACGACGAAGATGTGATAATGCGTATGTTTCACTGAGCTTCACGTGTCGAGTGCTTTTTTTGGGAGTCAAAATTCGTCTATCAAACTTGAAATAATTTTATACGAAAATTCATGTAATTATGTACATGCAGAATAAAGCTTTATTCGATAAAGAAATAAATTTTTGTTGTAAAGTAAATAAACTATTATTTGATTTTACGAAAGTAAGTCACGATATATAAATAAATTACCCAGAAGAAATAGCATTGCTTAGAAGACGTTGAAAGAAGCCTCCTTATGTAAAGATATTATTGCCATGATAAACATTAATCTCTACAAGTCTTTAAATATATGCATATATATACACGTACATTGAGTATATTTACTTTCCCTGGCGCACATCTTTATTCTGATTTAATATATGATATTACAAATGTTGGAAAAGGCTGCAGGAACACGTCAAATTGCAACATTATGTTTCTTTTTTTTTGATTTATTCAATTGGCAGCAAGCAATATCGTCACTTGACGCTGTTACTCGACAAACTAACGATGAGGGGTAGTAAGGGTGGGGGAAGCACAGCAAGAGCATGTGCACGTTTGATGCTAAGATGGTAAATGAGAGAATGTTACTGGTCGTGGGTTTGAGACTGAAATGACGAAATCGGGACTGTTTGATTGATGCAGATCAAAGGCGCTGGAGGATGTGCGCTGCGAGGCGGAGGAGCGCGTGCGTGCTCTGAGCGCCGAGGCAGCGGAGAAGGAGGCGCTCGCCAGCGGAGTCGAGAGGGAGTTGCGCATCGAGCGCGAGTGGCGCACTTCCCTGCAGGAGTCGTCGATCGGCTACGCCGAGAAGCTGTCGCAGCTCCACCAGGACATCGATCGGCTGAGGAAGGAATCCGAGGTAATGTCGCACGGCACCGCGCTCGCCTGACAAAAATAACGAGCATGATCCAATGACGCAGCGCTACAGCTCGCTGCAGGACGAGCATTACGCGCTGAAGGAGATCTGCGCGGAGCAGGAGAGAACCCTGGAGGAGTTGGGGGCCCAGCTGAGCGCGGCCAAGCTCGCCGCCGTGGAGCTGCGCGAGAGCCGGCAGCAGCAGCAGCAGCAGCAGCAGCAACCTGGGCCCTCGTCGCCGTGCTCGCCGGGCACTCCGGAAACGCCGTCGACCGTCTGGGCTGACGACCGCATGGTCAGCCAGTGCAAGGCTTGCAGCCGGGAATTCAATATCGCGCGTCGCAAGGTGGGTGCGCGCCTCTCGTCGCTGCAAAACCAGCTGGTCTTTCGCTTTGGCCATCGCCAGAGCCTCGAGTCACGCCAGGCAACGACGTTGACACTTTGCATGCACGGGTCTGCGGGCACTCGATTGAGATGTAGGAGAGGTGGCGACAAGCCCCGGCCAGGTTCTCGCGGCTCGACTTATGAATGGAGGCGTGCTAAATTATTGCATAATAACAAGGCAAGCTTCCTTGCCTTCGCGCGGGATGCCGTTGTTACTCATTTTTTTTCTCTCTCTCTCTCTCTCTCTCTCTCTCCCCTCTTTTCTCTTCCTTTCGGTCGAGCCCGAGCCACGGCGATCGCATTAGCATACCGCTTAATCTATGCCTTGCAGGCTCGGCACGCAAACTTATGCAGAAGAGGATGTGACCATGTCTTTGCTCGACAGCGGGGCCAAAGTATATGTTGTCACCGCCTAGCCCCGCAGGCCGGAAAGCTTTAGTCACCCCTTTATCGTTCCTTCGAGAGTTTACGTGCAATTTTCTTTCTCTTCTTCATTTGCTGCCCCCCCCCCCCTCCCCCGCCCTTCCAGAGCCGCTCCACTTTGCCGGCGCTCTCCCCTCTCCCCTCCTCGCTACACCGCACACCAGTCGTCGAGTCAGCCGCCAATCTTCTACGCGACTATTTATAATAATCGCTTTTTTGACGTCTATCTGAACGCGTTATTTTTCTCTTTCGCAGCATCATTGCCGAAACTGCGGCAACATATTCTGCAACGCCTGCAGTGACAACAGCATAGCCTTGCCGAACTCCTCCAAGCCCGTTCGCGTATGTGACGAATGCCACGTATTTCTCGTTGGGCGCTACTCCTTGCTGCATTAGTTTGCCTCGGCGGTGCTCGTCAAATCTTGAATGAGCAATGAAACTTGCACACAGGCGAAACTGAAAGGCCACCTCTACGTCGGCGTCCCATTCAATCACGGAATATTGCTTCGCTTTGCTTTTCAAAATTTCGCCATTCTTGTCTCGTCGACTTTGCATTTCGGGATCGCTTATAGTTAAAGGTAACAATGTCTCGGACACTGTCCCACAAACGCCGTCGCAGATTCTCCAGGAATATGCAAGCACACGCTGAATCTCAAGCAACGCCGACCAATGTATTTTTGTAGCAAACGGATGTTGGCTGTTTTTGTATAAAGTCCAAGTACAAACATTCAAAAGTTCTTCTCACTAAGTGTAATCGCGGATAAGTGGATATCCAAAAGGAACCACAGAAAAAAAAATGTGTTGGATATTGAATTTTCATTGGTTATTTCTGTAAAGATTTTATATGAATGAATAAATGGAATATTTTTAAAATGATATTGTGTATCCAAAGTATTGTGCATGAAAGTGACAATCGCTTGGGAAAACTATGGGCAATTTTTCGAGGACAAGGCGAGTTTTCCGCGCATTTGTTCACGACAATGCGTTCACGGGAATTATTTTCAATTGTCAATGCGATACTTGTGCGTAATAACGCGGCAAAAAAGCCATTCGTGTTGCGTAGCAGGATACACGCACAGCGTACGAAGACCGTGGCGCAGAGGTGGATTATTCGACGTATTCCGGTGTCCTTGTTGAGCCAGGCTCCTACCGCGATTGTCCAGGCAAACAAGGCTGAACGGGGTCCGTTTGCCGATCGAAATCGACGCAACGGAGCGAGAAGCTGCGAGGCAAGTTGACAATGATCGCGCCAACGGTGGCTCGCGCGCGCGCGCGCGCGGGCCCGAAGGGAAGAAAGCGCTGACTCGCAGCAGGCGCGCGTGCAACTGTGTTGGCAAAGGCCAACTTGTCGGTCATCTGCAAGACTTTGGAAAGCTCGTTAAGCCTGGTACGCGGGGCTGCAATGCTCTTAACGAGCCTAAATTGAAATCGATCCGAGAGGCGAGTCTGAAGCTCGGCCGAACGTCTGCCCGCCGGCATCGATTGCTCCGCCGGCGAATCGACTACTCCACTTGGCGCAGCCAGCTGTTATATAGCGTGCATTCGAGGCTCGCGCGCCAGCTATTTCCACGTCGGCCTCGCGATTATCAATCGCCGAGCGTAGCGCGCCAGTCCGATTGAACGCCCGGAACCTTCGAGTCAGTTGCCTGGCAATGCGGACGAGCTTTTATATCATCTGCGACCGAGCGACGGCTTTATCCCGTCTCTCATCCCGCGGCGAGCGGCGAACTTTGACTCGAAGCGAAGAGGCGAATCCCCGACGGAGCTAAGGATTGAAACTTTCGGGGATGGAAATAAGTTGGGCCCCGGCGGCGTCGCCGATAATTAGCGCAGGCTGGCACTTTTGTCCCGGCTTAATTGTTATCCTCGGCGCGGCGCGAGGCGCCAGAAGCCCTCGGGAGGAACGGCGAGATCGCGCGAGGGCTCGCTCTGGTCGATCGATCGATAGGGCGAGCCGAGTGGCCGCGGCCGCGCCGAAAAGGTCGCGTAGCGCGCGACTGGTATCGGTTGACTCATCCGGCGCCGCCGCACCACGCAGCACTCCGGCCGCAAGATAATTTGAAAGCTCGAGCCGGGCCGCCGCACGCGGCTCGGCAGTCGGCGCTCGGCTCACGGCAAAATTGTTGCTCTTGAGCGGCGTGCGCGCGCGCGCGCGCGCGCTCGAGGGCGGCTGGCGAGAGCGGCCGAGCCAGCGCGGCGGCGGCGGCGGCTAAATGCCAGTCAACGTTGTTGCGCCGTCCACGTAGCAATGCTCGCTCTCGGCATTGCAGCCCTCCACTTGCTCGCCTGGGCCGCCGCGTTCAACGATCCCGCCACAGGTACGCACCGTCCGCCTCGGCCTTCGTCGCTTTTCATTAGTTTTAATCAGCGCGCTGCCTCCTCGATCGCCCCGCTCTCGCGCGATCGCCCGCGCGTACGACCGCGGCTCGGCCGGCTGCGGTTCGCCTGTCGCAAGCATTTGTCAACGCGTCGCGCTCGTATTTTATGCTCGTCGCCGGCGTCGCTATACGTACAGCCGTATTACTTGTCACTGATTCGCTCGTTCCGCCTTTTCCTTTATTCTCTTGATTTAGGCTCGCGATAACCTCATCACCTAATTGAGACCGCCGCGCGCTATACCAGCTGCTATCTTGATGTCGCTTTTTCTGTATTATTCCTCGATGTGCTGTCAACTTATCGCCACCGCGATAGACATCTCCATTAACAACATTGCGAATGTTAGGCTTCATGCTCCCTAAAATTATTTGGACGTCAATGCGAACTGCTCGGTCATTCGACTACTTGACTTAACATTCGACTCTCGTTTTTTTCTTTTGCATTTATTCGATTCGTCGGGAGAAAAAGTGTCTACGAAGCGTGCGAAATGCATTGTGACGTCAACAATATTCTTATCCTTTAAAAAGCGCGTAAAATATTCTCAGTGCAAATATTTTCCATGCTCTGGATAGATATTCGAGTAAAGTTAAAAGCTATTGGTAGAAAAATCAATCGCGCCAAGTGTCAACGACTACGGTGCCCTTGTAAATACGTGACGTCGCGTAATATCGAAACAGGCTCGATTTTCGTCAAGCAGAGGTCCCCCATAAGCTGCCGCGCTGCAATTACCGCTAAAATTCCTTGCGCCAGTGCATAGTAAGCACTTGTCGTCTGCATCTGGCCAAGCTAAAATCCCTTCAAACGGCCATTGACTAAGTCGCCTTTATGCTTACCCTTGTACGCTAGAATCTCGGATCAGGATCAAGATTGTAAGCGAACCTTAGAAAGGTTCACCGAGGAACTTTGTACGCTTGTATCGAGTCAGGCACACGGCTCAATTTGAATCAAGTGAGATTTGCTTGGGGATTTCGAGGGTGAGCCTTCGCATGCTTCACACGGTATATTTTCCTCGGACAATTGTTGGCGATGTAGCCTCAAGCTACAAACAGTGTGGTGTAATGAGACTGGCAACGCGAATTCTCCGGTGCACACTTCGACTCGGTACGGTAATTACATCTGGATAGCTTGGGCAAGTAGCATTTCGAATGATTGGGGGGGGGGGGGGGGCAACAATATTTGGAAATCATTATTTTTCATCTCGACGCAGACGCATTGACGAAGCACCGCCGTGAATTCTCGCGGCCTACCTTGACTTTCTGTGCATCGACAACATCGTTAAAGGGCGCAAATATCCGAAAACATCGGGCTTCGTAAAGTTAGGCTAACCAGCATCCGTGCTTTCGCTATCCGCGGTTCGGTCTTGTGTTTTTCGTTTCTGCGCCTTATTATGGTCGCGCGATTATCGCGAAAATCCATTGGACGTTGACGTGGGCGCTGGGCTCACCTCGTGGCTGCACCAATTATTATTCTTTCAGCAGTTTTCATTTTCCGCTGCGACAAATCGCGTACGGTCTGCTCGGTAAATTGATTCGCGCCTGGCGTTGATAAAAGCTTTTGATTCGGCCCTCCTTGTCGACTCTGTTGTTAGCGAAAGGCCAGGCTCTCGCAAGGCTCGCACGGGGAATCGATAGAAATGTCCATTGTTCTTCAATTGGAGCCTCGATTAGGATCGATAAGCCCGGTAGGCAAGACAAGCGTAGCAGGCTATTTTTGCGAGAAAAGTGCAAATTGAAGGATTGGAAAAAGTTGACGATTCCGGATCGAACGGCAAGCAAGGAGGGAAGCGCGGCCGGTCGAGAGAGAAAAAGCCCGAGAGAGGGGAGCTTTGATCATTCGCTCGCCGGCTGGCGAGTAGCGGAGCGTGGCATGCAAATCAGAGTGGACGGCAATCGGCCTGTCATTAGATTATCAAAAGACGCAGAAGAGAGGTAGTAGGCCATGCCGGACAAGTAAGTCGAACCAAATGACTAGCCGCGGTCGAAGTAGCCGGCGATTAGATCGCGCCCACCGCGAGTGCGGGGGGGGTCAGGCGCAGCGCAAAAGCATGGCAGGCGAGGAGCTGTCGGGCAAGTCGCGGCGCCTGAATGGGGTTCGAGCGGCTAACGATTCGCTTAACGAGTTCCTTTCACAGGACCAGCCGGCGTCCGTCAGGCGCAGGCGAGAAAGCGGCTCGCTCGTATTCATTCGGTCTCGCTAATTGTCCGCGGCGCGAGGCGAGCGATCGCCGGCCGCGCGCTGATAACTCTCTCGGCGGAGGGCCGCGGGCCCGATAGCGCTTATCCGGCCAGTCGATTTATTGCCGACTCGCAGCGAACGGCAGCTCGTCCGGCTTGGCGCCGGAGCCGCCCGGATCGTCGTCTCCGCTTTCGCGGGCTCGCGCTCGGCCTCTCGAACGCGGCCCGGGGCCACCGCAGCCGCCAGCGCTGCGTTGCACGCTGGAGCAATTAAAACTTGATCGCTCCGGTTAGCAATATTTTCGTGCGGCGATGTGTGCTGCCGTGCCGCTCGCGCGGCGCTGCACGCGCCGCTACCATTTATTCAAGCAGCCCATTCAAACTTTCTGCCCGGCTGCGGAACAGCCTCTTCATTTAACTTGCGCGGATAATGCGCGCGGCCATCGACAATCGTCTCGTCTGAGCGCATTCACCAGTTACGACATTAATTAACAGCAGCCCAGCCTTCCCTTATCTCCGATGCTGCGTGCGTGCGTGCATGCGTGTGTGCTGCCCCTGTATTGCATCTCAAGTGCTTGCTCTATTTCAGACTTACCAAGATTCGGCAAGCCTTTGAACAACTTGACTGTTTCACTTGGCCGGGAAGCCATTTTCGCCTGCGTCGTCGACAATCTTGGCCCTTACAAGGTAAATTATAACTTTAATTTTCAATCTCCTCTTGCGCCCAACTCCCAAACTATTTAAATTTACACGTCGTGCCATCTTACTTATGGTTCGTTTGCGATATCGTTAACCGCGAGTGCAGTTGTTTGCCAGCAGCCAAAACTATGATTTTTCATACCTTGCCCCGTCGATTGTTCTCTCTCTCTCTCTCCGACGAGATTCAAGACCAATCGTCTCACCTATCTTGGGACAAGCAGTGTATCAATTACCGAAACAACATCTCGGGAGACCTCGATTCAGCACCTTTCTCGCCTCCGCTACCCCTTGTTCATTTTCCGCTCGGATATATATATATATATATATATATATATATATGTATATGTATGTATGCGCGTTTTATTTGTCTTTTCCACTTCTTTTTTCCGCCCAAATGTGTTCTCATTATTTTACGAATCGTTGAACTGATTTTATTTTGCGAACGGCTAATCGATTACATTTTTTCAACGCCCAATTGCACACGAGTGTCGCAGAAGAAGGCAAGGGTGCGGATCGTCAAACCCATGAAATTGAGCAGCAGTCAAGGCGACGACGTCGACGAGAGGCCGAGCTGCCTCGTTTTATCGCGTTAGCGAGGCGACGTAGCTGAACGTCACCGAGGAACAATCGACGCGCTAAGGGACCAACTGAAAGGCCGATATGGATTGACTGAAAAGTAGTTTATGCGTAGAGGAAAGGGGAGCAAAGCGGTTTGAAAATTGGCTTGGAGAATATAATCGAGGGTATTTGAATGGAGTTGCTTCGGGGGTGTTCGAAATCTAGGCAATTACATCAGCGGAAAGGTCGGATTCGCCGGCGGCGGCGCAAAAATGAAGAATAGCCCGAGGAAATATCATCTAAATGAAACTGGGGCTGAGAGTCGAGCCGATATCAATTGTCGGAGGCCCATCGTTGGATAGAGTTATTAGCTCGCGGATTACGGGCGCGCGATCGCCGAGTCGCCGGCACCCGCGCCTCGCCGCGAGCTCGTGCTCTCGAGGCGCGAATAATGCCCATTGCAAATAAAGTGAAGCGAGCCGATGAGCGGAGCGCAGCGATGATTCGCCAAGTACAGAACGGCGTGGCGGCGAATCGGTGCTGGTAGGTGGGCGACGCGCGGGTGGTAGTAGGCGCGTTCGAGAGGGGAAAAAACTTGCGCGGAACGGCGAGCGAGCGAGTGAAACTGAGCTGGCAAACTGCCGGCGCACGCTAGCTGCTCGCAACTTTCGGGCCGAATGCAACGAGTGCAATTATTGCTCGAGCTTGATAAACAAAGGGGCCAAAGTGAGTGGCGCACGAACACACACGCACGCGCGCACGCACACGAGCAGACGAACGACGGAGCAACACTGCCTGAAATCAATTAATCCGAGTCAGCTAGGACGCGAGCCCCAGACGCGCATCGCGTGGCGGCTACTTAACCGGGATAACCTCGGCGTAATTAAAACGTCGCGGCGTCGATGCGATCCGGCCGGGCGTTCGATCGACTTGCGCCGTCGACGCTATGCGATTTTACTGGACCGATCGGCGCGACGCCTCCGCCCTCTGAGATCACTCGGACGCGTACACGTGCTGCGGCATCGGGCCGTTATCGTTCCGCTTCTTCTCATTCTACTCGGGAATGGACGAGCGAGCGGCGCGCAGCGCGCGGCGAGCTGTTGCTCGCGGATCGCGTGAGACTCGGCAGCCCTCCCGGACAAGCGATTAATGAGGCAAAGAGCAGAGGAAGGCGGAAAGATTGGCGATAAATCGTGGCTGGCCGCCCCCCTCCCGGATTATTTATCTTTGCCCTCGGCTACGCGGCTCTCTCGCATCGCTTCGTTTGGTCTGGCGCGCGATTCGCCGCGGCGCACTCGCTGCCTCCGCCCGGCAGGCCGGCCGAGCGTGAAAGCGAGTTGGCGCAACGAGCGACGACGCCGGAGCGCGAAAGATGTCCGCGCGAGCAAGTCCGATGGAGCTATCGAAGGTAGTAAGTATTATTGATCAGGTCGGCCGTGCGGCGCGGCGGGCGTAGGCGCGGGCGCGGGCAACGCGTGATAAGTCACCGCTCGGTTCCGGTGTCATTAATCTCCTCGAGCGCTTTACGTTTCAGCAGCAGATTAGTTTCTTTCTCGGCAGATAGCTGATTATTACCTCTCACGCGAGAAAGCGGACTCGCGATCTCGCCAACAAAAGCCCATCCCGAATAAAGCGACGTAGCTCTCTCTCGCTCGCTCGCGCTCTTTCTCCCGGTGCGGCGACTCGGCGCCCGCGATGCCGACGGCGCCGCGACAATGTGCCGCGCTCCGCGACACCGAAATCGTCGTCGCGACTGCCGGTGCCCAAGCGACTCTTTTCAGACGCGCTGGCTGCGCGGAAGTGGAGCAGAAGCGGGAAAAACGGACAAAGAGCCGGCCGCCTGAACGGGCCTCGAGCCGCGGTGACCCACGCACAAAGAGCTATTATTACGCGCGTTAGTTGGCGGCTCGTCGCCCAGCGTGCACGCGAAGGCGCATCGCGGAGCAATTAAGCGAGACTCGAGTCTGAGTCGACGGGCGCGGGGCGGCGACGAGACAATGACCAGCGAGTAGAATGCTGGGCTTTGAACGACGTTGCAGGTGGCGTGGTTGCGAGTCGACACGCAGACCATCCTGACCATATCGAACCACGTGGTGACGAAAAACCACAGGATCGCCGTGACGCACAGCGGCCACCGCACCTGGTCCCTCCACATCAGGGACACGCGCGAGGCTGACAGGGGCTGGTACATGTGCCAAGTCAACACCGACCCGATGTCCAGCAACACTGCCTTCCTTGAAATCGTCGGTGAGTCGATTGTCAGTCTCAGCTGAAACAGACGCACGCGCATACGCTCGCACGCACGCACGCATGCACGCACGCATACACACACACACACACACACACACAAATTCGCAAAACTGGCGAGAGCGAGCTTGCGGAAAGTTGGCATGCCACGCTACGCCAAGCAGGCAACCGACTGCCGACAACGGGCTATTTGCATGAGCTCGTTACGTATGTTTGTGATAGGCAAGTCAAGGCGAGAAACAGGGCAAGCTGCAAGTACGCCGGGACGCTTGATTACGCAACGCTGTTGACTGCCGACAAGCGGCGAAAACTAAAGTGGGCCGCGGCCCATTGGGGTCCAGCGGCCACGTGCACCCGTTGGTCGCGCTGATAAAGAAGCCACCGCGGCGCCGAGACGTTCGGCCAACTTTAAGTTGCGTCGCCTCCCCCCCCCCCCCTCTACCGCCAACGCTCATTTATGCAAAACACGTGCGCTCAGTCGCCACTACAGTGAACAGTTCTCGCCCGCCCCGCCTACCGCCAATTTCTACTGTCTGCCTCGCCGCAAGACCGAAGCTTCGCTCGTCGGCAGCCAAGAGCTTCGACAGCGTGTCTGCAATGTTGTCTCTGACTTGTTTGCAGTGCCGCCGGACATCCTCGACTACCCCACCAGCACGGATATGATGGTGAGGGAAGGCAGCAACGTGACGCTGCGCTGCGCGGCCACTGGCAGCCCCGAGCCGACGGTCACGTGGCGCCGGGAAGCCGGGGGTAGCATTATCCTGTCCAACTGGCAAGAAGGTGCGTGGTTTTCTCGTTGAGCTGCGGCGCATCCGTGAAATACTTATCGTGCGCGTGCGATTGGTGATGGCAGTGGCGAGCTTCGAGGGCCCGGAGCTGGAAATAACGCGAGTCAACCGTCTGCACATGGGCGCCTACCTGTGCATCGCCTCGAACGGAGTGCCGCCAACGGTCAGCAAGCGAATCGTCCTCATAGTTCACTGTAAGTATCAAGCGGGCCTCTCCCCGGTCTCGGCCGGACTGAGCTGCCTATCGCTGCTGCTGCCTCGGGCCCACGTACCCTGCTCTGCTCGACAGTTCCGCCGATGCTGCGAATCGAGAACCAGCTGGTCGGTGCCTACGAGGGCCAAACGCTGACGATGGAGTGTCACAGTGAGGCCTACCCCAAACCGATCACGTACTGGACCTCGCCGGCCAACGAGACCATAAATAACAGTAACGTTCGCCACATAGTTGCATTCGCGGGCGCAGCTCCACAGTCTCTCGGTGGGGCTGCGCGTCTGCTCCGTTGCGATTCCCTCTCTCTCTCTCTCTCTCTCTCTCTCTCTCTCTCTCTCTTCCCGTTAAAGATGATCACTACCGCCTCGAAACTCTCACGCTGGGCTACGAGACGACAATGAAGCTGACTATCAGATCGCTGCGAGCTCGGGACTTGGGGCCCTATCGCTGCATAGCTACCAACTCGCTGGGGGAAACTACCGGCAAGATCCAAATATACAGTAAGTATGTCGGAGCATTTTGGATCGCCTAACTGGAGCTCGAGGAGTAGACGATATCTCCGTTGGCGGGGGCGTCAAGAGCGCAGCCTACAACGCCGATTCTCTAGTCAAGCTGCGCGGCTACGTTGTGCCGTGCGTTTCCTCCGCGATGGGGCGTATCGACTGACTTGCGTGTCTCGCACGAGTAGCGGTTGCGCGCTTCCTCCGCCGCTCAATGCTGCCGACGCCGTGCCGCACGGTCTTTCGAAGGCATTGGCTCGGCCTCTGCGCACTTTACGCGTCCCGCGCTGACGGCTCGTCGGGCCATAGACCACGCAAAGCGTCCGTTCGCCGTAGCTCAGGCGCGCATCGGGAAGGCAAGCGTAAAACATGCCTTTTGCCGTGACCATTCCCAATCGAACGGAGGCAGGAGCGCTCGATTGCCGGTGCCACATCGCGACCGACGTGCCCTGCACTCCACTTTACGGTCGCGCACAAGCTGCCCGTGCAACGTATTCGCTTGGCAGTCCGCTCGATCGAGCTGTACTTGTGACGTCGGCACTTTTGAGCGAGCGCAACGGAAGAATGTCCGCCTGCCGAGGTCAAGTCATCTCGAGTGTATCTCCTATCGGCCAATTACAGGCTATTTATTTATTGACTCGTTTATATAGATCAAGTGCTGCCACTCGTTCGCAGTGCTCGCAACCGCTCGGCATATCGTGCTTTGGAAAAGCCGGTTACGCTTTGCGCGGCCGCGGCGCCTTGCCGTTGATTAAATGGAAAATGACGCTGGCGAGTTATTCGCCGGGGAAGTGTTGGCATTTAGCGTAAGAAACGCGGCGTTTACGGCTTGCTGGACTTGACCCGTTTCAACAAAGTACACGCCCTCGGAATAATTAGATTTTAATTTGCCCGCTGACCTCGAAAATTACAACGGGACAACCGTTGCGCGGAGTGTGTACGTAGCTCGCTCGTTATCCCTTTGGTCGCGACCGCCTGTGCGGTTTGTTTGCACAGGCCCTCGCGGAGACTTAGACGCCACGGCGGCGTTTCGCGATACTCGCGCACGTTACAATTATTCGATCGGGCCACTATCGCTCGTTCCGCTAGCTTACGTTCCGCCTGTGAGAGCTCAAGCAGGCCGAGGCCCACGAGAGTCGCTCGAGCAAGTCGATTGCCGTAATGCTGAATTCGTACGCAGGAGCGTGACGCAGCGCAACGCAACAACGTTCCGCGTCGCCACTGAAGAGGCATCGCAGAAACACCGAAGCATCGGCACTCGACGTCCGCTCTACGGACTTTTCTCTTGCAGGAATAGCCAAGCCGTCCTCGGCGCGCAAGTCGGGCTCGAGGCGCGAGTTGGGCAAGCCGTGGAGCAACGATCACGGCCACGAGAAGGCGGCCGATGCGGCGGCGGCGGCGGCGGCGGCGGCGGCGGGAGCAGCGGCAGGTGACGTCGGCGGCAGCTCGCTGGACGACGGCCAGAACGGGGCTGCGACGGAGAGCGAGGACGGCTCCTTGGCCAGCTGCCTCGTGCCCGGCGCGTGGCTGCTCTGTCTGCAGCTCGTGGCGCGGTCCACCTTTTAAATGGCCACGCGCCCGGCCCTGCGACGACCGACCAGGATCGGGCCGGTACTCGGTCCGCAGCTGTCTCTGTCGCTCGCCGAGGGAGCAGCCGCGCAACCCAAACCGCCGCCGGGTAGCGGCTGCGCCCGCGATTTTCAATTAAACTTGGAAATCGCGCCCCGAATTCCATTCGCCGGGCCGCTCCGCAAATAGCTCGGTTACCGCCACCAATACCACCTAGCAATACTACAGCCTGTCTTTTCCAGCTTCGCTCGTCGGCCTCCTGCTCGTTTCGTTCCTGCTCGCTGTCGTCTTTTCGCCCGTGCCTTTTTGATTTTCGTCTTTTCGCCTCTCCGCGCGCGCGGCTACCCCCGGTGACGGGCTCACGTTTCGCAACCAACTACGCGCACTAGCGTTCCGTTCGCCGGTGGTTTGTCGCCGGGTCTTCGAGAGAAACGACGGATCTCGGACCTCCGCCGTTGTTTCGCGTGGCGCGGCTGAGAACGTCCGCGAGCGTATCGCAAAAGCCAATGCTCAGCTCGCAGCTGTCGCTCACGGGATTTTGCAGCTGCGCGCGGAGATATGTGCAACGTGTACATACGTATCGGCCCGCCCTCGGTCCCATTATATCGGATAAACCTCCAACAAAACTAGTTACGAACGGCGACCCGTTCGACGCCCCCTGCATTTTCTGTCTCGCTAAGGTTTTATTAAAACTAGTTGCGACCAGTGCTGTAAGCAATTAGCGTGTGTAACTCATAACTTAGGAATTACTTGTAAATATATACCATCTTCTTGGCGCGAGAAACGCTTATGGCATTTTGCGTGAATTGCATGCACGAATACAAAGTCTATTCAAAACCTGCGTGCCCAACTGGAAAATATGTTTCAAGCGATCGTGCGATAATCATTCGACGTTGCAACATCATCCACGTCGATCTGAACGATGATCACGCGCAGAGCCGTTGCATTATTATACCTACATGTACTTTCTAGGATGAGATTTAATATTATTATATGAAAAATATGTAAATACCCAATCCTACCGCATATACTTCTGTATAAGAGAAACACATGCTGTTATAAATAAATATGAGCCGGAGAAAAAGCTTATTGTCTGAATATATTTAAAGCGCTAAGCGCAGTTCAACTTATCCGCCGAACAAAACGAAACACCAAATATTCAAGCCTTATATTTTTTCATTGAGCCGCGCGTCGTCTATTGCGCCTCGGAAAAGCTTCAAGTTAATGTACTTTAATGGCACTTACGAAAAGGAGCGATTACGACGGCATCGTTTACATCTCGTTGCTTTACCTGTGTTCAGCACGCAAGGAAGTTGCCTTTGTTTTCGACCTTACCGACAGTCGGACGTTGCGCGAGTATCGCGGAGAGGACGTACATATATTGATTGTTTCCAGCCGATCGACAAGTGTGCTACAAACCAGCTTCGTGGGTTGGCAGCAAAGTCGGAAGATGGAGCGTGATACACGGCGCCTGCTCAGCTTCCCAATGCGATTGTCCGTGAAGGCCTTGACGACGATTCGAGATGTAAAGCTCGGCTGCACAGGTGAGTTGAAGCTTTGGCTTGGAAGAAATCCAATCGCGCTACGTCGCGATATATGCGTCAGTGGGTGCAGCAGCATGGTTCAAGCTGGTTGAGGTCGAACAGACAGAGAAGGTGCCGAGGTCAAGTCAATCGCAGTAGGAGAAAAGATGATTGCGAATCAGTGATGTAGAGCAGAATACGTCGGACGAAATGGTCGCAGGTCTGCCGAAAGTGTCAAAAACAAGTGGCATTCTGAAATATCGGCTAAATGGCGAATCGAAAGGAAACAAGTCGGAGAATACACACACACACACATGCACGCACGCACACGCGCACACACACGTAGCGAAGGTGCAGCGTGCTAGAAAGATAATATCGAAATAATTTTTCATTTTCCTCCGCTGACGTATATCCGGCGCAGCTGTGGCCTCGGCAAAAGTCCCAGAATCACGTATCCGAAGCTGCTTGTCGAATTCACAAGAAACGCGTGCCTCCGGGCTTTGGAAAAGACTTTTTCCAGCGTTGTTTTTCACCGACACGTGTTTACCCAGACCGAATCTCTGGAGTTAGTCTCGCCCGCGCTCCTCTCTGCCTGCGTGTCGCTCGCACACGCTCGCTCTTGCGAACCCACGATGTTTTACACTTATTTCGACTTAGTCTCGCTTCAGGGCGCGCGCTAACTATGTCTCTCTCTCTCTCTCTCTCTCTCTCTCTCTCTCGTCAGGTAATCGCCGGATTAAGCATCGGAATTCGATAAAGGGAAATCCGCCGGAGGAGAGGGTCACCGCAAAAGGTGGTCGGCGAGCTAAGAAGCTCGAACGCGCACGGACTACGCATTGACCGCGAGTATTTTGCCGTCGCTGTGCCCTCCACCAGATTCTCTCTCCCTCTCTCTCTCTCTCTCGGGCTGCAAACGCGAGTCGCTTTTGCCCGACGCTGCTATACGAAGCTGGCGTGGCCGCGCGAATTAAGAGTGCTAGGCGCTTAACGAGACGTATAAATTGCAAGCTGTTTTGCGCATTCAGCGTGGGTTACGCGTAGCGCGACATACATATAGCCGTGGGCCGGTAAGTGGCCGCGGTGTGTCTAGCAAGCCGAGTCGGCTGATTCCGCGAAAGCGGGAGCGGCAGGAGGGAAGGAGGCGGCCAGCAGCGGCGAGGCGAGCGCGGAGCTCGAAAAAAGAAAAGCGCCAGACAAAGATAAACGAAGCGGGTTGTCGATGGAATCTGTAATATCCGTAGAACTAGCCTTGAAGAATATTAACCGAGGGAAAAGTTGACGGACCGCGATCGTCCGCGTAAGCTTGCCGTGGATTAAAGTCTTCTGGATTTCATTCCCAGGCCGCGTGCAATAATTTCCAATCCCGGGCGTAATCTCGGTCGGGCAGGCAGGGCCCCGGCACGGCCGACGAATCGGCGGGTCGAAGGACCCCAGCGCCGTCGGCCTTGCATGCCCCCCTATATCGAGGATCTATTGATGGCTGCCAAACTTGGTTATAGGCAGTCGACGCGGCTGCGGCGTTCTCGTAAAATCGGCCGAGAAATTAGAGCGCTGAGGCAAAATGGAGTCGTTAAGATCTTGGTCCGGAAAACTATGCGAACCTTTCGAGCGAGAGGCAGAAGGCGAGAGAGAGAGAGAGAGAGAGAGAGAGAGAGTCGGTGCGCGATCGATTTCGCCGAGGCCGCTTAACGAGCGCGCATCTGCCATTCTCCCAGCTATTTATGTACCCAATGAACCGTTGGTTTTCCCTCGCCAAGGGCCGAGCCGGCTCGGCGCGCTGTCGAGCAGCTTCTCTTGTTTCGGTCGGCCAGGAGCGCGGCCGCGAGCGCGCGATTCGACGAGGTCGGGTCGCGTCGATCACTCGGCACGAAGGCCGGGAGGGGGCAGGGGGCCGCGGCGCGGCTAGCGTAGCGAGACGCCGAATTAATTTGCCGCGCTTAGCTCGAGCGCGAAATTGTCGGGCGCTCGCTCCTAGCTGGCTTACCTGAGCACTTTGCCGAGCCTCTTCGGGCGCTCTCCTGCACTCGGCCGAACGTCGCGACGCAGCGGCCGAACTCGGGCTGAGCCAGCTCCGGCGATAAATAACCAATGCTCCCGGCGAGCGCCACTGCCGTGGCGGTCGCGTTTTTGCCGGCGCGCGAAAGCCCCTGCCCGCAGCGCGCGTCCATTCGGAGCGCGCCCCGAGCTTTGGAAGCTGCAGCGCGGTCCGCGCCCGCAAAGCCGCGAGCCCAGCAGCAATGCGGACGCCGTGACGATCGGTGGTGCGGCCGGCGAGGAGCGAGCAATAACAATGCAGCGGCTTTCGGCCCGCGAATAATTGCAGGATCGACGCTGTTGCGGAGCGAGGCTGGCGTCGGCGTGCGCGTACGTGCGAATTTGATCAAGCCGGGCTTGAAGTAGCTAGCCGAAGTTGGCTGGTTGCGACAAAAGTCAGCTGATGAGGTCGTCACTAATGAGACTCCGTACCTCGGAGCTGTCGTTCGGCTGCGCAACAGCAAAACGAGGCGGCGAGAGGGAGCTTTCGCTGGAGGCTCTGACAACCGTACAATCAGCCGGCAGCCGACTGGCCATGCTGAATAATGCCAAGCCTGATTAGCCACTCTCCGCCTCCACCCGTTTTATTCCGCTTCTTCGTCTTTGCAATAATATCTCACCCCGAGCCCCGCCGCCTCACACTTTCCAATCATCCGGCTCGTTCGTTCAGCCTATTTCTTTTTGTCTGCTTTCCAATGAGGCGAGCGACTGTTTGGCCCAGCTGTCTCGTCTGTTTCGGCCGCACGGCCCAAGAGCGCTGCTCGGATAAGTATTGTGGTGGCGTCGCTCGAGCAGTGACGCGCGACTGGCTTCGCAGGGATTTGCGATCGGGAGGCGTTTATCGGCCGGCTGATAGCTGCGTAAACTGACGCGTGCGTTAATTTCTTTTCTGCTCTTTTCGCACTTGGCGGCGGGGCTTTTTGCGGCTTTCGCGGCTTTTGCGGCCGGCAGGTAAGCAGTCAACAGCGCGCTCAGCCGAACGTTTGACCATTCAAACCGAAGTTGAACGTTTTTTGCAGCGCTGCACACAGAGAAAAGGCTAGAGAAAGCATAGTTGGTAAGCCGACTAATAGCTGAACGGCAAAGTTTCCAGCTGCGTGAGAGCGACCCGAGAGGCAGAGACGGGAGACAGCAAGTCGGTTGAAGGTATTAGCGGCAAAAACCATGGGGCAAAGAGGGCCTGCTGCTTTGACTTTGGCCAGTGTCGATCGAACAGCCGAGTCGATCGCCGGTAAAAACGAGAGGGAAGGTGAGAGCGCGAGTATGGGGGGAGAGCTGCTGGCGCCAATTAGTCTGCTTTGCTATGCAGCGCAGCAGTTTTCTGGGAGTCTCTTATTTTCTTTGGCACCTCGAGAAACGTGGACTGCATCGGCGCGGTCTAGACTGTAGAACGGCTCGGCAATGCAAAGAGTCTGTTTATATGACGAGATAATGCGCGCGGAGACTCGAGGGGGCAATGGAATCGATCGAGCGCGATTGAATCGACACATCGGCCGATTAGCCTTGATAGCAGTGTTGCAAGGAGGCCCATTACGCCGACTACTGATCGGCTACTGCCTACTTGCATTAAATTACATCTGAGCAGTCAATTAAGCGTAGCCATACGCAGGAGGCGGGCATTTGCATCGAGTCTAACTGCGCCAGCTAATGTAGCAGCCCGGGCGTCGCCGCATCCGCGCTACTCGCAAGCGCCGCGTGCATCAAGCTTCGAGTAATTATGCAGCGCGATGCGCCAGTGCACTTGTCAAAATCAGCCGAGCACGTGGCGCACCACCGCGGCAGCCGAGCCGCGGCAACGGCTCCTCTCAATTCGCAGCTAATAAAAGAGTTAGCCAAGCGCGAAAACGTGTTGCCACAGTAAAAAGCGTGTAATGAAATTCACTTAACTTCTGGCGCGTGCTCTCCGCGCGCCCTCCCCGCCCACTCGGCTTATATACCTATACAGCGGCTGCACGTCGCCGTTTCGTCCGAGGCGCTTCCTCGCAGCAACAGGCCCAACTCGACTGCCGTCCCGTGCCCCGCGAGTCGCCCTCGCCGCGGCTTTCCCGGCGCTTCCACTCTTAATAGCCGATCGTCGCGCCTCCCCAGGCTCGCCTCGCCAGTCGAGCGTGCGACGCCTACTTCCATCGAACTTACCGATCTCGGAGCACCCGACTTTTCAGCGCACTTTCGACAACTTAACTCCGACGCGCCCAATGTAGCGTTGCAAAAAGTTGCCGTAAATCAATAGCCAGCCGCCTTGGGGAGAGAGAGAGAGAGAGAGGCCGCCGCGGCGTGGCTCGCAGCCGAGAACGGGCGTAAGAAAAGCCGACAGCCGTGCGAGCGAGAGCAGCGGAGAGGCGCCGCCGCTCGCCACTCTGCAATATCGGCGCCAAATGTAAAGTCGCAGCGCTAACAAGCTCGAATGCCGCGGCCGTCGACAGTTTCGTCGCTTCGTGCAAATCGCCCGATGCGCCGAGTTCGGGACGACGCACGGATGTGCCGATCGGAAAGCGTTCGGGTGGATTTGG